CTCTATATTACTTCCCTCTTTCAACACCTCGGGCTCGGCCGGGTAATGCGTGAGTGCTGAGTGCTAGTGATCATCGCGTCGCGCGTCTTCCCAAGATGTATGTCAAGCAGATCATCATCCAGGGCTTTAAAAGGTATGCGCCGAAAGATTTGTCGATAAAAAGCTTCCCAACAGGTCAACTGACTCCATTGTCATCGCAGCTACAAGGATCAAACCGTTATCGAGCCCTTCTCTCCAAAGCACAATGTCATCGTCGGCCGCAATGGTTCCGGCAAGAGTAACTTCTTCGCCGCCATTCGATTCGTTCTCAGCGATGCCTACACTCATCTTGGCCGGGAGGAGCGCCAAGCTCTTCTTCATGTACATCCAGTCCCAGCAATCCCCATTATGTCTTTGCTAATCTTGCGCAGGAAGGATCTGGCTCAGCCGTGATGTCGGCCTATGTCGAGATCATCTTTGACAACTCCGATGATCGATTTCCCACCGGCAAGCCCGAAGTCGTCCTCCGCCGCACGATTGGTATCAAGAAGGATGAATACACCCTCGACCGGAAAAATGCGACAAAGAACGACGTCATGAACCTCCTAGAGTCCGCCGGTTTCTCTCGTTCCAACCCATACTATATCGTTCCCCAGGGTCGTGTCACTGCATTGACAAACATGAAAGACTCAGAGCGTCTGGTGCTTCTGAAAGAGGTCGCGGGTACCCAGGTTTATGAGGCACGCCGCTCCGAATCTCTCAAGATCATGCACGACACCAACAGCAAGCGGACCAAGATCGACGAACTCCTAGACTTTATCAATGAGCGTTTGGCCGAGCTGGAAGAAGAGAAGGATGAACTTCGCAATTACCAAGACAAAGACAAAGAGCGCCGGTGCCTGGAGTACACGATCTATTCTCGCGAGCAACACGAAATTTCCAACGTGCTAGACAACCTAGAGGAACAAAGGCAGAATGGCGTTGAGGATGCTGACAGTAACCGTGATCAATTCATCGATGGTGAGAAAGCAATGGCTCAGGTTGATGCCGAAATCGCCGAATGTCGCCAGCAGATTGAGTTCCTGAAGGTAGACAAGGCTCAATTGGAAGATGAGCGTCGTGAAGCCTCCAAGTCTCTGGCGCAGATTGAACTTCAGGCCAAGTCTCTATCTGACAACCAGGCCGCTGCCCAGGCCCTGAAGTCTCGTCATGACTCCGATCTCAACACTGTCCAAACTGCTATCAGCCAGCGGAGGGCTGAATTGCAGGAGATTCTTCCGCGGTTTAACGCCTCAAAGGACCAGGAAGATGGTGTGAAGGCTCAGCTGACCGAAGCCGACACTTCCCGCCAACGGCTCTATGCTAAGCAAGGCCGCAACTCCCGATTCAAGAACAAGTCTGAGCGGGACAAGTGGCTGAATATGGAAATTCGGGAGAGCAAGCGTTCTGCTTCGACGGTGGAAGGCGTTGTTTCGCAAACACAAGACGACATCAACGAATTAGAGAGTGAGATTGCCAAGCTAGAGCCTAAGACCGAGGAACTGCGCAAGCAGATTGATGGACGTGGGGATACGCTGCATTCCTTTGACCAGCAAGTCCAAAATGCAAAGGACGAGAGGGATCGCTTGATGGATCAGCGAAAGTGAGTACTTGTTGTCATTACCCGGATATGCTGCGTGCTAATAGAATACACAGGGAACTCTGGCGCGAGGAGGCAAAGCTGGACTCCGTCCTCTCTAGTGCCTCATCTGAAATGGAACGCGCTGAGCGCACTCTTTCACACATGATGGACCACAACACTAGCCGTGGACTGGCCGCGGTGCGAAGAATCAAGCGTCAACATAACCTTGAGGGTGTCTATGGTACCCTTTCTGAACTTTTCGATGTGAACGATAGATATCGCACTGCCGTGGAAGTTACTGCTGGCCAGAGCTTGTTCCACTACGTTGTTGATACTGATGAAACTGCAACAAAGGTTTTGGAAATTTTGCAAAAGGAGAAGGCAGGTCGTGTTACATTTATGCCCCTTAACCGCCTGCGCTCCAAGCCCATGAATATGCCCCGTGCCAGTGATGTGATTCCCATGATTGAGAAGATGCAATTCGACCCTGTCTATGAACGTGCGTTCCAGCATGTCTTTGGAAAGACCATCATCTGCCCCAACCTACAGGTCGCCTCTCAATACGCTCGCAGCCACGGTGTTAATGCTATTACCCCCGAGGGTGACCGATCCGACAAGCGCGGTGCCCTGACTGGTGGTTTCCATGATTCACGCCACTCACGACTTGATGCCGTCAAGAGTGTTGGCAAGTGGAGAGATGAATACGAAACCAAGCGAAATCGTGGATCTGAGATCCGCAAGGAGCTGGAGAAGTTGGATCAGTTGATCACCAAGGCTGTTGGTGAATTGCAGAAACTTGAGCAGCAGAAGCACCAGGCGCAGAACAGCAGCGGCCCGCTACGACAAGAATTACGAAGCAAGCGTGAGCTCCTACAAAACAAGACCGATAGCCTTGACGCGAAACGCCGGGCTCTCCGCAATGTCGAATCAAACCTCGCGGCTTTGAAAGACCAGACTAGCGCTTTCGAGGCCGAGTTGGCTTCGCCTTTCCAGAAGGACCTCACGAACGAGGAAGAGACTCTTCTGGAAACTCTGAGTGGAACCGTGCAAGAACTTCGCCGACAATATCAAGAACTTTCCTCTGCTCGCAGTGAACTCGAAGCGCGGAAATCTGTGCTGGAGGTTGAATTACGGGAGAACCTGAACCCTCGCTTGGATCAGCTAACGAACCGCGACATCGATATGGCCGAGGAGGAAGTTCAAGGCAACCTGAAAGAAACGCAGCGCGAACAGAAGCGTCTTAGCCAGGCGTTGGAGAAGCTCAGCAAGCGCCTTCACCAAGTCGATACTTCGATCGAGGAGCAGAATAGTCGTGTCAACGATCTTCAGCAGCACAATTCCGAGACTCGCCGCAGCCTTGAGGATCTCGCTCGTTCCATCGAGAAGCACCAGCGTCGTATGGAGAAGAGTATGCAGAAGAAGGCCGCGCTGACCAAGCAGGCTGCGGAGTGCGCTGCCAACATTCGCGATCTGGGAGTTCTACCCGACGAGGCGTTCACTAAGTACAAGAACACGGATTCCAACGCCGTCGTGAAGAAACTGCACAAAACGAACGAGGCCCTCAAGAAATATTCCCATGTCAACAAGAAGGCATTCGAGCAATATAACAACTTCACCAAGCAGCGAGAGACCCTCACGACTCGTCGAGAGGAACTAGACGCCTCGCAGAAATCCATCGATGATCTAATTTCGGTTCTGGATCAACGGAAGGACGAAGCAATTGAGCGTACCTTTAAGCAGGTATCCCGCGAATTCGCCAACGTCTTCGAGAAGCTAGTCCCCGCCGGCCGCGGCCGTCTCATTATCCAACGCAAGACTGACCGATCCACTCGGGTCGAAGACGACGTCGATTCAGAAGACGAGGAGGCTCAGCAGAGTGTCGAGAATTACGTCGGTGTCGGCATTAGTGTCAGCTTTAATAGCAAGCACGACGACCAACAGCGAATCCAGCAGTTGAGCGGTGGACAAAAGAGTAAGCCACCCCCACCACGGTACTATTTCTCCAATCCCGCATTTTCTAACAAGTTCCTTCCAGGTCTCTGCGCTCTCGCCCTCGTCTTCGCAATCCAAGCCTGCGATCCAGCACCTTTCTACCTTTTCGATGAAATCGACGCGAATCTCGACGCCCAATACCGTACAGCCGTTGCACAGATGCTGCAGTCTATTTCCGACTCGACTAACGGCCAGTTTATCTGCACAACCTTCCGACCGGAGATGCTGCATGTCGCGGAGAAGTGTTACGGCGTGAGCTTCCGACAGAAGGCCAGTACCATTGATGTGGTTTCTCGGGAGGAAGCGCTCAAGTTTGTTGAGGAGCAGAAGACTTAATGGACAGGCTTCTTGTGTACATTTTTTATTCTATTTCTGTTCTTTTCAACTTGCTTGCGTGGAATGGCGCATCGTGATACCGGATTCTTTATCTTCATGGCTTAGTTGATGCTCTTTTCGAAATCATATTTCTACTTGGTTCTTTTTTTACTTTGTAAATCATCAAGCCCGTAGATGCAGATGAGACGCAGATGAGGTCGCCACTCGCATCGGGGGATCTTGCTTCTGCCTCCTGCCTCCTTCATCTTCGAGGCTCGCCGCACACTGGCAGGTTGTGACCATTCGGGTCCTCGCCCGTATTAGTTTTGTAAGGTACTAGTAAAGTAGGCAGTGATGGCTTTGAGGTAGATCTGCTCTAAGCATTGATTGGGACATCCAGTCTGATCCCCCAATTATATTCAAGTCAGGGGGTTCTGGGTTGTTGCACCAGGGATCACCAATAAATTCCAAGCCCGCTTCCCCGCTTCATGCGGCTCTTAGTTACCCCGCATATACGTAGTCGTGTGCTTCCTCGGTCCTCCCACCCTACAGGCAGGTCCTTGGTAGATACCAGGCAACTAGATGAAATTTTCCAAGGAATGAGCCAGCCCAATTCCCAATACCTCTCCTTTATTTATTTTGCTTCTAATGGGAATTGTATTAAGGCCCTCCAGGCTTTGTTCCCTCATAACAACATCACTCGCAAAACACCTGCAGGTCTTATCTGTGCTTATCTCAGCATAACAAATACCAATAGCTGAACGATGTCTTCCGTTCGTTCTTCAAATAACGTAAAATTCTCAAGTATTCGTAACAACCGGTAGAAAGATAGGATACTAAGAGAAAGGCAGCCTGTTCTGATTCCAAAGCGGTGGATTTCAGCATGACACAGAAACACTGCAGCATAGCTCGTAAAGCGTCGTTGCTTAAGTTCTTCTCAGATCCTGATCATTACCCCCAAAGGAAAGTCCCAAACCGAGACCGAAGTCGCAATAAGGGTCCGATGCTCCCACGTAAAAACCTCTACTAAGGCGCAAAGAGTATTAGACATTGTGGCATATACTGTACCCGGTCCAAGATTTTCAGGGCAGTTTTAAGCGCCGCAAGGCTTCCCGAGCAAAACGCTCACTGTATTGTCGTCTAGATTCGCAGCCACGATATCGAGATGGGAATCTCCGTTGAAGTCACCCACTGCAACACCACGTGGTCCGGACCCCACAGAGAATATGGCCTGCGGCTTGAAGCTCCCCAATCCAGTTCCGAGCAGCACGCTCACTGTATTATCGTTTAGATTCGTAACCACGATATCGAGATAGGTATCTCCGTTGAAGTCGCCCACTGCAACACCACGTGGCCCAACCCCTACAGATAATTGGGGCTGCAGCTGGAAGCTCCCTGATCCAGTCCCGAGCAAGACGCTCACTGTACCATCGCCACTATTCGCAGTCACGATATCGAGATAGGTATCTCCGTTGAAGTCGCCCACTGCAACGCCAAACGGCCCGGACCCTACAGGGATTTGGGGCTGCAGCTGGAAGCTTCCCAACCCATTTCCGAGCAACACACTCACTGTATTATCGTTTAGATTCGTAACCACAATATCGAGATAGGTATCTCCGTTGAAGTCGCCCACTGCAACACCACGTGGCCCAAACCCCACAGGGAATTGGGGCTGCAGCTGGAAGGTTCCGGATCCAGTCCCGAGCAAGACGCTCACTGTACCATCGCCACTATTCGCAGTCACGATATCGAGATAGGTATCTCCATTGAAGTCGCCCACTGCAACGCCAAACGGCCCGGTCCCTACAGTGAATGTGGTTTGCTGGAAGCCCCCTGCTCCAGTTCCAAGCAACACGCTTACTGTATTGCTAAGCTGATTCGCAGTTACGATATCGAGATAGGAATCTCCGTTGAAGTTACCCACTGCAACACCACGTGGTTCAGACCCCACAGAGAATATATTCTGCTGGAAGCTCCCAGATCCAGTCTTAAGCAAGACGCTCACTGTGCCGTCGTTGATATTCGTAGCCACGATATCGAGATAGTTATCTCTGTTGAAGTCGCCCACTGCAACACCAAACGGAGCGTTCCCCCACGTCAATTATGTCCTGCGATTGGAAACCTGGGAAATTCGTGCATACGCAGGCGCCTAATAAGCAAGTCGATTGAGCAGGGCACTATAGAAGCGTGAGAATTTATCTCGTTAGCAATAAGGACAACCATATAATAGCAAACCTGCTAGAAGTTTAAAGGTTAGGCCTAACTTACACTGTTTCCGCAAGTGCCACAGTTAGTGGGAGTGTTCTGGAGGTTGACGCAAGCCCCATTGCAGCAGGCGAGGTCGGACGCGCACTATCGAGCACCACTTAGCCGTCGTCACGAAATATGCAGTCTGTGGCCATCTTACACATTGCCCGTTACAAGACGAAGGAGGATCACAATCTGGCGGGTTTGGGACACAAATGCAGCCTCTATTCCATATTAGCTTTTAGCGTGGCTCTATAATCCTAAGACGACCGAGAAAGAGACTAACGGCGTAGTTGGAAGGATAAGTCCAAGTAAACTGGAAGATCCACTACCGTTGTCACAGTAACCTGATTGGCCACCTGATTTCCGACACTTAAATGAATCAATATGTTAGTATTAGCAGTCTCTTTGGATATCTGCGAATCCTACCTTGGTGTCACAAGCGGCCGGGTCGCAACCACCTCCCCCAACCCCAACCCCAATGTCTCCAATATCACCACCCCCAGTGTTAATGGTAATCCCACCACCATCCCCATTGCCAATATTGTTACCCCCATGGGAAACCTTGCCTCCACCTCTAGGCCCACCCCACTTTTCTAGAGCGTCTTCTCCAGTGAGCGCAGTGACCAAAGCACCGCATAAAAGGGTAAGAAGAGCGACACGCATTTTTACAAAGGTGTCGTTTGCTTATGACGATAAACAATCTGGCAGGAAGAGAATATCAGTTTGAATCTACCGTACTGCTTGTGGTACTGAAAACAATTTGACCTACCTCGCAGTGGATGATGTTATATATAGGGTGCCCACGGTCATACATTCAGTATCAAAGTTTTGTTATTATGAATCAAATGCTTAGACATGGTCCCTGGAATGTGAATAACTTTAATTCTCTGGAAGTCCATAGGTTTTTGGCATGAGCATGTCGGCAAAATATTCCGGCAATCAGAATAGAGTTATGTGGGATCTGATTGGTCCCCGTGTGTCCCCTCGCCTGGCTGATTTATTCAAGAACACCCTCTCAAACCATAAGGATCTATCGTTTAATGAAGTATACTAGAGATTCTAAGTATCTATTTTCTCTAATAATAATGCTTTGGGTTATAGATAATTTGTTAGTCTAATGGTTAGTAAATTAACGCTATATTTACCAGGAAGAATAGCACTATAAGATTAGACAGCTAACCTGCCCTTTACCTCTCTCAAAGTCGATAGTAATTCAATCTGGAGTTGGATGTATAGGTGTAACAATCCGAATATAACATTTTGGCTGGGAGCACACATGGGCCGTTAATTAGACCTTACATAAATCACTTCTGACTGCCAAAATATGTTACCGAAACTATGGCATTTACTATAAGCCTCTGGTATGCCAGAAAATAAAGTCCAAGCTTTTCAACATTCTAGGGAATATGTCAAAGTATTCTGATCATAATAACTTATAAAACCTAGACAGTTAAAGAATAACTGTAAGCTTATTATATACAGCTAGCACTCTCTACTCTAAAGTACTAAGAAAATAGTTATAGAAATTATTTTCAGTACGATAAGCAGTATAGCAGATTCAAATTAATATTCTTCACCTGCTAAATAGTTAAATCTTTCCAGTAAGCATCTTTATAAAATAAATTTCGCTTTTCTTACCCTTTCATACTGTGCTTTTATCACTGCACAGGAGGGCGGGCCTGGGTAGGCAGTGTTACCGTCACTTTTTTTACGGAATTAGTAAGAGTAATCATTTGTCTAAACTTTAACAGATAATACAATCCGCCGTTCGTAAGGTTTTCTTTCTTACTGATCGAAGGCTGCTAGAGGATCAAGAAAAGAACAATAATATATCGTATTGGACATAATACAATAAAATTCGCTGACTCTCGCTAATTCGTACTTTGTCTCTTTATACTCGATAACAATTCGAGGAGAGGAGCAAAAAGTCAAGTCTCAAAATTTGATAGGGTTCCCAAGGACACGGCCCCTAGACCGGGTACACGCACAGATGACCAATCAGGCTCTATTAAACTCAGTTATGGTCGCCGGAGTATTTTGCCACTATTTGTGCGCATACCATAAACCCCTGCCTGATCCATTCCAGGGAACATCTCTAAGCATTCTGACATAATAACAAAACTTAGACAGTTTATGAATGGCTATGGGCACACTATTTGCCTGAGAGGGTAGCGTATTATTTTTTATTACAACGACCAGTCCGACCGGTTCAGACTGATAGTCTTTACTAAATTGTTTATCGTTTGAAGCATGTGCCTCTATGAAAAATGCGTTCTGCTCTTTTCACCCTTTTGTGCTGCTCTGTTGCCACTGCGCTCACTGGAGAAGAAGCTCTAGAAAAGTGCGTGGACCTAGGGTTGGAGGTAAGGTTTCCCATGGGGGTAATAATATTGACACTGGGGGTGGTGATATTGGAGACATTGGGGTTGGGGTTGGGGGTGGAGGGAGTGGTGGTGGTTGCGACTCGACCGCTTGTGATGCCAGGGTAAGATATCTATATAGACATCCAAAGAGATTACATGAATACTAGTAGTAACATACTGATTCATTATAGTGTCGAAGATTAGGCGATAAATCTGGCTGTGCGACAACGGGAGTGGATCTCCTAGTTTACTTGGACTTGTTTTTGGGCAAAATACGCCGTTAGTCTCCTTTTCGATCGTGCTTGGATTGCAGCTAGAAGAGCATGCATGGCCAACACGAGCCACTCGAGAGGAATTGAAAGTAAGGTGGATGCGCACATAGGGCATTATGAATTCATGATATAGTCATACGATCTAATGCGATGGGATGCGATTCGTACTTACTCCCGCGTGACGCCAGTCTCCCCCGACCATTCCAAGATAATATCTTCAGGAACATCTCTAGTGAGAATATGAACGTGTTCCAGGGCCCGTACACTCTGCAAACCAACCCAATTCTTAAACCACAAGATTTGAGATTTGGGATCTTGGAAGCGCTGTCCCGGATCCCTGGCCAGACGACCAACAAAAGTCCGCTGAACAAAGTCGTCAATCAAAGCCCTCGACTCATCGGTGAGATGACCTTCGTCCCCCTGTACCGGGATCGGGGTACGCAGCCAGACAATGAGGTGCGAAATGCCGGGATCCAAGCCGTAGGGCCAGTCATTACGGAGAATCTTGTAGTCTTCAGGGTCGGCAAATGGGCGCGGGTTCCTGAAGGCGACTCCACTTTGAATAGCCGCGGGTGTACTGGACGCGGATGCGGAAGACGGGGACGGCGTGGAGCCGGGGGTTGTTTCGGTTGAGGCTAGCGGAGACGACCAACCCAGGCGGCGCTGGCAGATAAAATTCATGATGGAGCCATACTCGGCCTTGGTGGCTGCACTCCAATCCAGGTATCGGCGGAGATCGGAGGGTTTCCGCTTGAGTGCGGCAAGATCATTCCGGGCTAGTCGGGTGAGTGAGGGGGAAATATTTGGGGAAATGAGGAGAGTAGAGGAGAGAATGGGTTTAGTCCCATCTTTGTGCACTCACCGATAATGCTTTGTAGATCATTCCAGTCGTGGGCTACGAACTCCTCGTCGGTCATGGCGAGGAGTTGGTGGTCCAACGCGGTGAGATTGAAGGCAGGGGGAGCCATGATGGGAGGTTATGCAATGCAATTGATAGAATAGATGAATGTAATGAACAGGATGAATATAGTAAACGCAATGAATGTGAATGTCAATGTCAATATGTCAAGTAGTGAGGGGAATCAAATCCCAAAGAGGAGTGAAATTCCGTTGGGCGGAAGAGCGGACTCCGTCGAGAGGAAGTCACGCTTCTTCCCAACTTCAACTTCAACTTTCCAACTTCCCCTTCTCCTCCCCTCTTTATCCATTCCTTCCCCCGCCATGAGGTATGTTCATACTCCCCTTCTTGACTATCAATGCCCTGATTCTTTCAAGTCGCCTTTGCTTTCCTTGAACCCCTCTAACAATGTCCAGTTTCAACGTTGGCACCGCCCTCATTCCCTCGGTCTTGCTGGTCGCCGGTGTGTATGCCGTCAAGCCTGAGTTTGTCGCGTATGCTGTCGCTGCTGCCGCCGCCTTGACTGGTCTTGCCTTCTTTACCGGAAGCAGCAGTATGTGTTCCTCAATCCCACCTACCATGATCGTGTGGCCCGCGATCGTTGTGTAACTCCCCCCCGGTCTGACTAACATTCCACCCCCCGTCGCAGAGCCTCGTAAGGTCCTGAACCCCACCGAGTTCCAGAACTTCGAGCTCAAGGAGATCAACAACATCTCCCACAATGTTGCCATCTACCGTTTTGCCCTCCCCCGTCCTACCGATATCCTCGGTCTGCCCATCGGCCAACACATCTCCCTCGCCGCCACTATTGAGGGCCAGCCCAAGGAGGTTGTGCGCTCCTACACCCCCATCTCCTCCGACAATGAGGCCGGTTACTTCGACCTGCTCGTCAAGGCTTACGCTCAGGGTAACATCTCCAAGTACCTCACCACACTGAAGGTCGGCGACACCATGAAGGTTCGTGGCCCCAAGGGTGCCATGGTCTACACTCCCAACATGTGCCGTCACATCGGTATGATCTCCGGCGGTACTGGTATTACTCCCATGCTGCAGGTCATCGAGGCTATCATCCGCAACCGTCCCCGCAACGGCGGAAATGACACCACCAAGGTCGACCTGATCTTTGCCAACGTCAACCCCGACGATATCCTGCTCAAGGAGAAGCTGGAGAAGCTCGCCAAGGAGGACGCTGACTTCAACGTCCACTACGTCCTGAACAACCCCCCTGATGGCTGGATCGGTGGTGTTGGTTTCGTCACCCCCGACATGATCAAGGTAAGCAAGCCCACGCACGTGTGATCGGCACGTACCGAGGTGAAACACGTTCTAACATTTGCCTCACAGGAACACCTGCCCGCCCCCGCCGCCGACGTCAAGATCCTGCTCTGTGGCCCTCCCCCCCCATGGTTAGCGCGATGAAGAAGGCCACCGAGTCTCTTGGCTTCACCAAGGCCCGCCCAGTTAGCAAGCTGGAGGACCAGGTCTTCTGCTTCTAAGCGTGTGCGTGTCTGGGTAAATACCCCTAAAAATGTTCGCTGGATCAAGTAGCTCGTGATTGTGAGCTTACGACCAGCGAACAACTGCTCTTCATGAAGAAATTCCGCGAAATGTACAGCGATTGCGAGGATAGATTTGTCTATAGACCCTAGCCAAGCGCAGGCGTCAAAGGATTTATGAACAATGCTGCTTAATTTTATGGTCACATATTTTCAATGCCAATTTATACGGCCAAGAAAAGACGTCACTGGGCGAATGCCTATTATAAACAGAAATTATTTACACTGCGGTCCCAACTACTACTAGTACAGTCTGACTCTTCCAGTTATTGAGAGTTATATAAGCTAAGTGACCAAGTGACTTTTATTGAGTGCCCAAGTGCGTTAGCACTCTACTAGCATAATCCCCTAAAAGGCATCTCCCTACTGGCATCTATCATTCGCTGTCCCGAGCTTCTCGTCACCTTTGATCTCAATACTACTAGTCAAATGTCGACTCCTTCATAAATGGGCTGCGCCGGCAAATTGCAGGCCCCTTCCAGACTAACACCACCGGAACGAGCGAGAGAGCGAGCCCAATAACCCCAGCAATGTCCCAGCCCAGCCATACCCCAAATGCGTGAAGAGTGCAGTGGAAGACAGTGGCAGAGAAGCGCTGATAATGTTTATTCCATCGGGCGATTATGGAATCTGGATCGCCCACCTCCAGAGCTGTCCGCCCTTATGACGCGAAGATCCTCGAAGAGCAAATTCAAGTCTTTCTTAGGGAGGTCAAATGCCCAGAGGACTTAGATGAAGCAAAAATATTCCCATATCTGCGCAGCCTCTCGAGTTCGAAAATAATTGAGGCTCAAACAAGGGTGTTCGATAATACAATCCCTCACTAAGATGGCCCTTCCAACCAGTCATCGACAGAGATATAATTCCTCGCAAACCACTCGAAGCATGGTATTCTCAATCATGGAACAGAATACCTATAATGACCGGATTCAACACAAATGAACCAAACCCTATGTCGACGAGCAGATGTCCGAAACATCAGAATTCTGCACATTCTGGCAGACTCTTCTCCCCAACTTTTCAGCCTCCGAATTAGACTCGATTGAACAGCTATATCCAGATCCAAAATTCGATCCCAAATCGCCATATAAAGAGACATGTGAAGGTCTTGGAGCTCAATCCAGGCGCATAGAGGCAGCATATGGACACTACGCTTACGTGGCACCCGTCCGTCAAACAGCTCATCTTGCCTCTTCCCAGGGCGGCCTAGTACATCTATACCATTGGGCACTTCCTCGCTCTATTCTCGATGCAAGTCATGCGGATAATATGTATTATGAGACATACAACAAGGATATCCGAGAAATCTCCGAATCTCAAAAAGCATTATCGGGGACGCTGCATGCATATCTTACCAGCTTCATTGCGACGGGAAATCCGAATACTGTGCGAGGGCGATATCCGCACAGACCGGAATGGTCGCCTTTTGAACAAAGAGATCAGAAATTTATGCATTTTGGAAAGGATAATGAGGAACTTATTGGTGAGGATGTAGCTCCTCCTGCTAAGATTGTTGTGGATGACTGGGCGAGAGAAGAAACAGAATTTTGGTGGTCAAAGACCGATCTTTCGGAGCAGGCCTGAGAATATCTGGATTGATATTTCGAAGAGCAGGGATTATTATTCAATAACGTCAACTTCATCTTCATTGCTCATTGCTAGTTGTCAATTCACTGTTAATATTATATACCGGTGTGACGAATTTGATCGCACTCTCATGGCGAAGTCACGGTTTCAGTAATGCTGGAGGATTCGTGAAGTTGATAATGAGGAACCTCTTCCCCGGCACGCCATTTGTACTTGCTTCCCGGATGATCTTCTGGCAATCGGTCAGATCCAATGAAGACATCCCTTGCAGTCGCACCCTCCTTCTCAACTTCTGCACGGAAGATTCCTCTGCGTCTGAGCTCTGGAAGGAGAAATTCGATAATATCCTCAAAAGATCCCGGGTTTGTGATATGTGCCAGATTGAATCCATCCACTCCAGCAATCTCAACCCACCTCTCCAGTTCATCTGCAACGGTGGTAGGGCCGCCGACTACCTTAGCCTGAAGACCGCCAACGCTGATATATTCAACGATCCTTCGCTTTGTCCATGGGAGATTCTCGGTACCTGGAACGGTGGAAGCAAATCTCTGCACAACCGATTGTACTCGTGGGGAGTCGCTGAACCGGAAATCTTCGTCGTCGGAGTAGGTTGATAAATCAATACCTGTCCATCCGCCAAATAAGGCCAGAGCGCCTTCATCATCTGCATATCGAAGATACTCCTCTCTCTTTGCCTTGGCTTCCTCATCTGTCGCCGCCACAATTACATTGATGCCAACGATCACTTTGATATGATTTGGATCACGACCCTCTTCTTGGGCAATTCTGCGAATATTATCAACGGTCAAGCGGGTCCCTTCGGGTGTCTGGCCCCCGATAAAGATAGCTTCTCCATGTTTACCCCCAAACCCATTCCCAGCCTCCGAAACTCCAGCCTGGAAGAGGAATGGAGTTCGCTGGGGAGATGGCTCGCAAAAATGGGGACCCGGTACATCGAAATATTTCCCCTTGTGGTTAATTAGTCGAACACCATCGCTTTCGATATAGGTCCCAGCGTCGCGATCAGCGACAACAGCACCATCCCGAAAGCTGCTTTCCCAAAGTTTGTACAGCACCTCCAAGTACTCATGGGCAATAGCGTATCGCTCATCGTGCGGAATTTGCTCTGTCAAACCGTGATTCCTCGCAGCGCTGTCCAAGTACGACGTGACGATATTCCATGCCAAGCGTCCATCACTGAGGTGGTCAACTGTCGACAAGCGGCGAGCGAGCGAATAAGGCTTTTCGTAAGTCACGCTTGCAGTGACGCCGAAAATGAGATTCTTGGTTACTGCAGCCAGGGCGGGTACCAGATATAGCGGGTCATTGACAGGGAATTGTGCGCCTGAGGTGAGTGATGGGACTACATTGGCCGGACCTTTGTAAACATCGTATGGACCCAGTGTGTCCGCGATGAACAGGGCATGGAAATTCGCTTTGTCCAGCAGTTGCGCGAGATTCGTCCAGAATGAAAGCTTCTTGTACTGGTCTGTTTGATTTCGAGGATGTTTCCATAGGCCAGGGGCCAAATGGCCGGGAGCATTCATCACGAAGGCATTCAGGATAATCTGTTTTTTGTTTTTCGGAAGTTTTCCCCGGAGTTGAGGCTCCTTGATCTCCGAGTCTGCCATGTTTATCTCTGTTCGCTGCAACGTATTAAAATCGAAGGGTCATTGAACTGGCAATCGTCAGTCTCGAGAGAATGGGAGTTCTCGTGTTTTGAATCCTTCTATCGGGTCTATCGGCGGCTATGGTATCAGCATTGCCCAGATTGACACTCTTCTGTTCGCCATCGATTCTATCTCGCTATTCTTCATGCTGATGTCGAATATGATCCTATCGGCCGACAAATATCTGGTCCCTTTCAGATTCCTACGGAGTAATGATATTGTGGAGAAGAAAGAGGTGATTTAGTTGGTGCGTGATAGCGCAGAATCAACTCGCTATCGCGCCATGGACGCACGCCATCGCGACTCACAACCCCTAATTTTACCCAACACGATCGCTAAGGCCAATCACGGTGGACAATTTGGGTTTTAGTGTCTTGACAGAAGCTAATCTCTTTTCGCGATGCTTTAAGAAACGTTCCGGAACGTCATATTGGAGTCGCCTTGCATAACGCAATATCGGATTTGAACGACGTGAGAAAGCTCCGACCATATGGCACTTCTGGGCGCGTGTGATTCTTTGAAATCATTGGCTATGAAAATAGACCAAGCTCCAGGCCAAGAATAGAATGGTCCGCGAAATGAATAAATAAGAATTCCAAGAGTCCGACTCCATTGCTTCTCGCGTTCCTCAATCTTCGGCATCCCACCATGTCAAATACAATAGACACGGGCAAGCTGGCCCTGATCTCTCAGGGTGCGGCCTACGGGCTCCTGATTGGACTTGGCGTCCTTTTTTGCGGTGTCATCTTGATCGCCGTTAAGATCCAAAAGCTGTATCTTTCGGAGGATTCTGGCAAATCGGAGATGTTCATGGTCGCCAATCGGTCTGTTGGAACGGGTTTAACAGCATCTGCGGTGTTTTCATCTTGGATGTGGATCAACGAGACTGTGCTGGCAGCTGCAATGTGCTACAGGTACGGCTTGGCCGTTCCATTGGTATGGAAATTGTATTCCTTTTCGATAATCAGCAAATCTCTGACATACCTTTAGTGGTGGGGATCTGGACTATGTTTCCAAATTGCATTGATGGCGGCACTTGGCGTAATGGCCAAGATTCGAGTTCCTTACGCGCACACTTCTCTTGAAATCGTACGAATGAGATATGGCAAGATTGGACATCTTGTTTTTATTGTGCTCAACTTAGTGAACAATGTCTTTGGATGTGCCTCTATGATCATGACGGGGTCCCAGCTTATCTATGGTGTCTCGGGTATGCACTTTGTGGCAGCGACTATACTGATTCCCCTAGGAGGTAAGTGACCTCGATACTCTGAAAACCCGATGCACCGCAGCTAATACTTCTCTAGTTGTGCTATATACCGCAGTAGGTGGCCTGAAGGCTACTTTCTTAACTGACTTCCTGCATACCACCATTGCGTTGATCCTCATCATCTACTTCACAATTGCTGTTCTGACGAACGACGCAATTGGCGGTTTGGGTGGCCTCTATGATAAGGTAGCGGCTACTGCTAGCGAGAACTACATTTCTGGTAACTACCAAGGATCTGTCCTCACTTTTAAATCCAAAGGCGCAATCATCTGGGGTTTAATTCTGAAGTTTGGCAACTTGGCTCTTGTTGTTATGGTAAGCAAACAAGCAGTACTATATATAAATTCCATATTTAACACTGCTACTAGGACACTGCATTCTGGCAAAAATCGTTCGCAACCGAAGTTAAAGCTACCGTGCCGGGCTACAATATAGCTGCGCTCGCGGTTTTCGGCATCCCTTGGGGAATCGGCACAGTGCTTGGCTTGACAGCTCGGGCAATCCACAACACCCCCATTTTCCCAACCTACCCCGACCCTCTAACCGACACTGAAGTCAGCATGGGCATGGTGATGCCATATGTTATCAAAGCGCTGATTGGTGATGGCGGAATCGTGGGATTCTTCATCTTACTCTTCATGGCAATCACCAGCACGGTTTCCTCTTCCATGATTGCAGTTAGTAGTATTTTGTCCTATGATTTGTACAAAACATACTTCAACCCGCAGGTGACAGACAAAAAGCTCGTCAAGGTCAGTCATCTGACAGTCGTGATTCACGGTGTCTTCATCACTGGAATCTCAATCGCCTTGAATTACGGAGGCGCCAATATGACTTGGATCAACTATTTGCGACCCGTGATATCTTGCCCAGGAATCATCCCGCTCATTCTTACACTATTCTGGTCAAGACAAACTCGACTTGCTGCCATCGTATCTCCGATCCTTGGTTTCTTCACTGGTCTTACAGTCTGGCTTGTAACCGCGAAGACAATGTATGGCGCCGTGGACATCGCAGCTACATCGAACGAATATCCGGCCCTTTATGCGGCGATCGCATCTTTCTTCTCGCCGGCCCTATATTCCGTTGTTCTCTCGATATACAAGCCATACACCTTCGACTGGCGAGAGTTCCTCCGCATCGAACTACAAGACGAAGCCAAACTACACGCCGATTCCGACTCTGCGACACCAAACGATAGCGGTGATGAGAATGCCAAAGGATTCAGAGGGAATGAGATTGCCAAACCTGTTGGAATTACACCCACTTCCAACTCGATCAACAGCAATGACCCAGAGCATGTTGGCGGTATCGATGAAAAGGCTCCACCGGAGACACCACCGTCCCTTGCGGTGGAGCAACAAAGTCTAGACGACATCCAACATCCATTCGATGACAAAACAATCAAAGAACTTTACCGCTGGCTAAAAATTGCCATTGTGTTTTTCATTGTCATTGTCTTGGTCACTATCGTCGCCTGGCCTCTCCCGCTTTATCGTGACTACATCTTCACGAAGTCTTTCTTTTCCGGATGGGTAACAGTCGCTATTATATGGCAATTTGGAGCATTTGGGGCGGTGGTTGTTTACCCTCTCTACGATGGAAGACACGAGATCGCAACAGGCGCCCGTGGAATTTGGAATTCCTCAAGACGCTATTTCGGCAAGAGGGGAGAGACTTAATTCAATTTAGAGTTTTGACAAGGGTTAAACGGTCTAACTAGGATATCCAAATTTGAATTTCAAGTTGTTTTCAGTGATGTTGCTTTGTAATGTGAAGTGAGCCTTCAAATAGTATGTACAGAGCACAAATGACACATTCTCTAGTCATTTATGCTTGATGTCTGCGTGATCATGCAAAATCCAGATGCCTACAGGGTAGTGTAGGGACCCTTTGTCCTGGAGACTCTTGATGCGACCGAGCAGGAATTCAAGCTGGCGGTAAGCGGCACCAGGGACATACTGTGGAATTTCTGTAGAGAGGGTCAGCACAGTTCCATCGTCGAAAGACACTCCATTACTCACCATGTCCAGATCCATAGACAGAGCTGAAGGTTAAGCCACGTTCAGTGTGTGCAGTACCCAGGATACCACCACCAGCATCATTGGTCCATGGAATGGAGCCCTGTTGGTTCGCAACGGTGTCTAGTGCACTTGTGTAAGGCACAAACAACGGCTCAGTTGGTGGCTTCTGGAAACCCTGGGCACCGTTCCACGTCATGTTCTGAATAGTAACAAGAGTTCCGTTCAGGAAAAGGAGATAATCCAACCATCCGTGGCCGATGAGAACGTTGTTAGTCCGTTCAATGACGCTGGGGAGAGGGCCAAGGGCGCTAGGAAGGGATTGATCGCCTTGTTTGCCGAAAATATCACCTCCACAGACTGCGTAGTTAGTAGGCGGGACGTGAAGAGCCTTTTGAACAGCGGACTGGTTGAAGTAGTTGTTCGGGCCTCCAGCCAAAGAGGGGAATCCCATTTCATCCCACAAGAAAGGGCAGAAGTCCGTCAGATGGTACATGTTGAAGCAAGGGTTGATGTATGTTGCGGCCACGAGAATCTGATCCCAAACATTACAGCCATCCTTATTGGGGTCTGGCGTGACAGGGAAGTCCTTGGGAGGGGGATAGGTGAGGGCAGTATCCAGAAATTTGTTGTAGCCACACTTTTCGGCCTTCTCATTGATGTCGGCAAGGAATGTATCGTTCAGAGTAAAGACGTTAGAAAAGTGGTTCAGTGCGGCCACGGCAGGGGCTAATGCTTTTGTAAGCTAATTGCAACATATGAATGAATTGGCTCGTAGAATTCGTCTTACCGTAGATCATGACGCTATCTTCATTGATAGATGGGTCATTGATTTGGATACCCTTCAGGTTGAAGTGGGTGGTATCGTTCTGGTCAAGGAACCCGGAAGCCAAGTACGGGATATACTGGCCTGCATAGCTCTCGCCGGTGATGTAAATCTTGTAGCCCTGCATGCTGAAGGTTTGGATGAAACGCTTCCAGAAGTCGTTGAACTGATTCGAGACGTCGATCTCATCCTGCACGGTAGCTGGGCCGGGGGAGAAACCCGTACCGGCAGGTTGGTCGATGTAAACCATGTTGGTCAAGTTCGTCCACGAGTAAGGATTGCGAACAGGCTCGTATGTGCCAGACTGCCACAGGAAAGGACCATGTTCCTGGAGAAGGCCGTCGAGGGAGCTACAACCGGGACCGCCATTCAACCAGATGGTAATCTAGATTGACAATTAGCGCAAGCTTCCTTTCTCTCGAGATTCTCGTTAAAACGATCGGGTAGATACCTCTTTTTTGGCATCAGGGTTTGTCGATGGGAAGAACCAGAAGAACAAACTGGAATTTCCATGAGGCGTATTGGATAGCAGTCCTGAATAACTCTCGCCAATGTCAAACGGAACCTGAGGGAAATGCTTTCCGTTCACAAGGAATTCTGCAGCGAATGATAAGCTTCATCGAATGTCATATGGCAGATAGTACGGCTCCTTACGCTTTGTCTTCTTGTTCAGGTACTGATAGTCAGACTGATCCACGGAGTGGGTGTCTCGCTTCTGAATATGATTGACAACACTGGATTTCTTCGTAGCCTTGCGATGGGGGCTGCTCAAAGCAGCGACCGTGGCCACCAAGGCAGTCAAGGGAACAAGGACACGCATGGTGAGAGCTCGGTCAATTCCTGGTGAGAGTCAAGTTCGCCGCAGCGGAGTGTCAGGGGAACTCGTTTAAGTACTTTCCGGATAAGTCGGAGGTGGAGCATGCATGGCCTGAGCGATGTTGGAACCCCGAATGGCTCTCCCGAGATTAATGCAGCACCAAGCCTCGCCAATCCGCATGCAGATCGAACGGGCAATCGGCGGAGCGATCCGTCGTGATACATCGGATTTCCAGTTTCACAACAAACTCCTCTCCATTTGAGGGGGTCAGTGGAGTCCTCCGAGGCTCGCGCGTTGTAACGTTAGGAACAACTGGGAAGGTGACATGGCAGTGCATGGCGTCATTGATCAGCTTTGGGCTTAGCTTTGTGGTGGATACATTGGGGAGCCGACGGAGTTCCAGCTGAGGGGATCTTGTTTAGTTGTTGCCTAGCATTGATGATTGGATCGAGGCTGAAATTTGGGCCAATTCAGGGTCAAAAAGCGGGGAGAGGTGGAGAGGTTGGCGGAAACAAGAAATGCCAAGCAAACGCTTATCCTCCACAGGAGATACGTGCAACAAACAACAGTTGGGTTATCTTGCTGGATATTATTGGCTACTTCTAGTGATACTACTCACCAGACTTATAAGTCTTTTTTTTTCCGCTGGTCGAGCATAATCCCATGATTACTTGAAATAAGACACATCTTCAGCACTTCAAGACCCGTGCATACAAACAACTTGGATAGTATCAATAACAGTCAACCAACCCAAAAAGAAGATGCAAAAAAGGAGAGTGTTTGTTAGTAGTATATGCGTCTGCCATTTTTAAAGAAATGGCAAAAAGATATCTCAGGTAAGGTTTGTAGGAATAGCCGAACGGGGGGGGTCGAACCCCCAACCTTGAGATTAAGAGTCTCACGCTCTACCGATTGAGCTAGCCCGGCTGGGCTGTTGTTTGGGGGAGCAGACTATGGCTCTATGAGGCAGAAATCTTTTCAGGTGATTGCACTAGCGATATACCGCTGAATGGCAGAGTCTACAACACCCAACCAGGAACTGAAAATCAACTAGAGGCAAGATACCTTGATTTGAGTATAGTATTGCTTCATCACCGTCCGACATAGGAGGTGATATGGAACAAGATAGCACGGAATGGTGACGGACTGATATCATGTTAGCCAGGCACCTATGCCCGAATCGCTTCCTGTAGCTATCTGAGCCCTGAGGTATGGCTTCTTCCATTTCTCTCTTCCCAAATTTTCTGACTTTCGTCGAATCCTACATGTTCATTTCCTTTCCATCCTGGCTTCTCACAGCTTTCTCCTGGTCCCGACTGTCAGCGAAGACATGATTTTGCCATTGACGAGCCGGAATACCCTCCTCAAAAAATGCCGCAATTTCCACCTGTGTTCTTTCTAGAGTTTCTCCGACACAAAACCAGACCCAAGCAAGCGAAGTGAGAGTTGTCGCAGCGTAAACGAAGCCGACCATTGGCCCTAGCCCGGCGTCATAGTACAGGTATGGTGCCGTGAAAGAAATGACCCATAGGAAGAAGTAAAGAGCAACAATCGAGATCGAAATGATCTTATTCTGATTCACCCCAACGGATAATTCGCGCGTAATAGCGTATGTCAAAGGGCCCTGACCGAAATTGTACGCGCAGATCACGACGTAGGAGAAAACCACGATAACGTATTTCGATGCCGTCGAAAGCTCCTTTTGCGTACCGATACCCCCAATCACGATAAAGGACATGAAGATTAACCCTGTGCTGATGAGAAGATTGGTCCGTCGTCTCAGTTTGTTCGCCGTAAGCACCGAGGCTCCGACCGCAAAGATTTGCAGAATCATCGTGATAAGGGTGATGGTAAATGGCTGGGAGACGCCAATTTCCTGCGCAAAAACAACACCATAGTTATAGAAAAATATGATACCACAAATTTGTTGCGCATACATCCCACCTGCTGCCCAAATCAATTTTTTGCGTTCGACGGGGTCGCAGATCAACGACTTCCAAGATGATGCCTTGGCCTGTTCGTTGTCATACTCTCTTGCCCGCTCCAGTAGGGCGATATCGGCAGATGGGTCATATGTCGGATCATTTTGGTGAATCTTTCGGAGTGCGGCTTCGGCCTCGTGTCGTCTTCCCCGGAACACATACCAGGCCGGACTCTCTGGGATAAATGGCAAAAGCGCAAAAGCCACAAGAGGTAGAATGACAAGACCGCCCATCGGCAATTTGTATGAAAGAGATGACTTGATTTCGTTCGTGCCTTGCGTGGTGCCGGAAGCGACTAGTTGCGAGCAAGATTGGATGAATTGGTACATATATAGTGCCGGGCTGCGGATCTCAATAGGCGCGACCTCTCCCATGCTATTAGCTGGTTAGCAGAGTTCTGAGAGGTGGAAGGTGACAATGAAATTTGAATGACACTTACTAAAGGAGCGACGTAACTGTGAAGTTACCGACTCCAAGGCCAATGAGAATTCGACCCAACACAATGACCCCCCTCAATATGGGTATCCGCAGTCTGTGTAATACCACCTGCTAGAACGAGAAACGAGGCGATCCAAAGAACAATTCTACGGCCGAAACGATCGTTCAACGGCCCAGCGAGAAAGGCGCCAACCATGTCGCCTATGTAAATACTCGAAGTTGTCAGGGAAGTGAAGCTGGTTGCGAGTGCCTTTTGACCATTCTCATATTGACTACCGTAGTCATTCTTGAATTCCTGCATGCCGAGGATTCCACTGTAATAAGTGTTATCATATCCAAAGACAAAGGCCCCTATGGCGGAGATTGAACAGTATATTATCGCCCATTTGTGACGTTTGAAGTCTATGTTGATATCGAACATGGTTGTGAGAACCAGAAAGTACTGGCCCTAGTATTTCCTCAAATCTCAGATCAATGGAAACAATATACTAGTACTAGTGCTGGTATGAAACCGTGTATAAAAAGTAAAGTCTTTGTTGACGATGTCCAACAGAATATGTCCCCAGTCCCATCATTAAGTATCGACAATCTGGGCGCGGACCCCTGCGCGGTTCGCAAATCCGGGGGAAAGATCAGCATACCTTCAATTCCAAGTTTACGGCCACAGGAAATGGACTAGTCCCCGCACTGTAACCAAGCTCACACAGGCTTCGGAGAATAGTTTCGGGGAAATGCACCTGCATCCCCCACGTCCTGCGACCAGCCATATTCAACGTCCCAGAGATCTTGAGATGTGGTTCGCTGGGCAATGTCGATAACACGGCAGAAGAAGTCTGGCGTGGGTGGGTGGCGCTTCAGCTGTACCCCCCACGCATAAAGCCGATGACACGCGAGGATCTGCTCCCCGTGGGGAACTTGGGACTGGGGTGTCGGCTTCGCGCTAGTAGTGAAATCCGATTCCGCTTGTTTTTAGCCTCGGCAATCAAATATTCCCGAAAAAGTATTCATAATGAAACGCTTGAAACGAGCAGAAGGAAGAAATAGGTGGAACATGACGATCATGGTGATTCGGCCGAACGAACCGGCGATCGATTTATGTAAGTTAGTTACTAGTCCTGGAGTTGAAGGCCTGAGATACCAGGCGCTGCACTCAAAACAAGGATTTTGCAATGATGAAAAATGCGTTCCCTTTGGAATTGAAAATTAATTGCTCATATCTTTCTAAACCAACAGTATCAGAATAAACAGCATTATCCCCTGATCGAATTCACGAATCAGCTGTTCTATTGGGAAGAGTAGCATGCAGTTTGGGTACAAGACAACTCTTCATCTTATAGTTTGTTGCAATGCGTTCGACATTATATTTTTCAAGATCGCTGAGTTAGAGGACAATCTATAAGTGACCGGTAGAATAGGATTGTAGTATTTGAGATTGCCAGATGTATTGACAGTTAAGAATCAGATCATGAAATTTCCTTCTATGTCCGAGGCCCATTTCGATGCTTCACCAATTGATCAGTCGCCGTCCCGATCATCTCTACCGAACATGTCCTCGGGCAGTCTGAGACCCATATCTACCTGACATAAGACACGTGCAAACTTAGAGCAGACAGTATGAGCCCATTTGAATGATACTCCTAGCGCCACGGGCCCCGCCACGATTCAAGATTCTCATCATCACCGATATTCGAATATTCCGGCGGACGGTTTCCATATCCACGACTCAAACCATGCTGATTACCAGCAGATCCCACCACATAATCGTGACTTTGTCCCAGAAGACTGAACCGCTCAGCAATTCGATCCACCTCCGTATCACCACCCGAAACAATTGCCGTGGGTTCCTCAGGATCCACAAGTTCCGCAATAGCATTCGAGTAAATTGAGCGAAAAATGAGTTCGAAAAGAAGCTCGCTGAGAGCAAGTTGATCAGGACCGATCTCCCAATTCCCATACTTCGCCGCGTCCTCCAGCAGATTAACGACAGGCATACCCAGGGCCCGACGAAGATGATTGACTTTCAGCACTTGGTCCGGAATCGAGGTGTGCTCTGTCGCGGCGACGAAGCTTTCCTGGATGCGTATCGGTGTAAGTTGCAATTTCTGTAGTGTCTTGTTGAGATAGGTCACGCCGGCCATGAAGTCTATCAGGAAGTAGAACTTGTCGTTGTATCCCATGCGGCGATCCATGTACAGGGCGCGTCGGCCGAGCGGGGTGTCGGTCTTTGCATCAAATGCTTCTATGTAGGCGTTCATGCACAGGAGTTTGAGGAGGTGGATTGCGTGGGTGTATTTCACGATCAGATCGTAGTTGTCGAGGAGGTCGCCGGGGGTTGTGTGGTCGTTCATGATGGTTGGGATGAGAGGCAGGAGATGGAGTAGGTAATCCTAATAACTAGGCTGTGAAAGAGGCGTGCAATGGAGTAGCTAGTGAAGGATGCGTGTAATGGGAAACTTGGTGCAGCAAATACCAGTGGAAGTGCCCATGTGAAGGGAGGATGCAGGTTTGAGTGGGCTGTGAGAAAGTGAATGATCTCTTACTGGTCTTCATTCACTTGACGAGGGCCCTCAATGGGCCCTCAATGGGGTTGTTTGCATCCTGCCCAGGTGGGTGCAGTTGGGAAGTTGTAGGCAGCACATCGCCAGAAACGGGGAAATGCTCTAAACTCACAACTCACCACCCCCCGGCCTTCTATGACTATTTCATCAAAGAGAAAAAATGACAAAAAATCAACTCCTTTTTATTAAGGGGAAAATAAATTTGGAAGCTGAAATTTTAAATATGCGATTTCCCGCGTTATTAATACTAGTCTACAGGCTCGTATGATTGGATGGCAATAGTTAGTTTCTTAATATGCGAACTTGGTAACAACGAATCAATTCAATAACATAAAGGCTAATCACTCTTCACCTTCGGCATGAGCCTGAATCCTAGCCTTACCGACCACAGCCATCGTCTCATTTTGACAAACGTAATCCTTGAACTTTCGAGCAGGCAGCCCAGCCTGGAACATCTCCTGGATCTCAGCCACTGTGCGTCCCTTCAACTCTGGCAAACAGAAGTACAGGTAGACGCACATGGGCAGCGACAAACCAAAGAAGATGAAGCATATCTTGCCACCGATATTCGCCTCGTCCGTATTCAGAAGGTAAGGCAGGATTTGCAGCACAGCGCATGAAACGGCGGTGGCTGACATGATATTGATCGAGTATGTCTTCTGGCGTAGAAGTGGACTGGGGGTTTCACCGCCAACTGCATATGCAACAGCACCAAGAGTAGCTTGATACTATCGAGATGTTAACCTTGACCTCCGAATACCTTCGAGAAAAGCAGCTGGAAGTCTTACCAAAAATCCCCACAAGGTCATAAATGCGACGGTCGCCTTGAGTGCCGAACTAGACCCGATCGTACTAATACCTCCAATGACCAACAGACCCATCGTCATGATTATCATACCGCCAACAATCATCGGTCGGCGACCAAGCCGATCGACCAAAGGCCACGAGCAGATGTTTCCGAAGAGTTGAATAGCGAATGCAACCTGGGCGAGTGCAATGGCATCGTTGACACCGGCGAGTTTGAAGTAGTACCTAAGAAGAGGAATATTAGGCTAGAACCAGCGATTGTAGCTCGTTCGACTCACGTTAAATATCCAGACACGAAATTGACTCCGATAAACTGCTGAGCGATATATACCATGCAGATGATGAGTGTGCGGCGCCCATCCGGACCCCTGAAGCAATCCAACCACGCCGACCCAGTGCGCGAGAGCTCTTTCTCCTGTGCAACGGCAGCCGTAGTGATAGCCATAGCCTCGTCAACATCAAAATCAGGTCCATTGAAGTATCGGAATGATCGAGCTGCTTCCTCGTGTCTATCTTTCATGATAAGCCAAGACGGCGACTCGGCGAGAAAAGGGAGGCCGATAAGGAGAAGACCAGGTGGAATCATCTGGGTGATGATTGGAATACGCCAGGCCAGGTCATCGGATCGGTTGGAGCAGGCGAGAACCGCGGCAGAATTGATCCATTGGCCAAGTACAATCATAGTATTCACCAGCGACAGACAAATACCGCGGACCTTGGGCGGTGCCAGTTCCGCAACAAACACTGGTCCGAGTGAGTGACCCAGGCCAAAGCCAAAAGTACTCAACAGCTTCCCGCCGAAGAGTTCATGGATGCTGTGGCTGAAATATTGTAAGATGATTCCCCCGACGCAAAGTATGCAGCCGACGATTATTGTCTTCTTTCGACCCATCAGGTCGGAGATGAAGCCTGTTGCAAAGGCGGAGCAGAAAAGACCGATGGTACTGGCTGCATTGAGGATTTGTTGATCTGTAGCGCGAATCTCGAGGATGCCATTGGCTTCGACACCGAACTCCTTGAGAAAGGAGTCAACGGCAAGAAGGTTTCCGACGGTACTGACTTCATAGCCGAAATTGATTGGGAGAAGAAAGATGAAGAGGCCTGGGGGGGAAGAGAGAGGCATCAGTTGAGGTGGAGGTGGAGGTGGAAGAAGAAGAACTCACACCAAAGCAAAACGCGCCTGCTCTGCCAGGCTTCCGCCCAGCTGATTCCCTCGTTTGCCCTCCTCGTTACCAGCTGCTCCTCCACATGCTCACTGGCAGGAATCTTTTCGTCCATATTGGTCTTGATCTTATCTCTCACTGGACTTCTCGTGGATGGCCGCTCCTTTAACCTTTCTCCTTCCCTCCCGTGGGGATATCCAACGTGGGGAGACTGCGGAGAACCTGGTCCAAATTAGTCTTCTCCACCAATACTGCCTTTCTAACCGCCAGCCACTGCTTCCAATTACCTTATTCCCCACCCTGACGCATCGGATTACTGCTTTTTCTGCCACTCGGGATGAGGCATACACTTTCAAGAGCCGAGCTAGCCTGAAACGCGCGAGAACAATGGCCCGTTTGGCGGACCGGCATGTCAGAGTCGACAATCTACTGGGGCAACAAAATGGTTGTTTTCACTTTGATGTTGGTTTACAAGATTCGTGAGTAGTTACACCTAAAGGCTGGCCACGGTGGAGGCTGCCACCTGGGCAGTGATCTGGTATCTATTGTGCTATTAGTAGTATATCGCTCCAATGGAAATATATGCATCTAGCTTCGCTAGGGGCTAACTTCAGCAACACGAAGCGACGATTCCGAAAAGCGAATCGAATAGCCCAACCAGACTCGGATGGAGTCACATACTATAAAACTCTGACAGCTACAGCCATCATAACTGTCATGCCATACAAGTGCCACCCGGGCTGGTGATTAATCCCGCCGGCTAAACCTCGGCTGGTCGGAATGCGGCCCAACCCCGGATTTGGGAATCCAAGCCATTCGAATCCGGGGTAATAATTTCCCTAGTTGTCTCCGACGGGGACTTCTCTAGCGGAAAGGTATAAAGGCAGCTTGTGCAAATCGTCACGGCAGTAAACCGAAAAAAAGTTCTAGAGACACCAGAGCGTGCCCAGGTAAAAACGTCTAGCCTGGTTGTTCGGCTTGGAAATGTTCACCGTGTTTACAATAGTACACAGCCCATCTGGCCAGGACTAGGCTGCAGTTCTGTGTCACGGCTCCACCATGATGAGGCTCATTGGATGTTGCCTGTGTATACGTCTCTGGCGAGGAAGTTAGTCCGACCACTCACGAGCCAACTTAACAGGATTCAAAGATAATTGCCTAGTATTTCCCCCTCAAATCAAGCTATTCTCATAATTAAATGTAATGTGACCAGCTACTCAACCCCACGTAATGATACAATCCATATCTTGATCAATATGCTCCCATGTTGAGAATCTCAGAGAGGCTACAGCTTCGACACCACAATCCCTCGCCTTAGACTCCACGAAGCACACCATACCATCAAAAAAAGCATCCATGAAAATAGGGCTTGCAATTGTGGGTGCCACATCAAGTTCGGCGCCTTGGTACAAAGGACAGCGATGCGATCCAGTCGCGATGAATGAGGACGGTGTAACTGGGACGCCGACTGGGGGTCAATCTCGGCGTCATCCTCACTGCCTCATACTTGATGAGGTTAGAACGAGCTTAGAGTGCCTAATCCAGCCCATTGGTGCTTGATAGAAAACCCTTTTATCGACAGTGTGAGTGGTAAGCAAGGTGGGATCTAAAACGGGAGGAGAGTATCAAAAGTAGCCAGTATATGTGAAGAAGGGGCATCAGTCATGAAATTAATAGAGAGCGTAATTAGACAAAAAGTCAACCAAGAAAATAACCGTAACCCAACGACTCGAAATCAAGGCACAGGCGATCGATTCCTCTTATATTTATCCGGAATCTCCCCCAATTCAACCCAAGCACCCTGAGCATCATTCTTGTCCAGAATATTATGCGGGGTTCGCTCATCCGAGATTCTCGACCCAGTTTCCGAGGGTACAACCGTCGTTGCTCCGTCCTTTGCTGACGAAATAGAGATCGTAGTGGTGACCATTGGCGGGGGGAAATTGGGTGACATGGGCGAAGCGATGGCTGTAGTGCTGTAGCCGGCATTCTTGTACTGGTAATTATAATTGTAGCTCGGTCCGGGCGTACGGGATAAGTTGGATTTAATGAAGCGAGTGGTGAAGGGGCGGAATAGAGGCCAGACGGGTGGAATGGACATTGTGATAAGGACGAGCCATTCTTCGACTTCGCCCCAGAGGAAAAGGGTGCCGACGCCATCTATATTTAGTTTTTGGGTTAGTCACATGTTTTCAATATATGCAGAGGCGCCGGGGGAGGCGAAAAGCTAAGGCTGACTTACAGGATGAATCGACGTCGAGAATGAATTTGGCCGCCCAGGTGCGAACAATTGCAGCGACTCCCGCGAAAATACCACAGCCCATGAGGAAACTCAGACCCCACTTCAACTTGCGGTCGATTTTCAATGGGACGAGCATTTGGATTGGGATGATGGCGAGGTAGAAGTCGGATAATGCGGCGATCGCACCCACGAAATAGGTATAATAGACACTCTTGGTGTGGTTGCATTGGTCCTGGCGAAGAGGGTCCCAAAGGGCGTTGACTGGGGTGCATTGGAACCAGACCATGAGAACTTGGGGAATATTGAGAACAATGTTGAGAACAGCCACGGCGATGAGACTTTTGCGGATCTTGGGATCTGTAAAAGATGATATGTGAGTGGTGATTTCTGACCAGAACTACAAAAGGGACCACTTACTGCCTTGTCCGTTCACTTCAATAAGGAATGCAGCCACCGCCACCTTGCCGGTTGGGATTGCCAGATTAAAGAAGAAGACCGTGACCCATGTAAAGAGAAGGAAATTGTGAAGTTGGCCGACTTCCGCAATGACTGTGATATGGTTTCCTAGACCGTGGAGGACTGAAAGGATACCGAAGACTTGGGTAATGGCCGTAAAAAGCTGTTCTGCGTTAGTAAACACACGAATTTCAGAACCCCCTCAATGGGAGGTAACTATAATATTATTTGGAGAATCTCACCCAAGCAACGAGAGACAATATCAATGCGGTTGTACCGAATTTGTTAACGCGCAAGCGGACATACACCCGCATAACCATGAAGATGGTGGCAATGACCGCGAGGGAAATACCCAGACGCAGGTCCGTTGGCCCACGACCACCATAGGCCGGATATTGATCGTGAAGCGACATTATGCGAAAATGAGTGACTGGGGAAACAGGTAGACAACCGTTCCCATTGTAAAGTGGCCAAGTGAAGTGGGTTAGGGTGCGTATCGACGGAACCAGGACCACTTCTCAGCTCGGCGAGCGATGCGCGGAAACTCACGAACCCTTATAAGAAAAGCATGAACCTGAATCGAGGCTGAAAAGCGGAGGTGACCTTCCTAGTTGCACGATCCAATTGCAAATTGTCAAGCTAACCCCAGTGGAGCGGGGGACGTGCAAAAGGAACAAAAAGGCTTGGTTGGAAAGACCGCGGTCGATCTGGTGGAACTATTGAATTGTTCGGTGGATACGGAGGGTCCGACATCCGCGGTTTATTGGACGGATGAGTAGGATTGACCAGAATTCCCTTGGTCCTATTGACAATTCCCATTGACAGATGTCAGAAGTTTCCCACTTCCAGCCAAGGCCGTCTGCTACAAGTGGTCACAATCCCCTGCCTCGGCACTGATGTATACGAGTACTCGTATGTAGCTCTGTCTCCATCTAGTTCCACAGCACGCGACTGGTAGCATGAACATGCGATCATCCCCCCCACTCGGAATGAAATAGGACCTTGCAGGGATATGTCCCTCGTATTGCATGGCCAACTTCGACCGTGGCCAACCTCGTCCCACGGTTCTGGTGGGGTCCATGCATTGGCAAAGCGCATGCAAACCAAAAAAAAATGCCCCTGAAACGTGCATTCCGGACAAGACTGACCTGACCATGTCAATCATTGCCTCATTTATGATGCGCACCTAGGGTGATCCTAGCCGTGTCTGTGTGTGTGCGGTGTTTTCCCTCTCGCGTGGAATGTGGAGAACCGAATTGTCCGATTGGGCGGCTGATAATTCCACCCTCTTTGCTTTGTGCTCTTGTTCAGGCCGCCCACTTCATCTTAAACCCAGTACGGAGTATAGAAACTTTCACCCTAGCAAAGGCCACTATTGAATTGTCTTTGAGTCTGTTACGGAGTACCTTGTCTAACTTGGGCGATGGTGTACCCCCCATTTCACCGGACTCCATAGACCACCACAATGAGCCGCGTCTAACGCATTGTGCCGCCACGAAGAAGCAATGATCGCCTTAATGCATCCACAATCGGCCTGTACTCCGGACCTTAGCATACGAGTCAGTCGAATCCCGCATCGGCCGGATAATAAGGGTTCGGTACAACTGCCGCATCAAAGTATTTTGGATGATCCCAGTCTTCCTTCTTTCCTACTGTAAACACCTCTCCAACTAGACGCGTCTGATAATACAATCCACCGTTGATCGCCATTTGATCTGCATCGGTTTCAATGCTCCTTCTTAACAGGGAATTCCCAACTCGCGAGGGTGCGATCACATCAACAAGCTCGATTACCAAGGCATTGCCTTTTCCACCGCCCCCTACGTGTGGAGCCGGCTTGTCGGTGCAAGCATCGCTTCCAGTTCATCATCCGGCACTTCTCCACTAGACGGGCTAGCCGCGGGGTTTTAATGCCTTGATTAACCCAACTGCCATCTGATAACGACTGTCTCGCGAGGCAATAATATGGGACCAGTCGCCTTTGGAGAAGAAGTTTCAAGTTTGGTTTGTTAAAAGCATAAACATCACGACCAGGGTACATAATTCACCGATGTCTACCAATCGCAACCTACATTGAACTAAGTTATAGTATTGCGTATCACCAGAGCTCATCCATACCGCAGTTGAAGCCTGGCGGTGAACTAATAATCAAACAACCATACCTTACAAAATCAAAACCATCGCTCTGCAGGCAAATCACACTCCATTTGACTTTCTACGAAAAGCAAGAAACGTCGTATACTACTTCAGTCTCGAATTTAGAGCCTCAAAACTATTCAATATAGCATCGCAATAGTTCGTGTTATTGCATATATGCAAACAGTTCAACGAGTACTCCGGACTCCGGCTTCCGCAGCCAACACTCAAACTCAATTCAAATGCGTGGCAAGGCCATGCGCCTTCGTCGACGTCGATCTTCCGCCATGAAGTATACCGAGACGGTTAAATTGTCTCACACCGTTGGCTCCGCCATGGAATAGTATCCTCGATGACGGGCCGGAGTGTGCGTGTACAAAGGCTACGAGCCCCCAGCAAGGGGCCGCCTTCCTATGGACAACGCGAGCAGCGGAGTACCGGCAGTGACCGAGTGATCGACGTTGAAACCATCCGGGAACCTTCGACAGGGTTTGATAGTCTCTATGGCCCCCTATCCTGGCGGCCGGTTCCAAAGATAATGCCGAGTCTCACAGAGATCCAGGGGTCAAATGGTGGCTCGGATCTGCGGGAAACTATACGGATGGTACTAGTTCCCATCGCAGAAACCTTGAGAGAAAGGTTGCGAAAGCAAATTGTATTCAAGTTAAGTTTTCTTCCTTTTTTGTTTTCTTTTTTCTCGGATGCCCTATATGCCCAGATGGATTTGTTTTTCCACGTGCGGAGAACCGTGGTTGTGTCCGTCTCTAAGCTTCTAGTTAACGACTAGTATACTAGTAGACCAAACTATAGACTAACTATTCCGCTCTTCTCTACCATGGTAGGTATACTACTAATAGTTCGTCGTAACAATCACAATCACTATTGTGATTATATTGAACCTTACAGGACACACCCCGTCACAGATAAATGATTCAAGTCCAGGCTATTAATATCGATTCCCTAGTTAGTCCCTTTCCGCCACACCTCCACTCCAAACTCACATCAGACGCCACCATCCGTGCCACCGGGAGGGGCAATACAGTTCAAGTTGCACTGAAGACGGGGCCCCATTCTTAGTAGATCGCTAGTCTGCTCATGATCGAGATCTTCCAGTGTGATTTGGAAGTAAAAATTCCATGAAACTGGAGCAATATATTCGGTCTGTTCGAGTTTATCCCAAATGCGACCGGGAAAAGGCTAGATACTATAGTATACCCGGTTAGTAAACAGCACAACTACCGGCACTATTTTAGTAGTAAAGTACTTTTTCGAGTCAATGGCAGAATACAACCATGCCAATACTACTACACCTTCCGAGTTACAGTAATATCTGACCTGCATAATGTCTAGTATTTAGTATACTTTCCACTTTGTGTGTTGTCGGTGGTGGTGGTGGTGGTGGTGGTGGTGGTGGTGGACTTGGCTGGGCAGTCAACAAGTCAGCAAGTCACCTGAGGCTCACCTGAAGTCGAGTCAGTCGTGACTTTCCCCCCAATTTCAAGTTACTTTTGCTTTTTTTTCCTTCATCAACGCTCCCCCCTTTCGCCCTTTGCTTCCTTTTCCAAATTTTGCTTTTTCTCTCATCTACACAGAACCGCCAATTTCCTGGGGTCTAGAAGCCTGCGACCGAGAGTGAGAGTGGGGCGAATTGCGTCGCTCCAGATCCTCGAGATCACTCGATCTCCGGCTTTCTCATGCCGTCTCACCGATGCGAGGTACATTAGTCTGTCAGGAACGTGGAGACCCTGTAGCATCTGGAATCCAATCGACCATCTTCCCTCAACAAATGGCCTCTCCGTGTCTCAGACCCTTTTCGCCTCGCGAGATCACAATTGGCTTTGTCTCGCGGGCTCGGCCGCTGCTAATATTTTAGGGCGACTTACTGCACCAGCTTCACAATCACCACGCATCGGACCTGCCCACGCGCAGAATGCCCAGCAACGAAGGCGCAGAGGGGAGAGGGGAATTCTTCTCAATTCTTCCCATCCATCCCGCATGCAACAGACAACAGACAGGAGCCCGAAAAATGAAATCTATATAAAGACCCACCAACATCATTCCTTCTGACGATCAGATTCCCGATCGATCATCCGATTCCACATCCCCAACCCCAAACAAAATGTCTTTTCGATCTCTTCTGACAGGTTTCCTGGCCTTATCAAGCACTGCGTCCGCCGCTGCACTCGCACTCCACCCACGCTCGTCCATCACACCGCCAGACGGCTGTCCCATCCCCAACTGGACCGTCTCCAATTTCAAATGGTTCAATGGCTCCCACAGTCTGGACTGCGTCCACAGCGATGTGGATAAGAACACTAAGGGGTGTCTCTGCGGCCAGGGCTGGTGCGATCCAGACCCAGCGACCTGCAACGGCTCAATGGTGAACGTCTGCTGGACCGGCATGCCCAATTATGAGCCTTGGGGCTATGGTCCCAAACAAACGCTCGACATTGGCTTCGAGGATGGTCTGACCTGCCACGACGAGTACATCGGATACCGCATCCACGATATCGCTCATGGCGAGAGCAATTGTGGCTATGCGGATCGTGGCGCTGGGCGCATCGTTGCATTCTACGGCTCTTCCAATGAGGCTAGCTCTGTCGGTCATATGGATTATACCCTCGGCAGTGGCCATTCTCTCAAGTGTGAGAATGGAAGTTCTATCACTTACTCCGGGAGTGTCGATTTCCCTCTCACCTGCGAGCACGATTCGTACTTCAATGCCACTTGCACGGCGCCGGTGTTTGAGGTCCCGGTCTTGAGTTATCAGTGGGTTTAGTGAGGCGTCAAAAAGGAGATTCCGAGCTTCGCATGGGATTCTGGGCTCCCACCGAGTGGGGAGGGATTTTCCCGTCAAATTCATTCTATAGACGACCGCTATACTCACCTTTCTGCCTGTTATGCTTCGTTGGCTAGGACGTTTTTCCATTGACACCTTGGCATAGACTTGTTCGGAGATATTGGGGATGGGGCCGCGGGAGGTTGATGGCACAAACCCAGCTTGTGATACCACAATTCCGAAAACATATAGTGGGTACTCTTTAATGACAGAATTGAGGACTTTTACTGGTAATTCTGATTTCAAATTTCCTGTGTGTATATGCCTAATTGCTTCCCTGGCTACGAATCGTAAATAGCTTCATGGTGGAACTTCCAACTAGATCAGATCATCGAATCCACGACACAATTCATTCAAAACTTTTTCTCTCGAAAATGCCGAGCAGCAGACTAACTTTCCTATTCTTCCTACTTGACTCGACGCTTGTTGGATTCTGCGGGGTCAATGATGAGTTGTGGTGGTGTACCAGCTCCCAGAGTTGATATCTACAATATATAGGAATAAGCTTAAGTTCACTCTCTTTCTGTATATTCAGTTGAATGAGTCATTAATCAGGACACTGACAGCCCTCTTGGACTTCAAGAGCCTCCAATTAGAGTTTCGAACTTCATGCGAGGCATGGCAATGCCGAACGTAGTATTTTTCAAACAAGACAATTATCAGGATTCAACTTAATTTGTAGCTAGCACTTCCGTTGCTCTTGCACATGCTGCTACATTTACTGGTTTGTCTGAAATTTCGTTGAGTTTGAAGGAGATATCAACCGGCACTCCTCCTTCTCCATGTCCAACTTCCAGCAGATACCACCTTCTCTCACTTCCTCAACCTGACATCATTTCTTCAACCTTCCGTCCCTTTTCCAATATTTCATCCAACCTACAGCTTGCATGACCATTCAGGCACATGCGTCTTCTGATCGACATTCTCCTCGTTCGACCGTTGAAGAATCCGTCTCATTTCCACTGATCTTTCGTCACATCTCTTCTACCTCCCATCCTATCTCCAACCTTTCATCCAACTTACACCTTGCGTGATCCTTAAGAAAGACCCATATCCCCATCGGCAACCCCCCCTCGTTCGACTGTCAACGTATCTGTCCGATATCCACGGACCTTTCATCACATTTGATCAACAGCTTCATTCCGTTTTCAGCACTCAAATCAAGCGCCATGGCCACCGAATTTCACCTTTTCCCGTTCCTCCCCTGGGAGCTTCGACGGATGATCTGGCTCGAATGCATCGAGGGCAGGGTGGTCGAGCTCGAAGTCCCACCCGTGATGTACCTGTCCGCTCACTCGGAGAACTGCCTCTCCTGGACTGCCCATCAGAACACAAGACCGCCTGTCGTGAGTAGAGTATGCCAGGAGTCTCGAGAAGCTGTCCTGAGCCAGTGTGCCTGGGCCCTGGATGAGAGAGATGTCAGCCACCTCTTCGTTGACTACATCCCCATCCCCACCCGCAACCCGTGGTTCAACCCAGCGAATGATATCGTCGCCTTCAGCTCGCTGGGATGTATTTACCCGGATGAATGCGCGGTCTACGGCAAAGATTCTTACTACATGCAGTTCGCGAAACAAGCCCAGGACATCGTCATCCCGGCCCGCCTCATCTACCCTCTCCGTTATCTACGACTTCCCATGGAACTCGGGGGGGTTGAAGCCAAGAATCTCCCGGGTGGCAGCAGACCAGCTAAGTAATCTCGCAAGCTTCATGGTTTGCCTCAGGACCATCGAGGTCCATATGCCCCCGGTGCAGTTCCTCAATTCAACCCTCTCTGGCCGCACAGGCGACAGTCTCGTTCACATCGTCGACATCTTCGACGCGGCGCAGATCGAAAAGATCTACGAAGAGGTCAAGAATGTCTACCCGCAAGAGCAAGACATTATGACCGTCTTCGCGCTCCTCCGTAACACGGAGAGACTTCATCGAGAGGTTACCAAGTGGCAAAAGGACGTGAAAATGAACTGGATGTCACAGAGATACGGAGCCTCACACTCATACGACCATAGGGTCTACGACGAGGAGCACAATATTCCATCCCGCAACCCCGAATGCTTCCTCAACCCGCCTGGCAGTGAGCCCAGTGCGGAGCCCATGAATCGAGCTCGTTTCGTCGAATTCTATGCCCAGACCCCGCCACGCTTCGACGAATTCATCTTCGACATGGATGACCCTTGGGTCCAATGGGCCCACGACGATATGCCAACCTTCCGTCCCGTCATCATTTTCCGACTCTGCGTCAGGGGTTGCTCATCCCTCTGCTCGACCAACACCCGGAGGGAGATATACTCCGGGAGATACTTGCACGACTACACTGACACCCTCATGGGGCAGTATCAGTCGATCCGGCTAAATGAGCGCGCCGAGGAGAATGCCATGGCGGCCGAAAGCCGAAAGACCCTGAAGAGAATTTGAGGGGGAAGGGGTGTCGGGATGGGAGTTTCCCTTTTCAAAAAGCGTTGGTAGGTGGTTGGCGTCTGGAGAATTCAATAACATATATGGTTGCGGAGTTAGTGCATATAGTGCATACTAGTCTAATGGAAATTCAACATTTCCATTGAGCATGCTAATAGATCCACTGATCTATTGGTCCCATCACGTACATAAGAACCTACCAAAGTAGTGACTCGCATCAATACTAGGTTATCTGCTAGAACATCCAACACGCCGAACATGCGCGCGGAATTAGAATCTTGTAAGGATAGTGGGAATTAGGCCATCCCCTAGGCACCGGCACTGCAAAATTTGAAGTAGATTCCGTAGGACATACTAGTATTTCTCCTTAGGTAATTGCAAACAGGAAAATTATCCATCTATCGAACAAATTCTACTATCATTCCTTCTTACTCCTCTGGTTGTTCGAAAAGATCAAGATTCTTGCGAGCTATTTGCTTGTAAATAAAAAAGTAAACTTCCACGTATACGATTATGCTGCTCATTTTGGTCCCATCGGAAAATCAAACGCCAGCCAACAAAAAATCTATGAATGTACCTGGATCATCTCCTGGATCATCTTCAAGAAGTTCTGCCGATACTCATCCGCCGTAGTAGTAATCGACATAGGCCCCTTCTGCCCAACAACATTGAAAGTCTGCACAACCCCCGACAAAGCCTGCGCATGCAACTTATGCTTCGCCCAAAAGAAATCAAGTATAGTCACACGATACTTCCACCTGCCATCCGCAGATTGAATCCCCTCCCGCCAAGGACTTTTCCTCCCCGAAGGTTGTTCCGGATTCGATGACGCGGGAATTCGCACGAGAAAGAACGAGTAATCGACCACATTCGCATCCTGCAGAAACTGAGTATCGGCCTCAACGGCTTTCAAGAGCGTCTCGGAATCCGAAAGTCGCAGATGAAGCTTGTCGTTGAATGTATCTGCCAATTTGTTCAGAGTCTCCTCGCTGACGAGGGACTCGGGCATCAGGTCGCGCTCGGGGTAGAAGTAGTTTATTGGCTTTAGGTCGTATGTTTCCCAATTATCGCCGTTGGGGTCGTCGGCTTTGCCGCAGAGTGTGTTCTCCATGATTATGTGGTGGGCTGGGGTGCAGCCGCATAGCGTGCCGAGCGTGGTGTACGGGGATAGAATGTAGTCTGTTATCCAGACGAGAACGGAATCAGGGTTCTTTCTCATGAATTCAAAGTATGGCTCTAAAAGGTCTGATTCGAAAAATGTGTATTCGAAATGGCGGGGGAGACTTTTAATCACATAGTGGCCATCGAGTGTTGAAATGAATGTCTGCATATGTCGTTAGTCGTCAATACGAACTGGCACTTATTATGCCCTTCTCAGTGTCGAGTCTGATAAAAGAAACCTACCGAACCAGAATAGCCAAGATCGCCCATCATCTTAAGCGGAGGCTGGCCACTCGTTGTCCGAAAACTCGCCTGGTATTCATTTTCGTCAAATCCCCACACCTCTCCGCGGAGTTTTTCAAAGAGGTGTTTTTCGTGTCGGATGAGTTTGATCCGTTGGAACGTGAAGAAGGCTAGAATGGAGCCCCATGCTGATTTCTTGAATCGGTCTGGATCGCGGAGTAGCCCGGCTTGAATGGACTTGGCCAGGGCCTTTTCCCGCCGTTTTGTTCCCATTATGCGATGAAAGGGGTTATTTATGAAGGAGTTCGGTTCAGGAGAACACGAGAAAAACGTGTTGTGTAGAACTGGACCTGCTTTTGCAGATGTTGGTTACCTTGGATTGTGGTGACGTCAGGCCGGTCAATGCCCGATCGGCCGATGATCTGCACTAGTTAATATGGAAAACATCAGTTGCACTAAGGGAGATAACCTTTGTATTGGCATTAAAGAAATATTTCTGGTGTTTGTTATTTATGCTACCATTCACAATACTACTTTGGGGTGAGAAATGAGTTCTTTATGGTGCGGCGCCAGCGAATCTTAGAATCGTCCTGAACATATCAAATCCATTGTAATGGAGATTTTTTGGTATTATGTAATAATATAACAAGGATTAATGCAGATCTTCATCAATTATAAAGATCGTATTGATCACGGAGTGTACAAAGTATTACCAGGCAAGATAACCCACAACAGCCAGAGCAAAAAGAGAGGACAAGTACCAAGAAGCTGTCTTGGAAGCAACGCCATTATAGGCAGGAGAAGTAGTAGCGGAGACACCAGTTAAGGAGCTGGTAATCATGGATGAGCCACTCTGGATCGACTGGGTAGTCGAAGAAATAAATGCCGAAGATGACGGAATGGTGGAGTGAGAAATGTTCAATGAAGCGTGATTGACTGCCGCACTGGCGTTATCATAACCACTCACACCACTTGCAGTTTCTGTACTTCCTCCATTGGATTCAGTAGTAGATTGCGTGCTGGATCCATTAGCTTGACTATTGGGAACGTGAGTCGGGGAAACATTGATCGTTTCAGTACCAATGACAACAACAGTTTCGGTTACTGGGGTGACCGTGGTACTGATATAGCTTGCTGTCTTCTCGGTGGTAGATCCAGAATTGACCGTCTTATAGGTTGTGGCCAAAGTTGCGGTCTCCGTGATGTAGGTAACAGTCGTGAGAGTAGTAGCAGCATCTTGGTCACGAGAAGGCGCCTGAACAGAAGCTGTAGAAGTAGTCTCTGCTTCGGCAACAGGGCAGACAGTCACGTAGGCGACCACGGTCTCTGTGACGAGCGAGGTAGTTTTCTGGGAATTGGCACAGTGCTTTACGTGTGATGGGCACACTACCGTAGGATGAAGCTGGGTGGTGAAAACTGTAGATGTAGTCAAGCTTTCATGTTGTCCATTAGATCCAACCACTCCCGTTGGACTTGCGCCAGCCGCGGTCTCTTCAGCGGTGATGGGACAAATGGTCGTATAGGCAGCGATGGTTTCTGTGGTGATATACGTGGTTTTTTCTCTCGCGGGGCAGTCGAGAACTGACGATGGACAGGCGGTAACAGTATGTACTTCAGTAGTGAAGACGGTTGAAGTGGTGAACTGGGCCGGAGCAGTGGTGGTAGTTTGTCCGGTTGTTTGAGTAGCAGTTCCAAATACAGAAGTGTCCATAGTCAATCCTGAACTAGCTGAGTTGCCCGGGGAGCCGGTTGGTTGGTTTCTTTGTTCAGATGATGCCAGTGTGGAAGGTACCGGTCCGGAAGACTCATGTCCTGAAGGCTCACTTCCTGGTGGAACTGGTGCAGATGGTGTGCCTGTAGAAGTCAAGGATATCGCGGATGTGGAGATGAAAGATGCAGATGTATGCACAGACACGGAAGACGCTGGGTTTGAGACAGAAGACGCTATCTCGGAAGGCGCGGAGACAGAGTGTATCGGCACCGAAGACGCAGGCGTGGAGAACACAGCTGGCGGAGACACAGTCACGGAATTACTATGCGTAGGGGCAACGGGTGTTGATGAGGGTCTAGCAGAAGACGGGGGAGCAGAATGAGGTGAAATCGTAGCAGTGCTTCTAATGAGTGGAGTAGATGAACTTCGGGGTGATGGGGTCGACGAAGACACACCGACTTGAACCGGACTTGGTGTCACGATGGCAGAAGAAGAAGCAATGTGTGCAGATGTGTGTGCAGAAGACGACATAACAGCAGAAGAGGAGGCAGCTGATGACTGAATCAAGGACACGCTACTGCTAGATGCCGGACAGGGGTTACCATCCAATCGCATCGCAATGTATTCGATGACATTGTTATCCGGGTCCTCATAGTCGTAGGGTAAGTAACGGTAGACAAGCGACGAACTTGGAGAGTAGCAGATCCCCTGGAACCAAAAGGTCCCAACACAGTTTGAGTACTGCGAGCAGACTTCGATGCAACCCCATATGTCATCCTGTCGCGAATTTGTGATGTCAAAGCCCGAATAGCTCTCGATATTATAATCACATAGGACTTGATAATAGTATCCATCGTGTTGATAGTATCCATCAACACATTGGGAGGTGGTGGGAAGTGTGGACAGGGTGGAAACACTGCAAACTGAAGCAGTTGGGGTCGTTGCAACAGCAGATGAGACGGCACTACTACTAGTAGCGATAGCGGGAGATGGAGATGAGGTGCTCGTGGGAAGAGTGATTGTCGCCGTGATAGTTGTCGTCTGTTCCACCACCGCCGTTTCAATTGAGAGTTGGGTCGAAGACCCAGTCGAAGTAACAACACACGGGTTGGTGGTAAATCTCTCCAGTGCTGCATATGCGCCGTTGCTAACTGCAGCCGTTGCCGTGACTTGGCTCAACAAAACGCATTGATGATTGAGCGAATTATAGTTGGCGGCCTCACAGACCCCGCCGTAGATACTGCAGTAGAGACGGCATTGGTAAGAATTGCCGAGAGGAAGTATAAGCCTGGCAATTCCTTGCAAAGAAGCCGTCGTGCACCACTCTTGCCAGTAAGCCCCATTGCTAGACCACACGCCATTGGTGCACTGAACATCGAGAGGATTAGTGGTTCCAGGGGTACATGTGGTCTGGGTAGTGGTAATTGGAACAATACTCGTGATAGTATTGGTCACTGTGTCAGAGTAGGTTGATGTAAAAGTAGTGAGCGAGGTAGCAACTGGTGCTATAGCTGTGATTGTGACGGCAAGTCCTCCTTGTACTAGGAGCGCCAAGAGGACCAATGGCGAGGTCCAGGCCCGGAATTGACCCATGATGGGATATGCGGAAAAGACTGAGAAATATTGAATTCAAAAGAATGGACGTTCTGGAAAGAACAGAAATTAATGAATGAATCGGTGAATTATCGGGAGGATGGGGGTATTCGAGTTCTTATTAAAAGTGCTGACAGGCCAAGACCAGATCCCGAATCAATAGATCGATCCAGGAACCATCTCACGAACCTGATTAACCTAAGTGTGGTTTGCCCCCCCTCTTATCCACCGAAGAATCGAGTCATCTTTGCCGACGGGCTGGGATGCTGGATTCAACCACTTCTAAAGAATCTCCAAGCCTTCATCTAGGCTGTCTAGTATGCAGTGGATTTTGATGATTTCTTGTTAGCACCGACCAGAATACCCAAAACATTTCATAAAGCGTTCACGCAAACAATGTTTTCATCGTATGTATTCCAAATGCTATGACACTTACATAGATAGTGGATGTTTAGCGGACATCGCCGTGGACTAGTCCACATCGGGAAGAAGATAGCGAGGATAAAATAACCACGAGTATGAGACAGCTCGTGGTGAATCAGGGTGATCCACGCCCGGTCGATCCGGAAATCAATTTTACCGAGCTACATCTATTAAATCGTGAGTCAGAGGAAATTATGGTTTCCAAATGTCCGCGTTTTTGCATGACTAGCAAAGCCTAATAATTTCCATGGTGCAATGGAATAGCCCCGATTTTGGATCTTTGCGAGTGGGTCCTCGATAAATCCTTATCGCGTGCTGCTCATTCATAGCAATGCCAGCTTGAAATTGGCGAAAAGTACTGGGAACTCGAACTTGAAGCTAAAATATTTCCGAGAAATTGAATCAAGGCCTCCGAGGCGGAAAAAAAACAGTTCATTCAAGTTTTCTTCCAAGGTTGACAATATCCTACTTGAACCTCCACAGCTTTAAGTTCAACCGGTTGCCGCGATATATCATCCCATGACACAGTATTAGCAGGCCATCATGATACTGGTATATATACATTCCTACTATTGGGGTGGCCACAGACTCGAATTAGCCTATTTCACCTGTACTAAGAGTTCAGGTTAAATTTTTAAAATTTAACAGAAAAAGACTCATCCAACCGACCTTGACAATATTAAAACCCTTTTCTGCCATTTCTTTGTCAATTTGAACAAAGAACTTCTCCTACTCCGACTGTATACAGGGTACCCCACCATCACATGACGCACGGAGTCAACCTCACCGCCCACCATGTTGGGCATTACTGAGTCACCGCAGAAAAAAAGACCCCCCCAAATTGGCCAAATTGGATTTCCCCCTCCCCTCCTTATGGGTCGCAGTTTTCTAAGCGGGGCCCGGCGATTAGACGTCTTTTTTTCTCGGTCATTGTATCCTTGTGCCTCTCCAACTCCATCCCGCTTCCTTTCAACTTCCCGCCTGCAAACCCCCCCTCTCGATTCGCGCCCTTCGCTCCCCTGCGCGACTACGTCTCTACACCACCATGGCGTCCGCCGAAAGCCTACCCACCTCCGTTGAGGCTCTTACTTTGCAGTCGACTGCTTCGACCTCCAAGTTCCCCGGCTGCTTTCCCACCTTGAACCCTGTCGATATCTACCGCGAGCACATCTCGGAGGAATTGGGCAAGGTCGCCGATGTTGACCCGGCCATTATCTACACTCGTCTGCAATGGACCAACACTCTGGACAAGGGCGATCTGACCCTGGCAGTATGTGATATGACCTTACACTTATATGGATCTATATGGATTGGCCTATAGTTCTCCCTCTACGTAGCAGAAATGCTAACTTATGACTCTCTTCATCTAGGTTCCCTCTCTCCAGATTAAGAAGAAGAACCCTATGGAATTATGCAAGGAATTGGCCGACAAGTTCCCCGACTCCGACCTCGTCCACAAGCCCACCGCTAGCGGCCCTCAATTGCAGTTCTTCTTCAAGGGCCAGCCCCTTATCCAGACTGTCCTTAGCCGCGTTCTAGCCGAGAAGGCCGCCTACGGTACCAACGGCAACCAAGGTCTGAAGGACCCCTCCGACCCCTCCAAGGGCAAGAAGAAGATTATCATTGAGTTCTCTTCACCCAACATTGCCAAGCCCTTCCACGCCGGTCACCTGCGCAGTACCATCATTGGTGGTTTCCTCGCGAACCTTTACACTGTCATGGGATGGGATGTGATCAAGATGAACTACCTCGGTGACTGGGGTAAGCAGTACGGTCTGCTGGCCAACGGTTTCGAGTACTTTGGTAACGAGGAGGCTCTCCAAAAGGACCCCATCAACCACCTTTTCGATGTCTACGTCAAGGTCAACAAGATCGTCAAGGACCAGGAGGAGCCCATCAATGACCTGAAGAAGCAGATCAAGGAGAAGAAGGAGAAGAGCGAGGATGTTTCCGCCCTGGAGGCCGAGCTCGCCAAGCTTGTGGAAGTTAGCGAGGACGAGAAGGCGCGTCGTTACTTCAAGAGCATGGAGGATCAAGACCCCTCGGCTCTCGCTCTATGGCGCCGCTTCCGTGATCTCAGTATCGCCAAGTACAAGCAGACCTATGCTCGTCTGAACATTGACTTCGATGTCTACTCTGGAGAGTCGCAAGTTAAGGCTGAGAGCATGACCAAGGCTTACAAGTCCATGAAGGAGGCCGGTGTCGCCGAGGACTCCGAGGGCGCCGTCATTGCCGATTTCACCAAGCACGGCGCTAAGAAGCTTGGCAAGGCCATCATCATCCGCAAGGACGGCACTCCTCTCTACTTGACCCGTGATATTGGTGCCATCACCGAGCGTGATGATACCTACCACTTTGACAAGATGATCTACGTTGTTGCTTCTCAGCAGGATCTGCATCTGGCACAGCTTTTCAAGATCACCGAGCTGTCCGGCCACAAGGACCTGGCCAGCCGTTGCCAGCATATCAACTTCGGTATGGTCCACGGTATGTCCACCCGCAAGGGTACGGTGAAGTTCCTTGACGATATCCTGCGCGATGTCGGCGACAAGATGCACGAGGTGATGAAGAAGAACGATGCCAAATACGCACAGGTCGAGAACCCCGTGCAGACAGCCGATACTCTCGGTATCACTGCCGTCATGGTCCAGGATATGACCGGCAAGCGGTGAGTAGTGACGATACCCACTTAGAAGGTTGATCGTTCCCAAATGCTAACTTTCTCATTTTTTAGTGTCAACGGCTACACCTTCAACCTGGAGGCCATGACCTCCTTCGAGGGTGACACAGGCCCATACCTGCAATACGCCCACGCTCGTCTCTGCTCCATGACTCGCAAGTCCGAGTTGAACGTGGACGAGCTCCCCAGCGCCAACTTTGACATCCTGACCGAGCAGCACGCGACCGATCTGTGCCGTCTGCTCGCCCAGTGGCCCGACGTTCTTCTGAACACTGCTAAGACCCAGGAACCCGTTACTGTCCTCAGCTACCTGTTCCGCATGACGCACATGCTGAGCTCCAGCTACGACGTGCTGAAGGTGATTGGCAGCGAGCCGGAGACGAAGAAGGCCCGTATGGCTCTGTACGCTGCTGCGCGCCAGGTGCTGAACAACGGCATGCGCATTCTGGGACTGAACCCGGTGCAGCGTATGTAAAAGTGCAGTGGGGAAGCATATTTCCTATAGAATTGCAACACACACCTACTCTCCTCCCCCCTTATCACCACCACCACCGTTTTCTTTCATGTTCTGAAGATCCCCCGATTCCACGATTATTTCTAGATGCATTCGGCGCTCAAAAGCTAGGTTCATCAAAAATAGCTATTTAGCTCGGTTCAAGTTTCCAGTATTTCCCTCCGTATAGAGTAGTATTAGTACTACTAACTAGCAATAAATAATAATAAACCATTAAAATCGATGTGACTTCACGGGCAAGAGTTGCAGTAGCAGTCGTCCATGTCCCCTACTAATAATGGGATTGAGGCATGGTCTTGCAGAGTGCAGGATAAGCGAGGCAATGATTGGCATGGGCGAAGGCATTGATCAATAGTGGGAGGCTTGGCGCATTAGCGGGTGACGGGTGGCAGCGGGAGGGGAGGATGGGGGTACCCATCCACTGTGAAAACCTGAAATTGAAGATGGGAAAGAAATCTCATGGATTCGGGGACATTCAAGCATTCCTATCGGAGAGATTTGAAATTTATAAGATATTGGTCCAGACCGAGCAAGACAGAGCCCGATGATAAAAGCCCTATTCACCTTAAGCCGGGGTTAACTATGGTCTCGGGTTCCCCGATGCCCGGTGCCCGGTGCCGGGGAATGCTAAGTTTACCAAGGTTATTAACTATTAACGATGGGAACCGGGGACCATCTTCAATCTGACTAAGATCCACAACAGCCCTTCAGCCTCAAAACAGACAGTGTACACTAAGCCTACCCACACACCCCTGCAGAGGTCAAGGATCCCGGGGACCAGCCATGTGCACTCTTAGACTCCGTTCTCGGTTCAGCTTGGGCTGGGCCAGGTACGTACCTTCCCCGATCAGATTTGAATGATATAAGTAGAAAGTAGATCGTGCAACCCTCTCTCTCTACCCCGACCAATCACCCCAATCATCCCAATCACCCACCCTTTCACAGTGAGAGAATCCTAGGTGAACTTGAACTTGGATTCGATCTTGATCTCAACCTGGTCGTTCAACCGGTTGTCCAACTCCAAGAAATTTAGAATTCTCTCCCCAGCCAGCATGCACGCACCAAAAGAGCACAGCCAGCCAACCCTGGTCGATGATACCAGGACCAAGGCCCCAGACCCGGATCTCGAACGCAACGAGGATCATCAGTTCCTCATGAATCGCAGTGTTCGGAACTTCTCGTGGAAAGGATTGACCGTCACCGTCAAGGATCGCCAGACGAAGGATGCTCGAGACCTGATCAATGATATGTCGGGGATGTGCAGCAAGGTTAGCGAATCTACGCTGGCAGAGAAACTGAGACCATTACTTACCCCTATGATCCCAGGTGAACTGGTTGCCTTGATGGGCCCATCGGGCTGTGGAAAGACAACCCTGCTCAACGTATTGGCACGTCGCCCAGCAGCATCGGGCGCCAAAGTTCTCGGCGATAGCTATGTCAACGGGACCAAGGTCGACAGTGGCGCATTCGGTCGCATGACTTCATACGTCGAGCAAGAAGATACTCTCATCGGATCACTGACAGTGCGCGAGACGCTCAAGTTTGCAGCAGACCTCTCTCTGCCCAGGTATGTCAACGAACACCAGCACCACTTGGTGGAAGCAGGGAGAATCTGGCGACCATCTTACTGATATATCCCGGTTGAATCAATCCAGCTCCGTGACAAAGAGCCAGCGCATCGAGCGTATTGACACGCTTCTCGAGGCCTTCGGTGTCCAGAACCAGGCCAATACCCTTGTCGGCACCCCGATCCGGAAGGGCATCAGCGGTGGTCAAAAACGACGTGCCAGCGTGGCGAGCCAGCTCATCACTTGCCCCAAGATCCTATTTCTAGACGAGCCGACCAGTGGTCTAGGACTCGACGGCCAGTTTCGAGGTCATGTCGTATGCGAAGGAGCTAGCCAGAGCCAACAACGTGAGTTTCAGACGCATTGCAAATAAGACTGCAGATCAAGATCAAAGAGATGATCAGTTGGGCTAACATCGGGGTAAATGGCATGGTTCATTTAGATCATAATCATCGCAAGTATCCACCAACCGTCTACAACAACCTTCCAGCTCTTCGACAAGCTGTTGCTGCTATCTTCCGGCCGCACATGCTATTTCGGCCCCCTGACTGGCATCGATGGGTACTTCCGTGAGATTGGGCACCCGATTCCCGGTAGTACTAATCCTGCGGAGTTTTTGCTCGATATTGTAAGCTCCGACTTCGGCAATGCGAAGGAGGTTGCACAAGAACGGGTTCGGCTTATCCAGCATGCGTGGGCCCAGTCTATGGAAGCCGATGCTATCTCACGACAGATTTTTGATCGAGTGAGCATCGCGGAGAAGGATGAGGGTGGAGTGGACGTGGATGATATTGCGAGACCGGGGTCAATTCGGATCACTGGTGCTTTGCTTCATCGATCGTTTATCAAGAGTTACCGCGATGTGGTGGCATACGGGATTCGCATAGTGATGTATCTTGGTACGTGGATATGCTTCAGTCCAATGTCTCCATGGAAGTGGAAATACTAACTTGTTCCAGGTCTTGCCATCATGATGGGTACAGTTTGGCTGCGTCTACAGCCGACGCAAGAGTCTATCCAGCCATTCGTCAATGCCATTGTATGCTTCCCTACCCATTGTATGAGAGAAGATCGTCTAACTAGCCATTGACACAGTTCTTCGGTTGCGCATTCATGTCGTTCATGGCTGTAGCATACGTCCCGGCATTCTTGGAAGATAGAGCGAGTTTTGCCAAAGAGCGAGCGAATGGCTTGTATGGGGCAACTCCATTCATCATCTCGAATTTTCTCATCGGTCTGCCATATCTATGTTAGTGTCTCATCTGGAAACTCGTCCCTCAACCATCCCTCCCTTGCCATCGCTGCCAGAGCTGAACGCTAACATCCACAGTCCTTATCGCTTTGCTCTTCTCCATAATCTCCTACTGGCTCTCCAACTTCCAGCCCACCGGCCAAGCCTTCATGACCTGGGTGATGTGGCTCTTCCTCGACCTAGTCGCCGCCGAATCACTAGTCGTCTTCGTCACGGCCATATTTCCGAGCTTTGTCATCGCCCTCGCACTGGTCGCCTTTGCCAATGGGCTCTGGATGAGCGTGGGCGGATTCCTCGTGACGCCGACGATTCTAAATCCGTTCTGGAAATACGTCTTCCACTACATCGATTACCAGGTAAGCCAAGCCCAACCCCCAGCTACAGCCCCGTCCCGGTCCCCGAAGATCGAATTGAGTCTAATCCCTTTTCCTTTATTTTTCCAGGCCTACGTTTTCCAAGGCATGATGGTAAACGAATTCTCGGACCGCATTTACTCCTGCGGCACGGGCTGCCATTGCATGTACAACACCGACCTCGCCGATCAGTGTCAGATCCGTGGAACCGGCATCCTGGAGACATATGGATATGCAACCGGTAGAACGGGGAAATGGGTGGGGATTCTCGTGGGTATCATTGCAGTGTATCGACTCCTTGGATGGATTGCGCTGTCGTTGCGCAAGACCTAAGCTTAGCTTAGACAAGCTAAGGCAAGACGTGTGAGTGAGATCAAGACGCTTTTCATTGTTTGCCTCTGAGGCGGTAATGCGTTGCATTGTTTTGCGTTGCTTCGCTTCTCGTTTCTTACTTGCACCCCCGCATTCACTTTCACTTTTGCGTTTGCGTTTGTGCCCATGGCATGGCATGTACTTGTACATTGACATCTGTTCCGTACTCTATCCCATATCCGGCTATCTAGCTTGCTTGGCAGAGTACATTTACTTTACTTTACTGTACTAGTTAGTAGATAGTACACCGGGGCGTTCGGTTTCTCATTTCTGATTTACCGGAGAAAATCCAGCTTAATTCCTGATTTCCAATCAAATTCTTTTTCTTCTTACGCATGACTATCTATCTGCCAGTTACAGCACGAGCGTAGGGTAGTGCCAGCCCCCATGTCCACGTATTCCCATTCCCATTCCCATTCTATCACCAACCTTGCGCGCTAGGGCAGGGCATACTCATACTTCACGATTTGGGAAATCGCCCGAGCCAAACTGAACCGAACAACCTAGCCAGAACATACCATGCCGTAATTCCAGCGCCACAAATGGCAGCGCCCCCCCCGGTCCAGACACGGGCTCTCATGGGATGCCACGACCATCACTATCACGTTCGTACGACTTGAGCCCTGAGAGGGCGATCGAGTCACCTGGTCGAGGAGAGGGTGGGTGGGAATTGTAATTGTAATTGCCATTGTACATATGTGTATCTGTCTAGCGCAGAATGAATCACCCATTTTCATTTCCATTTCCGTTGATAACGATTCCGAGTCGATAAAGTGAATATCCAAGTTTGCCGCAAGGCATAGCTGAGCAAAGCATAGATCACGGGGGACTCGGATGTGATGGCGTTCAAATTATAACGCAAGTTCTTGAACCTTAGAAACCATCCCATGAGATGGGAAACCAAATCAAAACTCTACCGGAGTTTATGGGATAGTTAACATCCTATGGGGGGAAGGACTATCCCCGCGGAAGACTCGATAACAAATCAAATCAAATCAAATCCACCAAGTAGGCACACTTCAAGTTGTGGCAAAAGATAAAATTTCCGAACTTAAATCCAAATCCAAATCCAAATCTAAGAATACACCCACGAAAGAGGCGAGGGCGAGGAGAGGACGCATGGCATCTCGATTCCAAAAGAGCGGTGAGAGCGCGACCCTCGGAGCTGATGGCACCCTGCAGAACAGGACGCAAGGGGGTTGAATATGAGGAAGCGGGGACTTCCTTGTATGTACACTGGCAGTACAGTACATGTGTGCATACATATTTACTATGTGGTGGTATACTAATAAGTAAGTATCAATATACATGTACTTGTAACCGAGGAAAGGGATGGATGGATCTTGGAATCTTGGAAACCGAGAAGGCCAATCCAGGTGAAGTCAAAGTCAAGTAAGTGCGAAGTATGCCTGCCGAAAGTCAAAGTATAGCACGAGATGACATGCGTGGGAAACTTGAAGCTTATTGAAGCACGCGGGTAGGACTGGAGGATTGCGAATTTAAGACGGTTTTGACAAGGAATGGAATGGCATAGAGTAGGATACAATACAATAAATAAGCAAAGTAGATGGACCGATCTGAGATCGCGATCGGGACGGATCTCGCTCTGCTCTGCTCTGACATAATCATGGTACTGTATGCTCTCTTTCGTACTCCCTTCTGAGAGTAGACTAGACTAGGCTCCTCTTTCTGGACGGCTGGACTAGCTGGAGTGGAGGCCTATGTACACTAGCTAGTAGAGCCGCATGGATGATCCAGGTCTGGTCTTTGTCTGGGGCGAGTTGGTTTCCCCCTCTTTTGCGAGCATGGACAGACAATTACACTTCTGTATGTATGTACCCCCCCCCCCCCCCCCCCCTTCTTTCCTCTTTGATGGACGGGTATAGGTACAGGTACGGGTACAGGTACAAGGCGTGCGGAAAGACATTGTTGGCTGAGCAGGACCCGGAGCAGGTCAATGCTCATCTCCCGCGCGCACGACTTGCAATGCAGACTTATCGGCCACGCTCACACGTGCGAGACTCACGGTCGTGCGGGCCTTGGAAGGGGGGGGGGAATGGAAGGGGAGAGATGGAGGCGACGACGCAAGGAGGTGAGGGATGGGGTGAGAAGGGAAAGGATGGTCGTGTCCGTGCTGCACGTCATTCGTGATGGGGATGGTGGATGGATATTCGGCACGGAATTGCATACACTACACTAACTACAGTGTGTACCACGACAGAGTCACTAGTCTAGATGTCTACTGTTGTCATTGTCACTTACTACGATAGTGTTGAGTATGTACTCGTACCTGTACAGTCCTACTTCCCTTCCCTTCCCTTCTATACCCCTCCAATGAGTCAGAGTCACCGGAGAAGATACCAGGCCCATTAGGCCCCGCCACATGGGCCGGGCTGGTCGGAGAGGCTGCTGTTCTAGCGTGGTTCGACGGGATCCACCGATGGAAGTGGCGACACCTGGACGGACATTAGTGAGTTCTCGGGGGTTAGTGTGCTGGTAAGTTAAGATACTAGTGTTGTGGATGGTCGACATGCAGCGGCGGCATCTCCACCGACTTTTCGGAAGTACATTGACATTGACAAGACATTGTATTGAGTCTCTCGGGTAGGAGAGTCATGGTTCAACTGTTCTATGATAATTCAGCGAGACAATGACAATGGGGGTAGAATGGGTCAGTTGTTAGTGTCTGATTGTAGGAGAGTGGCGGCGGCTTAGTTGGGCCGCAATTGGGCGGTGGATTGGAGTGGTGCAGTGTAGTCTCTGTCAGTGATGAATGAAAGTAGTGAGTGTAAGTGTATGTATCTCAAATGAATGAAATGCAAATGCCTCTTAGATCAGTATACTTGATAGGATACCAAGTATTGATAGTATCGATAGTGTACTACTTACTCCCTGTCTGTTTACTTATACTTATGCTATGCTTGTATACTTGAGTGAACCAGGGAACCGAGCGGGTCCCGAGCTTAACTGGTCACACAAATTGTTAGTCGCTCCTTCCTTATGATGACGGCCCTCCCCACTTCCGCTTTTTTCCTTCTTTCCTTCGGGCACCCGAGCCTCTTCGTGAAACTTCAGTCAGCTGCTCTCCTCCTCCCTCTGTCGTCCTTCTCTCCCTCTGTCCTTCTCCTCTGTCGTTCTCCTCTGTCGCTCTCCTCCCTCCCTCTGTCGTTCTTCTTCTTCCCTCTCCTTCTCCCCCTCTTCTCCATCCTTAGGGTATCACCCACTACCCCCTTATCGTTTATCGCTGCCCTACTCCACCACCCCCACTGGGTACCAGTCAGGCAGAATATCCCAAATCAAACCCAACCCAAAGGCCACAAGCTGCAGCTGCAGTCCATTCTCAACCACTCGGCGGACTTTGTTGCGACCCACGAACACCCAACGACGCTCTCTGCGCCGCCCGACCCTTCTCGTTTCTGCCCGCCTAATTTTCCCACCAATTTCGATGGAGACGTTGCGATCTGGAATACACCACCACTTCACACTCTCCGCACGTTGACAGAGCCCGACCATCTGCCCTTCGCAAGCCTCCCCTGGCGATCGGCAGGTTCGCCGTCAAAAGTCCAGTCGCCCGGTTGGGCGAGAGACGTTGCAGAGGAAGACACAACACTGAGCGCGAGCAAGTGACCGTGAGCGAGGGATATCGCGTGGAGGGGACCAAGCAACATCAAAAATACCTCCCGCACAACGACGCACACAAACAGAGGCGGCACTGACTCATCCTACTACCTTTTTGGAATTTTTTTTTTTTTCACGTCTTACCACTCCTCTTCTGCAGCTCTTTCCTGCTCTCTTGCCATCGGGCAAGAGTTGGTGGCTTGCAGCCAGTCCAGCCAAGCAGATCTTTCCCTGCTGGCGTAGTGGGTAAGCAAATCCCACTTCCTCACCTCGCACAACCCACATCACCCCCTCCCCAAAACGGGTCTAAATCTGGACTCCCTGACTAAAGCGTCCTGTCTAGTTCCCAGCCTTTCCGAACCACCTGCAGGCCATGGCGGGCAAGAAACCCCCTCACCCAGCTATGGTGGAGGATTATGACGAGGAATTCGATGACATCGTACCAGAAAGCCGGCAGGTAGCCAATACCGCGGCCAAAGTAGTCACCAGGTCTGATCATAGATTCCCAGCGGAGCCGCTGATCGACGGCGCCAGTGACTCAGGTTATTCTAGTCGCACCGCCGCCACCGCCAACAGCACCCAATCTGGTCCGTCGGGCGGGAAGAGTCCACCGGTCCCTCATAAACTGCACATGCCCAAGCAGCGAGCCGACCTCGACAGAAAATCATCCACCCGCAGAGAACACAGAGAACACAGAGAACAAAAAAACAGACAGGACCGTCCCCGGCCAGGCCACAAAGAGAGTATGCGGGTTGGTGCCTATCCGGGCTCCGCCCAATATCATTCTCACGTGCCCCGGTCGCCGTCCAAGTCACGCAGCAGACGAGACTCTTCCGCCCGTCACTACCAGGACCCTGCTCACTACTACGAAGGTGGTCCCGTTTACCATCAACAACAACCACCGACTCCCATCGACCGCTATCCTCCAAACATGGAGTACCCACTCGCCATGTACGGTCGTCCACCCATGCCAGACATGGTTCCTTCCTCACCACGCACCTATGCCCCGCGTCACGCCTATGGCTATGAGGAGTATCACCGTCCCACAAGTCGGCCAAACCGGTCTCATTCGTACCGGCAACCGGGTGGCTACCACCAGGACAGCAGACCCATGAGTATGAGCTTCCACGAGACGTCATCAATGGGCCCGCCCGGACTGTACCATCCACAGGTGCCATATGATTCATACGGACCCGGTGGACCTCCACCTTCCCACTCGGCTTATTATGCTTCCTCTCCTTACGGGGGTGGATCTTTCACAGGCTATGCTGGGTCGGAGTTCCCCGCTTCATTGGAATACGGACCTGAGAGATCCCCATCCCGGACTCGCGAGCCATCCCGGCGTCGGAATTCTATCTACGATCCTCGCATGATGGAGTCGGATGATGTCTTTGCTCAAGAGTTTGAGGAATTCGAACCACTTGAACGTTACTCATCTCGCGAACCGCGTGGGCGCCACAGCTCCAAGCCTACTCAACCCCGCGACGAGGATTATTATCGCGACGTGAATCGGATGCCACCTCCGCCTCTGCCGAAATCTCGGGCTGCTCCAAAGATTATCCAAAACAAACGGCCCGAAGCACCTCGGAAATCTCAAACTGTGCAAGGCGTTCCCATGGCTCCCTCGCGCCGCATGTCTCGAGCTGCTGCCGACCATCCTGCAGAGTTTATGGACATGTCGGAAATGCGCAATGCCCTTCCCGATCCCGCCCATCGCCGCTTATCTCGAGAAGCAGGAATGGCTCCCGAACGGAGCCAGAGTATGCGCGAGAGCAGGAGGTCAAACTCCTACCACGACACCGGCCGGGGTACTCGGATTGCGGTTGAGAACTCTCGCAGACGCCGCCCAGAGCGCGCTGAGCAGTACTACTACGATGACAATGACAGCCGGGGAGATGAATTGGAGGACCAAGTCTCAACCGTCGAGCAATACCAAAACGCCAAGGCAGGCCGCTCTGCTACCGCTGCGCTACCTGCGTCCGCCGAGTCACTCATCCCAAAGATGGCGAACGGCGCTGGCAGCGACAACGGCAGCCGGAAGAGCGGATCAAACAGCAGCCGTGAAAGCGGAACCGGTTCCAAAGCAGGAGGAGGAAAGGACATCAGCCTTATGATGGACGGGATTCAACTCGGATTCAAAGAAGAGGCGGTCCACGGCAAGATGATCAATATCCGAAGCGATGACGCGGGCGGTTTCCACCTCAGTCTTGGAGGAAACACAAACCGCAAGCCGAAAGCTTACTTGCCTGCTGGATCGTCCTACTCTGATAAGACGGGTACTGCAAGCCGACGGGAGTTGGTGGAAGATGTGCGACGAACGCGCGATGATCGACGCTTGGAACGAGGTAGTAGGAGGTCTTCGCAGTCCACCTACGGCCGTCGTTACTAATGTCAGATGAACGCCGGGTCGACTCATCTTTCTCTTCCCCTATGTTGGTTTACAATATATCTCCCTTTATGTCTATATGTCGGATGATCTTATGTTCTTTTTATGTTATGGTCATGGTGTCCGCTTATCAGCGGCTTCAAAAGTTGGAAAAAAAAATTCTTTTTTTTCTCATTGTTTGCAAAGCGTTACTTTTTCTCAGGGCGGATTTGTGTGGGATTTGGACCAAAAACAAAAACGGGTGTTTTTGAGCAAAGCTTTCAAGGGCAGGTTTCTTTCTTCTGGTGTTCTCCGTCTCCTCCTCCTGGCCCTTCCCATGTTACCTGCCTCGAATGGGGAGATGGAGGGTGACTGGTTACCTACCTGGGATGGTATCTAATAGGTACCTGGGTAGTAACCTTGGAAGGGAGGAGAAAACGGAGGACACACTATAGCCTGTCCCGCGTCGGACTGGGAGGACTCCCTGGTTTTTCTGTTCTTTTTGCAATTTCTATCTTGCGTTTGGGCGATGTCAGGCCATGCTTTTTTAATGACTGACACCTTGCATGCTTCTACAGCGGTGCTCGGAAACTTTCATGATTTGAGACGCCTGATGAATTCCTGACACGGTGATATGATTGTACGATTTTGATGACCTGCGATGACAAGTTCGATGATGCTTTGCGTGTTTTCTTTTTTTTCTCTTTTTTTTCTACATTTGCCTATTTGTTTTGTCTTTTTTCCCATATCCTCATGTCTGCAATCATCTACTAGCGTGTATAGCTCGCTTCATCTATGTTTCATGTTTCATGTTTCATTTCGTTTCATGTCAATGTTTATGCTCATTTCATGTCTTATCTCCCTTTTCTTTCCCGTCTATACCTCCCCATGTTATGTTATGGAGCTACTGTGTCGGGCTCTTTTGCACCCTTTTGTCATTGTGGGATTGGATCTGAGCCCTTCTTTTCTTCGTGGTTCCGTTACGTTACTGGTTTGCGTCCGTGTTGGAGGGGAGAGAATATACCCATGTCTTATGTCTACGCTTTTTACTTGTCATGTCTCAACACCAGGTTATCCTCTTATTCTTTCATTTCTTTTCCCTCTATGGGCTTTCGGGCCCCTATCGATTTTGTATGAGTGTGCTTGTGCTTGTGCTTCGTAGGGTTAATCTGTATGACAACGTATTTGTTTCGACCATCCATCCCAAATTAGTTCGCATGAATGTAGCCATTCGACTTAGTGAGGCGTCAGCAAACCTAAATCGTGAACTCCAATTCCTATCTGAGCCCTCGCACAGGCGGAGAATTTTGTTTTGGCTTTTCCGATGAAGCTATCTCACCACTTCAAGATTTCTTTTCTGCGTATGCATACTTATCAAGGTTATAACGATTGCAAGATGTCCCTCGTCTGCGCCTTTCCTAATACAGTAATTGAGATGTTCGGATCGTGACGAGTAGCGTTGAAGTCGCAGCTACAGTCAAATGGACCATGAAGCCCAGAGCCCTAGATGTGCGAATTGGCATCCTCAACATCTCGACATTTGTGAGTAGGGTGATCAACACCCAAATCTCTGCTTGATCGACGCTCAAATCGAAGATCTGGCGCCGCCCGAGTCAGATCTAATGAAGCCGATTGGAGCCGATTGGATAAAGGCAAACGGTTCCTTCATACGGACGGGTCATTGGTATTGGATCCACCCCCGCTCTGTTACCAGGACCTACGTAAGTTGATGAGGCTATGCCGTCTAATTTTTGATCAGAAACAAGCATCCAAACTCTACAGGGTCGCATCACTAAGTTTCCCTCCGGTTTGAGATGGTAAGAGGGGGAATGGGGCGGAGTTGCAGGAAGCTAAAGATGACTAGTATTTAGTTGAAACGTGGCACTTCATCCACTTGGCCAGCAATTCTGCTTTACATATTCGACTGATCAACAACTCTTTATCACGGTCAGGTAATTCTCAGCTATCAACTTGAACTCTTCGTGCATGCAGCCCTGTTGGAAACGTTAGCCTGCCCCTGACACAGACAAACCTCAGCCCTGCCCCTCCAAGCCATTCTTCATCTTCTCCCCCACCTTCAACTTGTTCTTATCAATCTTCATCAATTCAAGACAGCAAAGATGTACCCCCTCATGCCGGATCCAAGGATATCATTTCAATCATTTCTATACGACTATCCCAAAGTCGAGTTTATCTGGCTACAATTCATGTCATACACGTCGAACACACTCGTGCGAATCGTCCCCATCGCCAAATTCAAGAAAATGCTCCAAGAAGACCAATGGCTTGCCCTGACCAGAGCAGTCTTACATCTCCTCCCAGGAGACCGTCTAGCCGAAGGCGCAAGTCCAAGCGGTAAATTCCACCTCCGCCCAGACTTCAGCACAGCATACTGTCAATACGGCTCAAACGGCACCCGCGCCGTAGTCAACGTATACAGCGTGGACTCCAAGGGCGAACCACTGCCCGAATGCGCACGATCAAGACTCCAAGAGCTGCACCAAACTCTTCAATACGAGAATGACTGCAGTATCCTCATCGGCTTCGAGGTAGAAGTCACATTCCTAAAGCCAAAGTACGAGGGTAGTCAAATCGTGGACTACGAACCGCTCAATAACCCCTTCCAACATTCGTTCACGGGAATGGCCCCCGAAGACAGACCCCATCTAGAATTAATTGAGGCCGTCGCTCGAGCCTTGAACTCTGTCGATATCGAATTGGAACAGTTTCACGCTGAAGCCGGGCCCGGTCAGTGGGAATTCGTCCTCCCGCCCTTCGAACCGGTAACATCAATTGAAATTCTCCTTCGCGCCCGCGAAACAATCATGCTAGTCGCGCAATCATTCGGATACCGCGCAACAGCCGCAACCCAACCATTTCCCCAACAACCCGCAAACGGAGCCCACATCCACATGTCTCTCAACGCAATGAACGAGGCGACGACAAACGCAAACGCAAATGCAAACCGCCACCAAGCCCAAAACCACGAATCCTCCCAGATCCAGACCCAAAAAGCAGAGTCCTTCTTCGCAGGCATATTACTTCACTTCCCCGCAATCCTAGCATTCGCTCTACCAAACGACATGAGCTATTCGCGCATTGCGTCGGGAACATGGAGCGGAGGCGAATACGCCGCATGGGGATGGGAGAACAAAGAAGTCGCCCTCCGACGAATTGAAAACAACCGATTCGAAATTAAACTCGTAGACGGATTCGCGAATCCATACCTCGTTCTCTGCGCGTTGCTGAGCGCGGGTATTATCGGTTTACGTGCGGGATTGGCATTGACCGGTGGACCTTGTGTGAGGGCTGCGGCTCAGTTATCGGCTGATGAGCGGTGCATGATTGGGTTGAAGGATGCGTTGCCAGATCATCTTGATGCTAGTCTTGATTCGCTTGAGGAGGATGGACGGATTCAGTATCTTTTGGGGCAGGGGATGGTTTCTTCGTATTTGGCTGTTAAGAGGGGGGAGGCGGGGTTTTTGAGGGGCATTGGGGATCGGGAGAGGAGGCTTCTTTTGCTTGCGAGGTATTGATTTGTTTTTGTTTTTGAGATGTGAGGATTTTCGATAGACTTTTTTGCAAGTTTGGATGCTAGATGTTTTCTGCTTGTTTTTTGAGCATGGTTGAGATGTTTTTCTCATGTATTTGGGGCACTGTTTTGTGGTTTGTAATAATCAAGCACGCGAGCACCTTTCCGTCCAATCAAGCCCAAAGATGCATGTAGCCATTTGATTTCTTCGGAATGATTTGGCCAATTCTTTAGGGCATCAATCACAATGCCAATTGCGGGAGTAACCGATAACGCTCCGATCATTCCCATTTCGTCTTGCAGGAAATATTCGATGGATTGGCAAACATTGTGTGCCATGGAAAGATATTGCTCCCGTTGTTCCAGCGCTGGAAGGCATTTCATCGATCCAGTATTCTCGCAAATAGACGTATGTTCGTTCAATAGTTCGGGGTTCAGAGAATACATTTTTTTCAGCATTTCATAATGCTTGTAGAGACTGCAAAGCCCTGACCAAAGCATCGAACGTGTTGCCCATAGCAGCGTAAGTGCCGAGGCAACTGCAGGGTGGGAAAATGAAAGTACAAGCGGGAAAAGGGTTATACAGCCATCTTGATCGGCCAATGGGTTGATTCGAGATGGCACTGTTGTATAGAGTGCGATTGAACTGGCAGGTCGTATTTCACTGTCAATTAAATCCAGTCTTTTATCAACCCGCCAGCACTCATCCACCAGTTCGAGGATCAACTCGGCTTGTTGATGCGGGCCCAGGTATCTCAATAATGGCACGCGTTCTAGGATTCCGGGAGCTGCAACAAGACAGTCCGTAACGCGATCGAGATGGGTCTTTGGTAATTCTTTCCAAGGTCCCTCCATCCATGACGGTTCTAATAGGATGGTAGATGCGCTCCGGCTCAAAACATACAGAATCTGTGATGGGCGTCAGCATTATCAATTCAAAAGGGGCATTCTCATATTATCTTCCACTCACCGCCGGTACTCTGATCCCCAAAAATAAACGGTGTCCCGCGCCCGACGAATGTCGCTCAACGCCACGAGCTTGAATCAACGCTAAAAGACCATGGCAGTGGCTGAAATATCCGCCAGATCCTTCACTGGGACACTCAATGGTCTCGTAAAGATTAAGTGCCATGCAAGCAGCCAGAGTTGAATCTTCTTTCGTGAGAATAGGGTGACGCAAAGCCTTGCGCAGCTGATTGAGTCCTTGGGTGTAACACTTTAGACCCAGGCTTATCAGAGATAAATCCTGACGCTCGCGTCCTATAACCGAAGCCGCGAGTGCGATACCTGATAGCTCTAATGGGTTAGAGTTCATCGTAGCTGGTAGCTCACTAAGCAGGGGTAGCCATGAGCGGTTTGTCCGAGATGCCCATCCACTGGGGAAACATTTGGAAAGAAATGCCTGGATCAGATTATGACGGGCTGCGCGGCTCTTTATCAACACATATCCAGCGCTTGTCTCGGGTAGTGGACTAGTCGGCTCCTGGATGCCAAGCATTACCGATGGGGATGAAGAAGACGGCGAAGAGCGAGAAAGGGCCGACATACCGCGGCTTTGAGCACCATCCTCTGGTGAACTCAAGATTAAACTAGAAGTCGATGACTCGGGTTGAATGAAAGTGTGGGTCTTTTCACTAGCTGGCGCGACTAAGACGAAGACTCTGTCTCTTTCGTAGCCGGCACATACCCGCTTCGAGCGCGTGCATTGTGTGCAGACGGGCTTTTGTTGGTCACACTGAGCGGCTGTGTCAGAAAATGGTATTCAAATCAAATATTGCGGATTCACTAACGGCTATCTTTCTTTTCCGGCACGTATTGCAGCCTTTAGACTTGCCAGCTACCCCCACCATGGTGGTCTTAGTCGCTCGTTACAGGTCGCGGTGCTATTTCAACCCTGTATTTTGTGGCAATGCATCGCCAAACCCCACCTCTGGACGTAATTTAGAGACAGAATTCTTCCAGAGTCCTTCCAGAGTGCACTACTCTCAAAAAAATTGGGATTTATCGTCGAGTTGGATAATCATCGTTCTCGGCGTGGAAAGATGAAGTGGATTGAGGCTGAGGCGAGATCATGCGCTAAACCCAAAAGGGTGGTGATCTTGCGAACTACGCCGAGCCACTCCACTTTTCTTATTTTCTACTTTTCAGTTCTTATTCTGTTGGCAACCAGCCTTATAAAAGGCCAAGGAGTCTTTTAGAAAGCTTCTAATTTTTCTGAATTTATTACAATTCTTCCCAAGTCATTTCGCACTTGACTACCGCCTAATACGCCCTTCATATCATATACCAAGAGATCTACAACTGCTAAGAACAATCTTTGGCCCGCAGTCGAATCTCTGCATTCTACACTTATGTTCGACGCTCATTCTAAATTGGGCACTGCCCAAATTATTTTCTACATACCGGTTACGGTTCTGGCCATTTATCTCGCGTTTTATCGACACAACCGACCGCGCATGGCATGGCTTATCTTGATATCTTTCTCTATTAGTGCGTGAGCTATTCTCCAGTAGTGAAACCACCCGTAACGAATTCTGATCTAATCTATTTTTTAGTTCGCATCACCGGTGGTATTCTGGTCATTCTTTGGGGACAGATCCCGAAGACCGGACTAATGGTCGCTGCCATCATCTTTCTCAATACTGGCGTGTTTCCTTTGATTGCAGCAACTCTGGGTCTCATCCGACTCATGTAAGTCGCATAACCGACCTTCCTCGGTTTACTTTACATTCTCTTTGTTCTAACATCCTGGAGTATGGCCCGTGAGAATATGAAATCACGAATCAAACGCTATTTGGTCCTATCCCGGATGCTCTTCTTCATTGCTCTCGGTCTCACAATTGCCGGCGGAGTCCTAGAAGGAAGCGACACCCTGAGTGATGTAGAGATTGGAATCAAACTCGTCAAGGCTGGCTACAGCCTTGTCGTACTTTTCGTGGCTTGTCTATTGACCATCCAAGTCTCGCTGTGGACTCGCTACTTGTGGCTTTCCAACCCAAGTCAAACAGTAAGTTATACTCTCCCCAATCGACGTCATATTGCGCACATACTGACCAAACTCGTGTTTTCTTCAGATTCTCAAGGCCTCCACCCTCGCGACCCCTTTCATAACTGTCCGTATTTGCTACCTCTTCCTCTCGGTTTTCTATCCATTGGATCCACGCTGGGCCAATCTGACCGGTCAAATCGTGCCATTCCTCTTTATGGGTCTCATCATGGAATACTGCGTTGTGGTGCTTTTCCTTGCCACGGGTTTTGTCATCCCTCGTATGAGAAACGGAAATGATAAGAGGGGCTTGCTTGTTTCGGATACACCAGACCGCCAAGGGAGGGATTCCAGTTGCGGCGCGGAGCTTCAATAGATCTAACTTCTACGGAGGTGCTACGTTCAAGTTCAAATTCGCAAATTGTAAAGAAGTGGACCTCGGAAGTCTCCGATATCCATTGGTATATACTTCCAAGGTTCCAAGGTTTTCAATGCCTGGCAGACCAACAACTTGTACCCCTAGGAATGCTGTTGCTTATTCCCTTCTCATCCATTTATTTAATTTTGTCACAAATTATTCTATTTTATGTATTGGCAGCAACAAGACTGTATGTATTGTAAATAGTATGACTGTCCAGTGATACCACGTGACTATATACTTCCTGTTGTCGGGCCGACGGGTGGGTGTCAACAATCCCCAGCCTCCCCGATCGCCCCCTCCAACCTCCCCATTTCTAGATCCCCAAAAGACTGTCGCCGGTGGATTTCTGGCTTTGTATTTTCCCACTTTGTCAACTTCTCGTGTCTACTAACCACAACCCAGGTAGACCGTTTCTTTCCTACATCCAGCATTCCCACATCTTTCCATTCCGCGGAACGAATCGCTCGTTCCATCTTGATTTGGCGTTGATCATTCGTTAAAGGTGAGACCTCTTTCATGTTCCAAGAATGTGCCACAGATCTAACATTCCACAGAGTCTCGTCTTGAGCCCTGCGCTCTTGACCGCTCGTATCCTTCATCATGGCTCCCGTTTTGCCGATCGGGGATATCCCCGACATTCCAGTGATGTCGGTGGAGACTCGCGATACTCCATCAGGCCTTCTTCTCGATCCCACGCCCTCCCTCAACTACAATACTCTCGTTGCACGCGCCAAATCCACAACAACAACAGCAGCCGCAGGCGACGCACCTGTCCGCGGGGCAGGCACAATCAGTCCTAGCAGCATCAAAATGCAGGGCCTAATGGCCCTGTTTGCCATCATTGGTGCAGCTTTCGTCATCGCCGGCATCTGGTTCTTTTTCTGGGCCAAGAACGGCGGCTTCGTTTGGCGCAAAGGAGACTGGGACGACTACAAATCGACCGTACTGCGTCGAAAGGGACCGGACGGCAAAACCCTCAGTAACGCCACCAAGAGTACAAAGCTAGGCGGAGGCAGTGTCGTTGGCAAGGGCTACAGCGATGATGGATACTCATACGCTGACTACGATACCTACGCCGAAACCGCAACAAACCCGGAGACAGCGACAGTGATGACCGAAGACAAGCCACAAAAGAAGAAACGCAACTTCCGAGACAAATTCAGGCGCCGCCACAAGGATGAGCGATACGAAGGCGAAGGCGACGACGATGTTCGCGCATACCGTGAAGAAAAGCCCGCTCGTATTGGCGGCATGAACCGGCAAGCCGAAGGCACCTACAACGGCAGCGACTACGACTCCTCCGCCGTTCCAACCAACTACCAACAGAGCGAGATGAGTGAAGTACGAGACTACGCATACGAACAGCCCCGTCGCCCTCACCGCAGCTCCCGCCGTGGCCCCCGAGACTTCTCCTTCACTGCCGGCAGCGAAGAAGTCCTCAGCCAGACCACCGAAGAATCCCAGCTCCGTGATCCATCGCAGCGCCGCCAAAATCGCCGACGTGATCGTGAACGTCAGCGCAGTGCCGCTCCCCCTCCGGCGCCTTCTTCTCGCACCAGCAGCCCCCGCAAAAAGGACCCTCGCTCTATGCCCGGTCACTTTACCGAGCCGCTGGATTTTGCATCTGCCGGTTCCCGTTCGGAATACCAGTACTCGAACGTCGATACTGAGGATTCTGCCGGTACTAAGAGCTACCACCACCCGATCCCTGGGCTGACCAAGGGCTACCGCCGTGATGGTCGCGAGGAGCGAAGCCACCGCCGTCGTCGTGACAGTCTGAGCGACAGCGACTAAATGTGTGATACAGCGGTGTTCAAATTGTCTTTTGCTTTCTTTCTTATTTCTGCGAGGACAATGATTTGATGTACTGGATATACGGCTTCGATACTCAAGGGCTTATGGGATTTTTCTTTGGTTTTAAGCGTTGCTCTGTTGGATTAAGGATTACTATGGGAATTACTAGGAATGTACATAACGAATGAAATTGATGAAGGAATGGCATGAATTCTGTCAATTGCAGCATACCTTCTGTCCCACCTTCACATTGCTCTCACATGGATGCAATGTGCTATGTAGTAGTAATTCTTCACGCATCTGCAAGTGGCATGAACAGGACTGCTTCTATATGTAGACAAAGACATGGAAATTCTTTGACAGGCCCTCTGTCGCTACTAGCACACCCATGGTACTACAGCATCCAGCAAAACAGCTATTATCTATCCACTAACCCGCATGAACAGCACGACGAAACCGCGGAAACGTCTTGGATACTACGGCATTTACAACAAATCTAATAGGGACTTACTAGCCACAGATTCTAGACTTCAATTCCATTTTAAGTCTTGTTATCGAGCTCGGGCTCATCCGAGTCTTCATCAATTTCTATTAGATCATGTGTACCCAAGTGGGGAGTCGGATCTCGATTGGATCCACACCCCTTGATCCAACAGCAGAGAAATTTATACTCTCATCTCCCCATTTTAATAGTCAACACTCTATTCCCGATCAGCTCCACTTTTCATCCACTCGTACATTGCTATTTTGATGGCTGGATCTCGACCTCGTATTTTCTCACCGGTGGAGTCCTCGACTGACTAATCCATTATGCACGACTAGCAAACAAACTAGCTGACTAGTGAGTGACTCAGTTCTTATCTCGAACATTCTTCCAGTCTGAGGGGTTGCAAGAATGTGAGGGTAATTCCAAGCTTTATTTATGCCCATCCGCACTTTTCGGGTAGAATCCCACGTGGGACACTTGCGGTGCATTTAAGGGTGGTACAAATACCTCGGCATCGAATATACCTACTCGCCGCCTCTCTCCTCCCTTCTCTTCCCTTTCGACCCTTTAACTTCCCTTCAACCCTCTCCACCACCGGTAATATACGCCATAATGGGTGACGTGAGCCCAAATGTGTCTCCAATATTAGCTCCAATTGAACCCTCGGCCCAACACAATGGAGGTTCCGGTGATCAACCGACCGTTGCCTTTTCACAGGCACAAATCAGGGAGGCTACGCAGCGCGAGCACGATATGTCCATTTCCACTGCATTCCGACTCTATTCAAAAGCAGTCTCATGGTCCATTGTTCTCTCAACAGCGGTGATCATGGAAGGATATGACCTTCTCCTAATTTTCTCATTCTTCGCATTCGAGCCCTGGACGAAGAAATACGGCAAATTGCAACCTGATGGAACCTACGCTTTATCCGCAGCCTGGCAATCCGGCCTCAACAACGGAGCGTCTGTCGGCGAAATAATCGGGCTGCTATTAAACGGATTCGTGGCAGAAAGATTCGGGTATCGAAAAACCATGATTGGCGCCTTATTCCTGACAATCCTCTTTGTTTTCATCCCATTTTTCGCGCCAAATGTCGAGGTGCTCCAAGTTGGCTTGATTTTGATGGGCATTCCCTGGGGTATTTTCCAGATTCTTCCGGTCTCGTATGCGTCTGAAGTCTGTCCTGTGGCTCTTCGAGGCCATCTTACGGCCTACATTAATCTTTGCTGGGTCATCGGCCAGCTTATTTCCTCCGGCGTTCTACGGTCACTGCTTCACCGGACTGACCAGTGGTCTTATCGTATTCCTTACGCTCTACAGTGGATGTGGCCGGTTCCGCTGATCGTGGCAATCGCATTTGCGCCCGAATCGCCGTGGTGGTATATTCGACGCGGCGATAAGAAGGGGGCCAAGTCTGCTCTTCGATCACTCACAGCCCGGGAGACAGATGATGCAGTCGACCTAGACTCAGCCGTTGAAGTCATGGTCTACACCAATCAACTCGAACAAAAAGTGGTCAAAGGTGCAAGCTATATCGACTGCTTCAAAGGCCATAATCTTCGCCGAACAGAAATCTGCTGCTTCACTTCAATCACCTCGATAATATCCGGGACCACACTGATGGGAAACTCGACATACTTCTTCGAGCAGGCCGGCATGGACCCATCAAATGCATTCGATCTGACCATGGCCCAATACGCCGTCGGAATCGTCGGGATCGTATTCGCCTGGCTAATAATGGCACGTTTCGGCCGCAGACAACAATACCTCTCGGGACTCTTTCTGCAATTCATTTTCTTGATCGGGATTGGAATAACTGGCGTCGTCGATCGTGGGAATAAAAACATGTCCTGGGCGACGGGAGCCCTTCTCATCGCCTTTTCGCTCGTCTACCAGTCCAGCGTCGGACCTCTTTGCTACTCGATCATTTCCGAGATGTCATCTGTCCGACTTCGCGCCAAGACAACCAGCTTAGCCTGGAATGTCTATAATATTTTCAAAATCATCAACGGCGTTCTGACACCCTACATGATTAACCCGACGGCCTGGAACTGGCAAGCGAAAGCTGGCTTTTTCTGGGGCGGTCTTTGCCTACTTTCCTTCGTCTGGGCGTTCTTCCGACTACCTGAAACAAAGGATAGAACGTATGCTGAGCTTGACATCTTGTTTGAGCGTAAAGTGAGCGCACGGAATTTCGCGATCACCTCAGTCGACCTTTTTTCTCACAAGATACATGAGGCGTCGCAAGAGGAACTTCGAGTAGCGGGTGAAAAGTCCACTGCAGCGAGCCACGTTTTGCAAAGCGATATGCGGGGAGAGGATGGACTGGTCGGAATCACTGCGTCGGTTAAATAACGCTGCCAGATCAACGCGACTGATCTCCCTCTGCTGTGGAGAATCAGGCGAAACCTTCTCAATGTGACCCATTTCACAAATGGTGCGCGGGCTTCCTAATGATAACGAACCAAAAGCAGAATTATGAATATATCTATTGAGCTCCAAGCAAAGTCTTGGGCTCTGTCTTTGATTCAATCCGAATTTGAAGTAGATTGAGCATCATGATTAGCTCTAATTGGTCTTTGACCCCTTACATGTTATGAGCCTCAAAGCCTTGTCAAATTGAACAGGCGTGAAAATCAAATGCATTGGCTATGATAAAGATTGGGCCCTGCCCATGGGCATACTCCCCCCACTATGAATCATAATCCTAACTTTACCCACCCCCAGGTACATAGGGGTGTTTCAAAATATGGATACTGGGTGAACCAACACCAGCCAATCAGCGATGCCACTTAACATGTCCTGCACAATCTTGGGGGAAGCTGCTGGCCGACTTGCCCGATTGGGAAGTTGGCAGCGCAGACGAATATCGGTCGCCATCGCCACAATGAACGGCTCCATCATCGCGTGGGGGACCCCGAGAATATAAAGAGGACAGATTCGCTACTTTCCCTATTTTCAACTCTTTAATTCAGCACACGACACCCTTTCCTCTCCCTCTCCGCATACAATAGACAAGACAGCATGGCGCAATCCAAAGAGTGGCAAAAAATGCTACGCGGTGAGCTCTACTGGGCTTGGGACGAAGATCTACAAGCAAACCGCACCCGATGCAAGGAAGCTTGTGATGAGTTCAATGCTGCTGGGGCTGTTTCTCGGCGCCGAAAAGTAGAATTATGGCGGAAGTAAGTTTGACCTTGTGTGCTATGCATAGCAAAACTTGAATGGTTGGTTACAGCTTGCCTAATATTTACCTTGTGTTTTTTTCTCCCGTTCAGCATTCTCATGGATACTCGACCCATGCCTCCAGTCCATCCTGATCCCAAGCAAGACGAAGCTCTATTCGAAGAAACAGATCCATTTGTGGACGGACCAATCTCCGTGGACCATGGATTGAATTTCAAGGTCGGCAAGGGTACATTTCTTAACTTCAATCTTCTCGTGCTTGATACGTGCCTGATCAGCATTGGAGAGAATGTGCTCTTCGGACCGAATGTTTGTATCTATGGCGCGACTCATCCGATGGATCCTGCTGTGCGACGAGGACTGAAGGGACCCGAGGGGGGCAAAGAAGTTCATATTGAGGATGATGTTTGGATTGGTGGGAGTGCTCTTATCTTGGCTGGTGTTCGTATTGGGAGGGGAAGTACTGTTGGAGCGGGATCTGTGGTTACTAAGGTAAGTGGAATGGAATGGTCATCTCTCTCATTAATGGAACTGAACTCAAGCTGACCGATGGCTCATATAACCCGTCAGGATGTACCTCCGTTCCATTTTGTTGCGGGGAACCCAGCACGGGTCATTCGTCGGATTGAAAGTGAAATGGACACGGAACGAGAATAAATCCGGATAGAACTAAGAAAGTGAATAGATTGAATATGTCTTAAATGAGCCCAAATGCCTCCAAGTATAGCTTATACCAAGTAACTATACCCTACCTGGGGTACCTTGATGTATACCGCGGGGGTAAGAGATAAGATAAGCCCCTGCCCCGCATAAGGTGAGATCGGCCAAATTCTTCAACTTCTCTGCAACTCTCCTACTCCTACCTTACTATTCCCCAACGGCAAATCCAATCATGGCCTACGACCCACCCGACCCCGTAACCTACATGGTCGGTATATCCGGCCCCTCCTCCAGCGGCAAAACAACCCTAGCCCGCCTTCTCCATCGAATCTTCAGTGGTGCCAGAGTTCACATCGAAGGCGCGCCCCAGTATGACCAACTACACACCTTCATGATCCATGAAGATGACTTCTACAAACCAGATAATAGGTGCGTATCCCTAATCCCTTACCCCTCCTCCATTCCCTTACCACCATCACTCTAACAACCCCCAGAATCCCCTACATAACCCTCCCATCCGGAACCAAAATCCAAGACTGGGACACCCCCACCGCAATAGACACAGACTGGCTCTCACTAGCCCTATCTCACGCGCGCATGAACGGCCGACTTCCCAACAGCATCGCCAGCAAAGAAGATCAAAACGTATCCGGGCCCACCGGAGTCCCAGAAACCCTAATCGCGGAACTTCGCCAACTCGTCGAGAAACAATTATCTTCCGTCCCGGCTTCTTACAAGATGAGGCAATCCATTGCGTTTCTCGAGGGCTTTCTCCTTTTTGCACCGCCAAAAGATCGACCTAGTATTTGGGGTGAGGAACATCCTTCCCAGTCTATTCATGAGCAAATTAATCTATCGCTTTTCTTGCCCGCGCCTTATACGGCTGTTAAAGCTAGGAGGGAGGGGAGGGATGGGTATGTTACTATTGGTGGTGATCAACCACCGCCCGGACCGGGGAATGTGGTTTCTTCGAATATATCTTCAGCGGGCTCGGGCTCGGGTTCGACACCGACTCCCAGTTCTAAGCCGGAAATTGACCTCGACACCGCGGGAACGGATTCGCCGCAGAATTTCTGGGTCGATCCGCCGGGATATGTGGATGATATTGTTTGGCCGCGGTATCTGGAGTATCATGAATGGTTGCTTATCCCCGTTGATCAACGTGCGGCTGCTAAGGGGGATTGGGTGCAGGCTTTTGGGGAGGGCGAGAAGTGTCATACTGATGTTGGTGTTCGGGTTGCGCCTGGGGAGGGGGCTGTTGGTATGGATGTTGTGCTGAGGTGGGCTGTTGAGGAGGTTTTGACAGCGTTGTTGAAGAAATATGATCCTGGGCACCCTGCTAAGCCTCGTGTGACGCATGAGCCTGGGTATTGAGTGGCTTTTGATAGATTCATTATAATTGCTTGTATACCCATCCAGTAGTTACCTTGTGCAGCTTACAGTACTGAGCTTCTACAGAATTCCAATTGCCTCCAAATTAGATCAGACACTTTGTGCCAGAAGCAATGAGGCTTCTGGGTCAGTGCGTAACGATCGAACGATAATTGAATTATAATAATGAAACCCCGAAAAATCTCTATATGAGAATTGAACATCAAAAAACACTATAACTTAGCAGGGCGAGGCACCCCACTTCGTGGGCCCTGGAGGTACTTCGATAGAAACAAAATAAAAACCTCCTTCAAGCCCGCATCAGACGTTCCCCGAAACAAAGCATGAGCCTCGCCCATAAGCCTCTCATCCCAACAGCGAGATTTCTCTGCCAAATCCAATTGATCGAATAAAGCCTTCACCTCGACAATATCAGAACTTTTCTCCGCTCCATAACAAGCTTCCAGTATATATTTTTGTTCATCGTTAGAGTATTCCAGTGCAGTCACAGAGAGCCAGCTGCATTTATTTTCCTGAATATCCGTCCCAATCTTCCCTGCGATAAGAGGGTCACCGTAAACATCGAGAAAATCATGTCTGGCTTGCAAATTAGCCCAAGAGTCATGGCAGCTTTGTACAACTCGGTCAACCGCTTCTGACTTGCAATATCAAGATATAGCATTAGGTATGAGCCATTGGGACGTATAGGGTATAGTTCGAAGACTTGTTCTCGTACAAGCTCACCTGGGCCAGGCTAAAAACCCTGAAGAGGAGTAGAAATGTTCTAAGAAGGGAAGGAAACGCAATGTAGACATGAATAATCCGGCCCCAGTTTTCATCAGGTCCTTTTTGCAATCACTCTCGGAATATCAACGGATCAAAACTTGAAGTCATGGAAAAGACTCGGACTAGCCAGCTAATACTACTAGTAGTATCTCATTCTCCCCATCTCAAGCAATAATACCTTGGTCCGAGTCAGCCTCATGTCGATGGAGCTATCAACTTGAATCTTCGTGAGTTTGAATTTGGGGGCTACCTAAGCAACTTGAACTTGAACCTTCAACCAGGTGCAAGAAGGAAAACTAGTCTCCTCTATCGAACAGGTCATCTTTCAGGCAAAACTCCCTCTAGCTGGAAGCAATTATCCCACGTAGCATACAGCGAAGTGACTACCCTAGCTAGCAGCACCCTTAACAAACTTGAACAAAAACATTCAATTCCCATTGTAAGTAATACTAGTAACTAGTTATTCCCTGATTGGTTAAAGTAATCCTATCCCATCCCACTCATACAGCGTCACGGTATCTCCTGTCGTAAAAGTAAACAAAGAATCCGAAAAGAAACTACTAGTAACACCACCTCGAGCTAACCTAACCTAAAGGGCCCGGGGAACCAACGGTCCCTTCCATCCTAGGAAGTAATCAATTCTATCCCGCAGACGCATAGACACAGGTTCGATACCCGAGACATTCTCAGCCTCATTCTCATTCTCATTCATCGTCTCAGAAACAGACTCCTCCATATGAACCAAGATGTGATCATCTCCCTCTCGTTGATCATCAACACCAGGCAAAATGACGATGGAACAGTCGTGCAGGACAGGCGGATCCCCTTCTATCGCACAAGAGATTTGATACTCACCATCCTTAACTCCCGCTTTAGCTACGGCATCAGCTATGCGTTTGACCTCGGGATGAACGGGGGTATAGAGGTGCCAATGATGTTCCGGATCTCCGCCCGCACACCAAACCTCGGGGAATTGTCTTCTGAGAAAGGGAAATGGGGCCCCCATTTGATAGCGCGCCCAGTACTCCCGGAAAATCATGATCGAATACCAGATGCGGAATGGGTCAAAGGCGTAATCAATGTACTTCAACCACTTTAACCAGCGATTTCGTGGCTTGCTACTCTGCAGAGTGGTAGAAGGGATAGAAGTTGGTTCTTCCTTTGGGCTAGTGAGGAGGAATTTCACCCCGGAGCCCTTGTAGATTGCTTCGGCTTTGACAGATTCGCGATCTTGCATCTGAGCAACGTCCTCACGCAGTTCGTCCTCAACGCCGGCCTCGCTATACTCGTTCGATCTGATACGAGGTATCCTGATCCGCAATCCTTTGGCAATTTTCACCTCCCACGTGATGGCAAACTTATCGAGGTTCGATCGACTAGCTAAGATCTCCACCCTAGAAACACCGATTGTATTGCCATTGCCCAGGTGCTGGAGATGGATATCTTGATAGCCGGGTTTCAGCAACGAGCAGCAAAACTCCCCCTGAGGGCCGCCATGGATATAAAGCCAAAGGCCACACCTTTCGGCCCAGAAATCGGTTTGGATGAGATTGATCGAACAGGTGGCGTGATATCTGACGAGACGAAATGATTCGTTGTCTGACAAAATATCCTCGTCGATTTCTTGACCGACGTTGAAATCCTTGAGATAACCAAAGAAATTTGAATGGCAGGGTCGGAGGGGTAGGATTAGCCGAGATGATATTAGCATCTGGCCCATGAGACAACCTTCAACGATCTTGTATCGTTTCAAATGGCTTGTACGGAATTCCAAGCCGATATTCTGCGGAACGACAAAGTACACATAGCCATGTTCGTCTGGCGGCAATCGCGGCAAGCCAGGAACGAGGAGTTCACGCCAACCAGGTCGACCATCCTGTAGCGGCACTGAGAGGGTGATTTTGACCTGATACACAGCGGGTTCCATACCAGAAGGTGTGACTATATGAAACCTCCCCGCAGTGAAGGCAAGGCGTGGTTCTGGTTCCTTTTCGCTCTCACCCGTGGAATTGTTATCCGTGATCCAAATGGGCAGTGGTTGCACGAGAACAGCAGCACCGGACTGGCCAGGGCTAACACTGAAAGAAGCATTGTCCGCATTGTCTAGATCGTCCGAATCTCCCGGCAGACCTGTGAAGTCACACGGACTCCCAATAGTTGCAACGGTGGAAAGCTTCTCCAGATCAGACTGGGACCGAGAAACTGCGTCGCGAGCCTGATGACTGGATTTGGAAGGTGTGACAGGGGATCGCGTGGACAAGCGTATAATGGAACTTCCATCGTTATGCTTCAATACCCGACGATCCAGACTCACGTCCTTATCCTCTCTCTTTTTGTTGGTTCTGCTCTCCTTGAACAGCGGCGAGATATCATTCTCGAATCGGCGGAAGTCGGCCTCGATAATAGGCGCGGATTTGCCTCTCGATAGCGAGGGGGATTGCGAGGGGGATTGCGAGAGGGGCAGCGAGCCCTTGCTCGACTCAGAACGAGACTGGCCATGGCCGAGATGGGAACGAGGACGAGGGATCAAGCTGCGCTGGTTGGAATCGGAGTTCGAATTCGAGTTGGAGTTGGAACTGGTAGAGTGAGAGTGTTTGATCGGGGAGGGTGTCGAAGGAAGGCTAGGTGCTGCGACGAGCTTTTTGCCTCTGTTGTACCCTCTCTCCGAGTCTGTTACTGAATCCGGCAATGAAGCAGCCTTTGCAGATCTTTTGCGTGGGAGAAATGTTCCGAGAACTTGAGGTGATCCGCCGCTCTTTCGATCCGGGCTCCCGAGAGTAGAACTAAATTGATCGGAATCCTGTTCGTTCAGATCCAGATCCAGCTCCTGAATCCGATCCTGGAAAGGCGAACTATCCAGCTCCAATTCCCCCAAAAACGGATCAGGAAGTATATCATCACCCAAAAACCCGTCCCGATGCAACTCATTCTGCACGATAATACTCTCCGAATTCGAGGCGGCAGAGGGACTTTCCGCGTCGGGGAGTGAGGGTGAGGGTGACTCGGCACGTGGATTGAGGAGTGTGCCCAGAAGAGCCATATCTGGCGAGTCTTGCTCAAGTGGTTCAGAAGACTCGGTGATAGATTCAGGGCTCGGTGTGACAGGCCTCACACCGAGAGAAGACACATGCACAGCGGGGGCTTCATCCAACCCAGCATCAAGATCGTTCACGTCTCGAATCAACACATCAGGTTCAGGTCCAGGCCTAGGCCCAGTCTCATTCTCTTCCCCCTTCCTCGAAAGAGAGAAATCCTTCACGAAAGAAGTCGACGGTGTACGCGTATCTAGCACGAGGAATTCGGTGTTGGGCGTGCAATAGACCTGCGTATTCGGCATGGTTAGTATCGGCAATGTTCATTCAATCGGTTGTGGTCAGATCAGATCAGATCCGTAGCTAGGCAGCTGGCCTAGCATAGCTTCAGCTTTGAGTTCGACTTCGACTTACATCGACGGAGATGAGGACTTCCACGTCTGCTTGGTCGTTGCCTTTCCAGGTACACCAGAGGTCAAGATTGGTGAAGGGGATGTAGTATGGTGATGAAGGATCCATGTTGGAGATGGGAGATGATAGGGAAGAGGGAAGTGAGAAGGGGAGAAGGTAAGTGTCAACATCGAGTCAACATTTGAGTGTGGGTGGTGGTGGTGGGAGTACCCACGGAAGGTGCCTAATGAGGAGAGTGAAAAGAAAAGTAAGGAAGGAGCGAACCATCTGATTAAAATGGGAAGAAGAAGAAGAAGAAGTATATACACACAGGAAGAACAGAGCACTTTTGAAAGAATAATACCACCCGTCCTCCCTCTACCAGCGCCAGGGAAAAGTGTCCAGTAAACACAAGAGTGAAAGAAAAGAACTGCAGAACAGAAAAGCAGAAGACCACCCACCCACCAGAAACCAGAAAAACAACCGTGATATCTAACACCCCGGTCTATCCAGACAGACAGGAAAAATGAACATAGTGTACCAGACCAAACCAGACCAGACCATACCATACCATACCGCAGTGCAAAAGCCAAAGCCAAAGCCAAGAGGACTGGACCATCGAGGTCAATCTAGGCAAAGAGAGGAAAGAAAAAGAGAGCGCAAGTGTGAAGCCAGGGCCACCAGAGCCACCAGAGCCAAATATAATCCCACTTCAGCAAGAATCATCGAGGGGTCCCATTCGCCGAATCCGGATGGTCAAATTTGAAGGGCGCAGAGCCGGCCGCGGTGCCTTCGGGACCCATCTGAGAAGGGAGGATCGGAGTGCCCGAGGGCGAGCCAGCCGTAGCCGGATCGTAATATTCCCTCGGACTCCCATTAAGACTCGGATAACTGCGATTGAGATTCCGTTGGAGCGGGGGGGAGGGTAGTCGAGCTCGTACTCGTGGCGTAGGCGGACCGGGGGTATCCCTGAGTTTGAGCCATCATCGCTCCTGTCGAATCCGGGGACTTTGCGCACCCAAAAGAAAAGAAATTTAGCCAGGGCTGTTCCCTACACTCACTGATTTGAAGAGGGGTGCCGTACAGGTGTGCCAGACTGGTTCATCGCCATCAACTGTCCCACGGCCGCGTTCTGCTGGCTGGTGCGAGCTTGCCCGGAGGGATCGGCCATCTGGGACAGTGGAGCTGATGGCGGCATCCCATAGACCTAGGAAGTGGGTTAGCTAAAGTCTCTCTGCAAGATGGGGCCTCATGCTGCAAATGTATGCTGCAAACAAACGCACCATTCCGTAATCTGGCATTACTTGGCTGCCTGAGTAGCCCCCCCCATCGTTGGCGTTTGGTAGGATCCTGGTTGGCTAGGGTAGATCGGTGCAGGTTGACCGTATGCGTCCATCTGGCGAGCCATGCGATTGTCATCATAGATGCTTTGTCGACCGTAGTCGATGGAGGTGCGGTGACGCTTGACGGGAGGTTGTTGGTAATAGCCATAATCTGATCTCGCCGCCGTTGGATAGCCACTGAAACCTGTCGATGGGGGGGATTCCCTGGACGGGCTGACGATCTGGCGACCGCGGAGGAAGGGCCTGTGGGAACTCGTCCGGTCGAGGCGCAGAACGTTTCCTGGTCATGATGAGCCACTGTTCTGGTCGCTTTGGGGATGGGCGAGACTTACATCATGGTACGCGGCTCCTTGCGAATGCGCAGCTTCACACCTTGGTCTGCAAACGAGCGCGAAAGAAAAGTAGATTCCATCATCCCTGGGAAGTTCTTGGGAGGCGAAACTTGAGGGTCAAGTCAGCACCGTAGAGCACCTTCGCGGCTGGAGTCTTCTTACCTTTGAATCGGTCTGAGATGATGGTCTTCAGGGTCACGACATTTTGCCTGTGAAGTCTGGTTAGTTTCAATTCTCTGTGCTGCACTGAAGTCTCGTCTCGACTCGTCTCTCGACTCGACCCGACCGCTCGCGTGATCACTTTACTTACTTGCGCATTTCGTACAGGGTAAACTTGAGACGAAATTCACCCTCGATCTTCACCGACAGATCTCCGAAGACGAAGAAGCCACCATCTAGCAACGATTAGATCACTGGTTCAGCTGCAGAGAACGAAGCGACCACTTACCACTGTTGTCCACGTCTTTTAGACGGTGAAGGGACGAGACCAGCGTTCCTGCCAAGGCAGTCGATGGAGCGACGGGCACTGGACGATCATCTGAGGCATCGTACAGACTGCAGGTCATAAAATAATAAGGACTTTGGAGGTAGTGTCTGGAGCGCGGAGCGCGGGGAGATCAGCCACCAATGTCCACACACACGCACAATCGCACACAATCACAGCTCCCACGCCCCGAGTCGGCGCACGACGGGAGAGACGGAGGGATCAGAAAGGCATTGATTGCAATGGGAACGACTTACTGCGCTAGGTAGGAGTCCTCTGGTCGCACCCGAAGCTGTACGATCGGCGGAGGATCGATGGGTTTGCGCTCTGTAGACACGCCGGTTAGAACTGAGCTTGACGAGGAATCTCGATTCGTCTGCCAACGAGATCCGGCTCCAAATGCAAGATCAGGATGAGGACAATGAGCAGAATGAAGATCCGAACCGATCCCAATCCAGATCTCGGGCTAGCCTAGCCCAACCCAACCCAACCCACCCCACTTTGTGATGGGATGAGGGGAGGAACTGGAACGTGCTCGCAGGCCGCGGGCAGATCAGAGACGAGGGAAATGGATGAGAGGGACAGCGTACCTTTCTCCTTGCCCCCAGCCACGCGCGCCCGGTCGGGCTGCTGGCGAATGGTCAGGTCAAAGTCACTGTCGTTGGACAACATGGTCAGTTGGGAAGCCTGGACCGGCGAGTAAGAGTTGCGACGCAGTCAAGCGAGAGGGCGGGGGAGTTGAGGGTGGAAAAGAGAGGGAATAGTGAAAGAGAGGCGAATATGTGAGTGAAGCGGGCGCAAGCGCAACGGTAACGGCAACAAAGAGAAGCGAAGAGAAGAGAAGATAGCAATTACGAACCTCTGTGCTTCACGCGAGAGAGAGGCGTCGTACGTCGATGCACTCATCAAGACGACGGCGAGGTGGAACCCAAATCCGATGACAGTAAGTGAACCACGGCGGGCGATGGGTCAAGTAGAGTAGGGTAAGTATGGTAGAGAGTAAGTCAGAACAGTTGGGTGGTAGTAAGTAGTTGGGTAGAGTGAAAAAGAAGAAGAGCTGTGGTGGGGAGATGAAAGGTGCGGGATGCGCGGACTACCATGGATGAGAGTTGACGGAAACGGAGGAAGAGAGTGGTAGAGTAGAAGTGGTGGTAGAGGTTGTGGAAGTGAAGTGGTAGTGGAAGTGGTAGAGTGGTGTCGTCAACGCAAGCGGAAGTAGCAGAAGTGCAGTCGGAGTGTAGTCAGAGTGTAGTATAGCAGTGGTGGTGGTGGTGGTGGTGGTGGTGGTAGTCACTGCTATACTGAACTGGCAATCACTGCTGCACTGCACACTGCACTGTGTATACCCGGTAGCTCCTGCCCTTCTGCCCTGCTGCTCGTACCTGCAGATAAAATCAAAAAATCACTAGTCACTTCAGCGCCTGAGGCACAAAGCACGCCTAAGGCCCCAAATCGGCCCGGCTTGTCTAGTCTCTGGCCCTTCCTCCAATGATAATCTCTAAAGTCCCTTTGCAGAAAACCTCAAAGAAAATTTTCCCTAAACAGCTGAAGGTGGAGCACACTCAAGACTCGACCGTTAGGCGGAGGGGAAGAGAGTGGATGGACAAGGGGACCAGAGTCAGGTTCAGCTGGTATCGACCACGGTCCACGCTGAAAGGGGGCCCACTGTTGGCTTTTTCTGGTTTTGATTTTGGGGTTTTTGATTTTTGGGGGGGGCGAATTGGCTGCGCACGTCGATCCGGAATGATGCGCACATTCGCTCGGCCGAACCTTAGCGGTAGTGGAAGTGCGGTACTGCGGTAGTGCGATAGTCCGGTACCGGGTACCCTATCGTGCTGGGCCCTGTGCTTCTCCCCCGGTACAAGGTTTGCTTGGTCTGCTAAGGTGCAGCTCACTAGCACCTCACTCGCACCGTTGAGTAGTTCGAGTTCCTGGATTCGCGGCTATGCAGGTGATGCGCAAAGTGGACTCGGCCCCTGGTCCGGCGCCTAGCATTCCAGTCCGGGTGGACACAGTGGAGGGCAGGACAGCACAGCACAGCACACTCGTTACTGCGGAAGATATGATACTATCTGTACTCGTATGCTGCCGACACTGGTACTGAACGTTATGCTGACAGGACACTCGGTCTCGCCTCTGGACTGTCTCAGCTGTGGCAACTCGTAACTCTCGCCTCGCAATCGCAACTCTCAATCCTTGCCCAACTGCTCGGCAGATGACCCACTAGTCACTAGCCTAGCAATCGCTGATGGCGGAGAAAGGAGGCGTGTGCACCACACCCCCCTTGGATCCCCCGCTTCGATCGCCTGCTCTGCTAAGGTCGGGTTAGCCTGGTCCTTCTTTAGCTTTATCACTTCCGATTTCAAGCCACTGCCACAAGGGTCAAGGGTCTGACCGTAATCGTAATCCGTAGCTTACTCCAGCACTCGTAAACTTACTCCCTAGCCTTGACTTTTGACTGGTTTGAGTTGACTTATGTCATCCGATGTGATATCGATGGCTCTCCTAGGGTAGCCCTGCGAAGAAAGGGGCTGCACTTGGACTTCCTCTCAACTCAACTCTCCTTCCTTATAAACTGAGGAGGATGAGATGCGCTTTCTCGCTTTTGTCTCTTTGAATGAGTGTGGGTGTTGGCTTGGGCGTGGTCTGATGCGATGTGATGCGCGTCTGTGTCGTCCAACAATTGCGCTGTTTTCAACTGGAACCCAGGGTCAAGCGCTCGATGGACTCGACTCGATAAGACTCGATATTCGATATTTGCGATAAATTCGATGCGACGCGATGCGATGCGACACGATTCAATATTCCCCAATGCGATATAATCCGATGCGATCGAATGCGCCTGGGTCTGTTGTATACCTTGACCCCCAACCCAAACCCAGCGCGACAGTGACAGTGATAGCGATAGCAATAATGAGCAACAGATTCGAATAACCAAAGACAACCCCACGCGATCGCAGCGCGCTCCGAACAAAGACGAATGAGTGTACCGACAGGGACGGGGAGTGTGAGAAGCCGATAAGGAACGGGAAACTCGAAGGTCAAACGAGGCATCCCGAGACCATACTGTGATGTGAAGCGATGCGATGCGATGCGATGCGAAGAGTCGAGTCGAGTTGAGTTGCGGTCGATCGAATCAAATCAAATCAATCTGCGTGCGCGACAAATCCACAAATCCAAAGGAGAGAAAACAAAATCCAAAATCCAAAAGGGACAAGGATATTATAGAGCCAAATAAGAAAGAGAGAGAAAAATGCGGCCACAGCAGCAAGAAGAAGCTGGGCAGACAGAGCACGAACCCTCCTGCATACAGTATGGAGACGTGGATTCGAACTCGATGCGTCACATTGCATTGCGCCTGAGATGAGAGGATATCCAGGCTGAGATCCTGCAGATCGGTTCAAATCAGTTTAGTTCAGTCCAGTCCAGTCCAGTTCAGTCTAGTACATATGTACACTGCTCTGCTATGTACCGGAGATCCACCACACCTGTCACGTCACAGCGTGGTATGACTATGGTTATGGCTTTGGCTATAGCTATGGTTTGTTTGGGAGCCTTACCTGATCTGCTAAAATCTGCTAAACTTACGCCCCATCCCACTCTCCTCCGGTCCGGGGAATGAGAAATGGCCGAGCACACCTGCGCGATCGGGCATCGTGCATCGTCATCACGGCTTTTCGCCCATCGAGCCCTGCCATAGGGCCGGGTGATAGGGGGAGGCGTGCGGGGCTGGCTGGGTCGGGGGGAGCCGGTGTTTGCAGATCAGTTGTCTTGTCCTGTCCTGCCTTGCCCTGCCCTGTCATTTTCTGCTTCATTTCTGACCAAGGCCGCTTGTCCTTTTTGCTGAATCGTCTGAATGAACTGGACTATAGTATGGATGGATGTACATACATACAGTACGTTGCTGCGCCACACTTGTTGTGTCAGTGGCATTCATCTCAGCCCAGCCCAGGCCCATAGGGATGCGAAGCGATGCGATGTGACGCGATGTGATATGATGCGCTGCGTTGCTTGCCTGTTGCTTCTTTTCTTGCCTTTTTGCCCGGTTTGCGCTTTAGCTGGGCTGAGGGTACTTTTGTTTTTTTTCAGCCACCTCGCCCTTCCACCAGAGGTGGCAGATTGGAAACGGAAACGGAAACGGAAACAGAAACAATACCGTACTGTACCTACTTTTGCATGATCTTGGAATTCGACTCGACCGTTGCGGGATTGTGATCGGATCGGATCAGATCAGACCAGATCAAACCAGACCAGATCAAACCAAACCAAACCCCCGGCTCGGGGCGCTTCGTGGGGGTGGGCAGTTTGAGGAGGGGGAGGGGGCAAACGCAAACGCAAATGCAAATGCGCAACTGGCAGATGCAGCCAGCACCGCACCGCAGCTGGCTGGATATGCCAAACGGACCACTTGGAGGCAAAGCTGCATGGCTCTCCGCACCGGGACCGATAGCGCGGGCGATCATGCAAGGGTGAGACTTTTGGGTACAGAGTACGGATACTAATACCGTACAATGCTTTTTTGTCGGATTATCTCATCATAAAGCGAAAAGGCATTCGGTCAATGGTAAATGCTCACCTCACCTCACCTAACCCAACCTAACCTCACCGACCCGACCCGACAGATTCATTGCGCTTGCGCGGTGGGCAAGGGAAGGGACCCGCTTTGGCTTTGGTCTGGGAATTTCGAATTCGGTCCCGGTCCACTGGGGATACCTCGTAGAATGAGCAAATCCTGCAAGTATTTTCCCGTCGCAATGATCTCGAGTCAAGGTACGGAGTACATACAGTATGTTGACGCAGATAACAGGGGAAATCATACGGAGTATCCGTACAGTACTCATATTCCTCCTCCTCTTGCGGGAAGCACTGCCAAACACGCTAAATCTCATGCATTGCGCCGTGTTCCTCCACTCCACGATGCATGCTGCCGGTAGCCGTCGTGGCCACCTAACCCTGTATGCAGAGGCGGTGCTATCGCCTAATCACCATGCGGGTAGGCCTGAGGATAGCATGGATGGAGCCAAAACTGACATGACATGGCTTGGCTTGGCTTGGATTAGACGTGTCCAGTTTTATCCGTCTGTGACAGATCTGAGCTCCGACTCGGGAGCGTCCGAGAGCGAAGATCCCATAGGCCCGGATGTCCAGGAGAAAAAAGAAAGTAAAATCAAAAAAGGGGCCCCCGGGGGGGGGGGGGAGGAGGAGAGGAGAAGGTCGAGCGATGTGAAAAAGAAAACCAAAATCAAAAAGAACAAGTCGCAAGGAGCAGGCAGGACACAGGAAATCTCTGACCTCCTCGTCCTTAGAAATGGGTGGGAAACTAGGCCAGGGCGTGGGGATGATGAAGTGGCCCGGGAAATTTAATTAGTGGGCACCTTCGTGGCTATCGTACAGCGAAGCGTTGTGTGCTGTACACAGTACATACCCAGGTGGCATTATTGACAGAGGAAAACAACCCCTTAAAAGCTCTGATGAGTAAGTATTGTGTCAACTAGTAGTTAGTGCTAGCATAGTACCTAGTTATAGTACAGTAGTAAATACATAACTCGAACTAGATAGCTACGCATGTGTGGTACACTAACAGTGACAGCGGCATGCCCGCCCGCATCCAGGCGAACCACGGCACCCTGAAACGCTACGCGGTTATGCTTAAATCGCGGTGTTCCGTGGTTTTCCTGCCGATCACACAGCGACTAGATCCAAATGCGTTACTCGTATGCGGAACTGCGTAGATTGGCTTACGTCGTTAGATAAACGGAACTACAGCATTGCATATCTATTGATTCCTACTTCGAACTATATCAGTATACTCTCGGTGGCCCATGTGCTTGACTGGTCGAAATTCTCCGGTCTGAGTGGATCCAATCTGGCCCGGCCATGTCCTCCAGGGCTCTTACGAGTACAGTACTCTCTTCCCCTTTCGGCTCCTGTCTAGACAAACCCCCTTGATAGCACAGGTCAGATCCTAGCTCACGCTGAGTACTACCCTAGGCTGCAGTGACCGCGATCTGATGTACGTGAAAATCTACTCAAATCACTTTAAACTTTAGCATGGACCGAGCGCATTCCTACATTTGTAGGGCGTCGCGGTGCCCCGCGTTCGCAGGTTGGTAATTGAGTTTTGTCGTGAGGCCGTGCGGGCGCTCGGTCCTGGGGATACTGTATACCTAGAGTAGTAATACTAGTTACTAGTAGTTAGTAGGTATATACACCGTGACTGCTGACATTTGCCTTCGTACTAATGTTCGAGTTTACTAGTATCTTTGGACCTTGCTGGAGACTTAATTGTGGACAAGAAATAACTTCGCGCTAATCAGTGTGATCTCGTCTCGAGTATGTCATTGGTACAAGCAGTCGGTAGGTACGCACTGACGAGGCGAGGGGCAAAGAACTACAGAGTGCGACTAGTACACATACATCATCGATTCAAGTTGGGACTTACTAGGTCCAGAACCTGAACAAAGACAAACTGGAACTCGAACTCTCCTCACAAGGTGATGTGAATACAAGGTGATGAATTAAAAAGAATACCCAACAAAAAGACAAACGCCGAGCGCCACCGACGCTCCTGGCTGAACAACTAGAAATCCCCAAAAAGCACCGAGCAACAATGCCTGCGGCACGCAGGTCTTCCTCGGCTGGGTCGACAGTCCAGTCACCCACCATAGTAGCCATGACCCAAAAAAAAAGATGATAGAAGAATGAAGCTGGGATACAAGAAAATGTCCATGTAAGAAACCAGAAAAGAAAAGCATAGTAGCAAGAGTAGAAGAAGAAGAAAATTTGGAGAAATAAATGGAAACAGCAGGGACCAAAAACAAAAACGCCCTGTTCAGATGCTGCGCGGAGATGTTTCTCATGTCCCCATCACCACGTCGCCGTCTACTTCGTATTCGCCATCAGCGTCTGGGTCGTCTTCACCTTCGGCATCCATGTCTGGATCAATGCCGTTGGTATTGGTGTTGGTGTTGTTATTGGTATTGGTATTAACGGCAGCCTTGGCCGCTTTCCTGTCGGCTGACCCAGGTTCCGCAGGTATAACTACTTGGACCTTCTCGACAAGTGCCTTTCGACTGACTGATTGCGGAGTTTTGGAATGATTGTCGGACTGTTTTCCCCGGACACGCTGTGAAACTGCTGTGCCAGGGGACTGGGATTTCGTTTTCGAATTGGACTTCTTGGGAGTTTTGGGTGGTTGCTGGATTGCGGGTTCGTCGTATTCAACCCCATTTGTTTCAATCGCTTCCTCAGGCTCCCCTTCGGCGTCGGGATCCTCATCCTCATCCACATCCTCATCAGCTACCCCATTGACCTGCCCGGTTGCCTTCCCGCCTTCCGAGGTCTCATCCAATACAAGACCAAGATCTTCGGGGCTTGGGTCTAGCACGGCCTCCTCGTCCATGACTTCGTCCTCGTCAAGGTCGACGCCGTTAGTTTGAATGGAAGTTGCCTCTGGGTCTGGCATCTTCGCGCTGCGACCGCGGCGCATCGGGGTGTTGCCTGTAGGAGTGAAAAGTGGCAGCCCTGACGGTCGTCGAGGAGTATTACGACCACTAGTTCGAGTAGCTGTCGGGGTCATTGAAGGCCGAGAACTTAGTTTAGCGCCGTGTGGACGACCGGGTTTGCGCTTAGACGCCGGAGGAACATGCACGGGAGGCCAAAGTTCAAATCGTGATGCTGGGATACCGGCGGCAGGGTTCGGGACAGGAGCCAAAGTGTGCTCAGGCTCATGTATGCCATTTGTTTGCATGAGTGCAGTAGAGGGAGGACCGGCGGAATCCCCGAAGCTGTCTGCATTAACCCCATTTACAGCTGGCTCTTCGTCACTGGTCCCATTCGCTTTTGTTTCTGACTCTTCATCTTCCTCTTCCTCCTCCTCAATATCTTCTCGGGGTGCAACAGCGTGAAGAGGAGCGCGGTCGAAATGAGTCTGGTTGTTCCGGCCCATGATGTAAGGCGTCCAGAGCAATGCGTCCGGGTTTAGTGTGACATAACCTTTGCTCTCCCAATTTTGGATGACCTCCTCGAAGTACTTGGTATCGAGACGGAATGCATAGGTTTTCGTGACAGGATCCCGCACAAGAGCACGGAGTCCCTCGAGTGCAGAAACAAGATCATCGGCGGTCATGCCTGTACGGTCGGAGAGGTCTGCAATACTGATGGGTGTTTTGAGGTCTCGAAGTTGGTAGGATAGGATTAGACGCCAATAGTTGCGGTAGGAGACAAGACCCATATCAGAGAGGGGCTTCTCAGGGGAGCCGCTTTTGCCTTCGATGCGGGTGAGAAGATATGAGAAGTCGATGAGGAGGTTGCCGTAGCCTTTCCGTTGGTGGATGGGGAGGGTAAGAATACACGAGACATTGTTTGCCGAGCTTGGACGCTTTTCTTTGCTGAAATAGCCGACAAAGTGACACCCAAGATCGTCGTACTCGCTCATGACATAGAACAAGAATGGTTCAACGTCGTAGTAAAGGGTCTTGGAGCCGAGGAATAGTTTGGCAAGAAGACACAGATTTTGACAGTAGACGGGGTTCTTTCTTCCGTCAACTTCGAATATCGAGATTGAGCCATCACGATAAATCTCGTCGCCAGGTGGGTGTTTGGCAGGGCACTTGAGCTTGTGTCGCCAAGCGACATAATCCGAGTTCATGTATTTGAGGCAGAATTCACAGATATAAAGTACCCGATTGCGGCTATACTCTTCCGGGTAGGGTGCAGCGTACCAGGTCTCGATCTCGTAGCCACCAAAGTTGATGTGCTTGATCTTGGAAGGTGGACCAGACACCTTGGCTGATGCAGTCGGCGCCGCTTCGCCATTCAGCTCTGCTTCTCGTACCCGGCGCTGCCATTCTTCTTCAGCTTTTTGACGGGCCGACTCAAACTTTTCGCGGTCACCCTGTAAGGGCAGAGTCTTTGTTGTATCTGCTTCGACTTCGGACAAGATGCCACCGTATGGCTTCTTAGTCTCATCACTGTCTCGGTCATTGAAAGGAGCAAAGTAGTTGTGGGGAGCAGGAGGAATCGGGGCGAAATGAGCTTGGAGTTCTTGGGACGCGGACGCGGGCTTCGGGACTTTCTTTTTATGACTGCGCTTCGGTCGGCTTTGTGTACTGAGAATCCGAGTGACTTTGTTTTCGTCCAGCCGGAATCCCACGACGAGTTTGTGAAATTGCTTGGACACTATCCGGCAATGTTCTCGCTCGACTCCGCGGGTTCGTCTTGGGCGCACCGACCGGGATTCTTCAGTGGCTACATCACCGCCATTCTGAAGAGGGACTTCGTTTTCATCCGGGTGATCTGTTTGTCGTCGTCGCTTTCTAAGCACCGGGACATGCTCGTCGGCATCAGCAGATGAAGCCTTCCTCTTGCGTAATGATCGCGAGCTGTTCAATAACTCGTCGCTAATGTTGGTGTCGAAAATGGAATGAAAATCGGAACCCTCCTTTCCCGCATGGGCCGGCATGAGCTCCTTCTTGAGATAGGGGGGCTCCGCCCCTAGCGTTTGGCGTCCGAGTCTCGGCATGGTTAGAGATGGGTCGATTGTCACGACAAGGAAGACATTTCCAGGGATCTACATGTTTCCACGTTAGCGAGTGGGCCCCATCGGCAAGGATCTGGGGGCGCCAAACGGGCGTTGCAAAGTTCCGCTCACCTTCTGAATCACCAAATGCTTCTTGATCGCGAGCGCATTGCCGATGAGCTGTCGGGATGCCGAGTCAGCAACCAGTGAAAAACGGGCTAGGGCTGAGGGCGGCTTAAGCTTTTAGCTCCGGCCCCCGCATAGAGTACTTACAGTGATCGCCACAACTAGTACATGTGAGCCATTCCTCGAAATCCTCACCTGGGTCGTGTTCTTCGTCTTGACTGCAAAAGCTGCGGGGCTTGTTAGTCCCAAGGCTAGGTCAAACTTTCACATCTCTTCAACCAGTTTGCACTCACATGCATATCACACGACTGCGATTATCGATTTCTTCATCTTCAGGTCCGTTACTCTCTGCTTCCCAGTCCCCTTCCTCCTCCTCCTCTTCTGGTGCCGAATCAGACTCGGATGCATCTCGGTCATTGTCGTCTTCAAATGCAGAGTCTGCTTCTCCTTCCGCATCAGCAATTCCAGATTCGGCTTCCGACGACCCATCATGATCTAAACCCTTCACAGCACCGACTGGTTCGGTCTCATCGTCATCGTCGCCACCTTCCTGCACGCCCTTCTTGCCCGAGTGTGCCTCATCGTTGCCATCTTCTTCGGCTACTTCTCCGGTGTACGCTCGGTGCACTGCGTCTTGAAGCTGTTGGTCCATGTGGTACAGGTCGGTTTCCTCCTCTCCGTCCGCGTCCAGGTCACTGTCAACCTGGTCCACAGCCGGATCGAGCATTCCCGGATCCTCATTCACTGGCGGCTCTGTCGCCGCCATTCTCAGTGCCACCGCAGCCGCCAGGTCGAACGCAAGAACTCGTCTCGGGCGACGCGCAAATGCGTTGGGGGATGTTGTTTTGTCTTTGTTCAAGGGCCAACCGAGATAAGCTACAGAGCCACCCCGCTCACATCGGTGTTGGCCGGGGGTGCATCGGGAGCCTAGGTTGGAGCGGCAAAGATTGGCACAGACAGTCGATATGTGTCAATCTTTGGAATTGTGCTTCGATCGCAAGTCAGGTAGGTCGAGCGCAATATAGCTAGAGAGCAGCAGAGGGTGTCAGTTGAGGTTGGGAGGATGGTTCGAGGTCACAAACACGTGTCGCAGGGGGGGACTAGAGACCTGATCGGAAGCCCAAACGGTCGAGCACGAGGAGTAGATATGCACAAGACGCGTCGAAGAGTAAACGAGGCCGTAAGTCCTTTGACAATCTTCACGAATGCGATGCGCTTTCCCCCTTGACCTGGGGGAGTGTCGTTGCAGTGGCTGACTCAGAACGCGCTAATCTGCTTTGGGTCTCGCAGACCTCGCAAACCGCCGCCCGCTGCTCTCCGCCCTTCACGACTCCCCTCCTTGCGATCTCCCACAACATAGGCCTGCTGTTCAGGTGTTCCTTGGTCGTTGTTACTCGCTTGATCCTCGCAAACTTTCACCATGCCCGTTCCCTTCGAGGCCCTCCTGCCCTGGGGCATCATTGCCACCGTATGTCTCGACAACTCCCCTCGACCAGTCCCTACCGAGCTATTACTCACCACCATTCACAGATGTTCGGCGTGACTGGTGTTGGTCTTTACTACACCAAGCACCTTGGAAACGAGGGCAAGAAGACCCGCTGGAACAGGGATCTGTGGGATAGAGTAAGTCGTTCCTCAACTCCACCTCCATCGGCTGCGGTCGGGAACTCAGCTCGCTCTGAATGTCAACTACGGGAACTCTCTGGATGCCAACTAACACATGTGCAGCAAAGTAAGTGATATACGATACCAATGCGATCGACCGCGATTTCGACTGCGATTGCGACTGCGACCTTCCTGCGAGCGATCTATTCGAACCCCCTTCACCGTGAAGATTTAACCGAACTGGGACTAACAATTGAATCAATCAGTGATGGAGCGTGACCTCCGCCTTACCGGAACGTGGAGAGGACAGTCCAGTAACCACCAGGCGCCCCCGGGCTTCGAGTTGAGCAACCAATGGAAGGTATGGAACAAATAGAAACAGCAGATGCACCTCGATACCTGACAGGTTACTAATTCCCCGACTCCTACAGATCGAGCGACGGATTTTCTAAATTCAAAAATTGCAACGTTTCATCCTTCTATATCTGCGTTTTCCCTGTTTCGCGATCACTCTACATACCTTCCTACGCAATTTTTAGAAACATCGCTGTATCATACCATTTCAATCGTTCCAATGTCCACACTCGATGGTAGTCTATGCAGTGCCTGGTCAAACGAAGGCTATTGGATCTGCGAAGCCAATCCCCGAATCCCTCGGATTTCACTGTCACGAAGGTGCATATCGAAATACTGCGCCAAGGCCTTGACCCGGTCATGCTCGCTTTCAATAGTCTGCAGAACCTCTGTTTGCCCATGCATCCTTCTCTTGACGTCCTTCCCGGCCAGACTGCACTGTCCGATGATCTCTTGCCCTGTCGAATCAAGGATCATCCGCGTGCAGACAAATCTTTGAGTAAACCAGCTAGCCCGCCTCTGACTAACGCCAAAATTCATGAGTTCGAAATCTTGCGGCAGGAGCTCCATGTCCGCAAAGCATATCATGGACAGCCAAGTGCTTTCGGGGTTGTGTCTAGTTTGGTAGATCCAAAACTTCTGACTCTTGTCTGTAGCTTCAACCAGGCTGTCCTTGATTAAACGCATTTCCGACGGTGCGATACGTGTAGCAACGAGGCCCTCCTTTAGAAGCAAAGGCGCTGTAGCGTTGTAGGCACCGAATCCAACATCAACCTGCAACTTATTAATTGGGACAAGCGGAGAACGAATGAGAAACAAACTAACCATATATTTCACCTCATCAATGACAACAATCAAAGCCATATGGCTCCTGGAGTAGCAATTTAGTCAATGAATCCTCCCGCAAACAAATTGGGTTCATACAATTGTGAAAACAATCCATTTTCCACCCCCGTACCCACAGCCTGGCCAATTCTGGCGCCAATGGCATATACAACGTATCCCAGGGATCGCAGTATACTGTGAAATAACCCTGTGTTCTCCATGCAATATCCATCCAAACGTCGCTCAACCATCTTTTCGAACAAAGTCTCTGGATTTAGAGATATGGTGTGGTGCTGCGAGTAGTGCAGGCCCGAATTTCCCCACGGGATCGAACTAAGATGTCTCCTGTGCAGCTCGAATAATGTGCCAAGTGCATCTTTTGCAACATTTTGACGGACACTTTGAACCAACGAGGCGCTGGCCTCGCTGCTAGGGTATGAGATCCGGCTGAGGTATGTCTCAAGCTGCTCGTCGGTATATTTCGGCAGTTGAGTCATGGTGCGGAATGGGAACCCTAGGAGTACCCCGCCGGCGGTTGTTTATATCGTTCGTGGTGAAGAAAAGGAGGTGCCAATATAGAACCAGAGAGATCACCGAGGGGAAGACACAAGTTGATAAGTTTGAATATGAATGCCGTGTCAGACTTTCCGATCATAATCATCACAAGTGGGCGTCGGAATGGTTCCTTGATGACCAATTCGCACCCCACATTTGGCCGAGGCTTTTGGCGGGGAACCACACTTTCGCATGTTACTGTCTAAACAGCCAGGTGGCTACTAAATCCTCATTCTGAAGCAAATTACCCTTGGAATTTATGATTAAACAAGTCCAGGCATCCCCCATGGCGCAGCTTGATGCGGAGCTACCTCGATAACAATTCACTCCCTGAATCTAAACCTTGAAGAACTTGGAGAGAAGAGAAAAGTTTTGAGAAGAGAAAGAAAAGGACGCGGCGAAGGAGGTTTTGTTTACTTGTTTACTCCTGGGTCGCTCCTTTCAGGTGAAGTTCTATACAACTCTAGTAGTAGTAGCAGTAGTAGTAGTAGTAGTAGTAGTAGTAGTAGTAGTAGTAGTAGTAGTAGTAGTAGTAGTAGTAGTAGTAGTAGTAGTAGTAGTAGTAGTAGTAGTAGTAGTAGTAGTAGTAGTAGTAGTAGTAGTAGTAGTAGTAGTAGTATGCACCTGCCAAGCAGCGCTGTATAGTTCATCCTCTATGGAACATCCCTGTTATCAAAACACCGCATTTCCATCTCGGCTATCTAAATTCATCCCGAAGCATAATAATCTCTCTCCAGTTTGGTGATACTAGTCCCATCATCCAAAACCTCCACCGACTCTTCCAATTTATATCCTCCCCACCGAGGCAAAAGCACAGTCCACACATACCAATAGACCACCGCAAAAAGAATCCTGCTCGATCCCATTAGTCCAAGTCACTATAATTTTATATTTCGTATCTGTCCAAGGATGAGACGGTACTTACACACTGATACCAACAATGGCATACGTCGCATAAAAGAAATCAACATCACCCTGCCAATTCGGAGGCGGCACAAAGGGCGCAGCCAACAGCACCAAACAAACAATCACACGCAACCAAACAGCAGGAAGCCATGCTTTAAAGGGCCGAGGTCGATTAGGTTCTCTGTATCGCAAAATCAAAAGGCCAACCGTTATCGCTAGCGCGAAGAGCTGACCGGGATATCCTTCCACATCTAGGATGAAATTGTAGACATCTTGTTGTGGCGGAAGGGCAATGACCAACAGCGATGGCACGTAATGAACAATCAGGCCTCCGAGAGGCGTGTTGAAAGGCCGTGAAGATGAAATAACCTTCTGCCATGGTAGAAAGCCTTGACGAGCTATCTCTTGATTGACGCGAGCCTGGGGTAGGGTAGATTCCAGTCAGTATTGTATTGTAGTTATGTGGACAGTCGTGCTAAGGGACCAGACCAGACCAACTTACCAATGCAAAAGTCACCACCATCACATTCCCGGCTGCGGATATAGCAATTGCAAGAGGGAACAGTACCCTTCCGACACTATCGCCGAATAATCGCTCAAAGAGGAGCGCGCCGACGAGTTCGCCGCTGCTTTTGATTTCCTCAAATGGTATGACCAGGAGGTAGGATGCGTTGGCCAGGAGGTAGAGGCCGCCGGCTGTGAGGAGGGCAGATGGGCATACAGTTTTAATCGTGTGGATAGGGTTATGTACCTCGCCGAGAACATTATTGATGTTGCTCAGTCCTGCATAAGAATAGAAGACTTTAAACAGAGCCGTCGAAAGCAGACTCCAACTCCAATTAGAGCCCTCCCATATTGAATTCCAGGATGCAAAGTCGTTATGCATGTATCCTGGTGTAACCTGATGTGAGCTCCCAAAGAATTGGAGCAGAAGAACCCACAATCCAGTCAGTGACATGGCCCCTATTAGAAAGATCTTGACCCAGCCAAGCGCATTTTGAATCGCAATGCCCGTACGCAGAAAGCATCCATGGATGATAGTGATAATGGTTAATAGGCCGACAGCAAGTGCTTTGTGCTGAAGATCGGTCGGCTCAACTTTCAAAGCGAAGAGTGTATACTTTGCGAAGATAATGCAGTTACTTGCAGTGAATCCTAGCACAACAGCTTGCACGGCAATTAAAGTTGAAGCGAGAAATCTCGGTCGGGGATAGGTATACTCCAGGTACACCTGGAAGCCGATCCTTTTTAGCCTATGTGAATCTCGGCGTGAAGATGGTCAGAGAGATTATCTACCTTGTCCCCTCCCGAGCGAGGAAGCATGCATCCAAATTCCATCGAGATGGAGAGCCCACATGCGGCTAAAATGGTTCCGGCAATCCATACCAAAAGAGTGAGGCCGACACTTCCTGTCGATTTGACGATGGATCCTGGAGTTGCGAAGATGCCGCTTCCAATGACGCGAGATACGACTAGGATGTATGCGCTGGACCAGCTGAGGTTTTTCCCGGGATTTGGCCCCGGAAGGCTGTCTGGGAATCCATCGGTTATATCTGTGGAAGTGGCAAGCTGGCTATCAGTCTGGCCATTGTTTGTTTCTAGCAACGGTCGCGTCTCCCCCGTGGTCATCATGCGCGGTTGAGTTATCTAGTACTCTAACTAGTATGCGGAAACTGAGGATCGGTGTGAACTCCGGGAGGAGTGGTTTAAAAATTGAATAAGTTTCCTCAGACTGGAAGGAATATGTTGACCAGCCAAGGATTAGCCATTTTTAAGAGGTCTTGATGATAAACGTTGCTTGGAAATCAGCTGGGGTTTCCCCCCCCGGCACGCCATTCGGGCTGAATGTTGTGTGTTCGTCCTTGCGTGATGGATGACACGACTGATCAAATCAGTGAAACATGCCAATCAGATGTTCCAGAATGATTGAGCCGGAGTATTCGGATCGCATTTTGCAGAGTAAAAAGATAATGACCGGAGATGATTTTGATTTGTTGCTGAAATCGCCCTCTTAGCACTAAACTGCCCAGGTAAACTTGAAACTTGAATGGCCAAAGGGTGTGGTTGGAATGTGATTTTTGTTCAAGTCAGATTCAACCAGTGCGGCGAACGATAGATGTCACCGAGAAGCTACCAGCTAACCTATAACATTCAACCAAGGTTCCTTTCCTTAGTATCTGGGGTACACAAGTGCATTTTAAGTTCAGGTGGAACAGAAAGGCTAGAGCATGAATGACCAAATGATTTGAATAGTATCAGTCTATGAAGATCGACCGGCTTCACCAGGTAAACGGTATATATAGAAAGGAATTTTCTACGGGCCAAACAGCGACTTTCGCCTTGGCACAGGAGAATCACTACCCCGATCATTGAATGATGGAAGCTGTGTCATAGAATCCAGCCGAGGACTCGGAGTCGGAGCCGGTACAGAATCCGACTCCACTCCCGTCTCCGGCTCAATAATCTGCACACTAGCAGCAAACCCGATCCGCGATCTTTTCGGCGTTGGACTCATCCTCGACTCTGGCAGATCCGTATCATCGGCATCCGACTCAGCGAGCCGACTCCGTTTTGTAGACGCATTGCGCACTCCAATCTCTTCCTTTCTCACCTCATCCGGGATCGGCAATGGGTGCCGATCGAAGAATGTAGTCGGTTGTTGCAAATACATTGCCTCAGCAAAGCGATTGCCATTTTCATCTGTCATAGGCAAAAAGGCCTCTCTTTGAATGATATCATTCATAGCCGTATCATCCAGTAAGCTCCGCTCTGCGTGCTGCATCTCCATGTCCGACATCTCTTTTCTTCGCCGGAGCATGCGGTCTTCTAATGTATCCTGCAAAACCAATGTCTCGACATGAACAGGCCTGGTCTGACCGATTCGGTGAGCACGCTTGATGGCCTGGCTTTCGACCGTTGGCTGCCAAATTGGATTGATGATGTAGACGCGCGAGGCATGGGCGATGTGCAGTCCGTGCGAGGCCTGTCGCAGATCCATCAGTAGCACGCGAATGTCGCTCGATTCGCGGAAGAGTTCGAGATATTGCGTTCGGAGCTCGGGCTTCAGTGTACTGGCGTAAATGCGAAACTCGATTCCTAGTAGCTCTAGGCCTTCGGCGATCCAGAAGGCTGAGTTGCTGTTGTCGTAGAAGATGATGATCTTCTCTTCTTTGTGCCAGCGGAGTACTTGGTCTAGGAGATAGGTGAGTTTTGCCGATGATGTGGCCACGAATTTCGTTTTCATGAGCGGGGATGAGGAAGGTAAGGTGCGGAATAGGTTTTGCTTGAAGGTCTTCTTGGGCGATTTATGACTTTGAGGCTTTGTGCTGTGATTGAGTTGGCCTGGCGTGGAGGATGCGGATTTCGGTGTATTGGCGGACTCGGGGGGCACCCTTAGCCGGGGCACGCTGATCTCTTCTTTCAAGTTCACCGCGAACTTTGATCCCGGCGCCTGACAGCCCCTGAGTAGGATCTTGCGATCGCAGGTTCTGGGTGACAAACTGCTGTGCTCGTCGAGCCTGGGTGATTCCAATTAAAAGCGGCTCTTCCTCCGAATTCGAGTCTAGTGCCCAGTGTGCACGGTTTTCTTCAGGGAAATCCCGGAGGAAGACGCCGAGTTCGTGAAGTTGCTTAAATTCGCGCCAGCTTCCAGACTCCATTGCCATTCGAGCAATGTTCATCCCGTTGGTCAACTGGTCGATATCATCCGGCGTCATCTTCTCCCGATTCTTATCCATGTATTTGATCGCATGGTCAATAGAGTCTTGGGGATTCATCTCAGACCCTGCCCACCAGAATCCGGCTTGTCGCAAATTATTTATGATTTGGTTCAGATGTTTCCGATTTTTGGAGTCAAACATGTAGTCCGGGCCTTGTCGTTCGGAGGTAATGGCGTTGACCGCGAGGCCAAAAAGGAACAGGTTTATAGAAAGTCGGTCATGAAACGTGGGTTCCAGGTAAACAACTCGGTTGTAGAGATCCGGAAGAGAAATCTCTTTGTTCAGTGTCTCCAGTTGATGTCGTACCACAAGGCCCTGTAACGTAGCGCGAATGGCCGGGGATTTGCGACGCTTGCCATCCAGGCCGATCGGTTTCATGTATTTCGTCCAGTCTGCCGGATCATTATCCTTCGAGTTCGACCATGGCTGCAACTCGAAAAATCCAGTCACCATGCGTCTTAGTCGATCGAGGTCTTTCAGCTCACTATCTACTGCGTTTCCGGTTTTCTTCCGGCCTTGCAGAGCAACGGCTGTTACATCTCCAGGAGAGTCCGTATCACTAGTCGCGGCTTCCTGCGTAGCAAGACTGATTTCGACTCCATAGAGTCCAGTCGATGGAGTTCCCGATATGACCCACCGGCGCTCAATGTGCATTTGCCCAAGTAGATGGATCATGTTGGTTTTTGAACCGTGTCCCGCCACATTGTGCCCTTCGTCAACGATGACACGCAACCAGTGAAGTTCTGTAAGTGGCGAGTCCATCTGCACAAATCTTTCGCGCCGGTTATTGACTGGCTCGCCGGCTTCTTTCTCAAACCGTGTTTTGGAAAAGAGCACGATATCGTAGTTGAGCAGATCGTCGGCAGATGGTGTCTTATCCTTTTCCGGTCCCTGTTGTAGGGTCAAAACATTTAGATCTGATGTATGTTGGTGAATTTCATGTTGCCAGTGATCCACCAGGTTATTCGGGACGATAATCAACGTTGCTGTACAGAGGCGAATACGCTTGGACGGTGGCCGCGGGTACGACATACTGCGTCGCCCCTGATACCTAGTTTGATGCGGAGGGATCTCGTAATATCCACAGTTGCGCTTACATGCCTTCATACACCGTTCATAGTACGTCCCTTGAAGCTTCTTCTGTTCGAAAAACATTTTCCATGGAGCGGAATGCCGGCCCGCGGCAGCCGCCGCCATTTCCATCAGAGATCCCGTCTTTTCTCGAACTGGCGTATGGTCGTTTTCTTCTGTTAAGAGATACTTGATCGGTATTTTTGGCACATGGCCTCTGGTTCCCCAGATGACGGCAAGGGAGATGAATGTTTTGCCACAACCCATCGTCTCGGCAAGGATACCTAGGCATGGTTAGTTGTATTTCCACTTGGCAGTTCGAAGTTGGCACACCTCCACACGCTTCTGAATACAATGCCTTTTCTAGAAATATGCAGGCATCTTCTCTATCGTAGTAGTATTCCTTCCCAGTCGGAGTGCGGTAGGCTTGTAGACGAGGATCCAGAACTTGTGCAGGCTGGACCTCCCGCTGCACAATGGCAGCCGCGGAACGACGCTGATACGGATGAAGTGGAGTCTTGAGACCAAATTCCGAGAAGTCATCGCCAGACAGTAGGTCCAACGCGGCCTGCTGCGACCATTTGTCCTTGATCAAATCTGGACGCGGGTCTGGGTCCTGTAGCGTATTGAAAATGTACCACAAGGATTCATCTTTGTCAGAGTCGTCGTCGGAGTCCTTGGTTATTGCTTTGCGCTGACCTTCCCAAGATTCCTCCGAGGCATCAATGTTCGACATCAAGATTTTGAAAGCTGCCCGCAGCTTCTTGATAGATTTTTGGACATTATTGCGGTGGGTGAGTTTCGGATCGACGTAAATTCGGATGTTTTCATTCTTCACCCGTGCTCTAATCCAAGAACTACCTTCCAAAATTGATATTTCGACGGCATATTTCTCAGTGGCTGTTTTCGAGTCAAGTACTCCCAAGGGAAGAAAGGCACTGAGATCTTCACTTCCTTCATCGGGTCGAGTTAGCGCTAAATGCGGTTGTGCATCGAGATTTCCACCCTTGGACTCGGCGGGTTCACGGTGAGATTGGCCATTACCACCCAATTTTGCAAAGATTGGATAATTGGGAGGTTCTTGTCCATTTTCTTGCATTTCCTTGGTTGCTATTGATGAATTGCAAGGGTGCTCATTCGCATTCGCATGGACGGGTTGGACGGGAACGGCGGTGGCATTATTTTGATGAGATTCACTGACTGCGGGCTTTTTCAGCTCAATGTTTGACGCATCGCGAAGTGCGGAACCGTCAGGGGACAGTTTCACGTCAGTAGTCTCAAATGGTGGAGCAGTAGATCCATTTTCCGCGCGACCCGCTAAAGCCCCATAATCCGAGAAGGAGCAGGCTAGAGAAGTACTCGCAGAACCTGTAAGTTGTGCTCCGCGTTGATTGGTGTCCGAAGATGTCCCGAGGGGCCACGTAGCACAATCCGCAGTGTGTAAGGGCAAGCCCGAATGCATGCCGATGAGATGTATCACGTTATGAATTTATGAGGCAAAAGGCCGGAGACTCGGAGATAGCCAGTGGTGTGGCAGAATTACTCACCGCCACCCGCTTCGGGTCATCACTATGTAGTATACCGTTGGAACCTGTAGTATAGTTACCACTAGTACACTATGATAAGATTGATTTAAAGTGTTTTGCAGAAAAAGAATGTTCTCATGCAGTGCCATTGATTCAATAATTACAATTTATAAAAGACTCAGCTTAAAGCCAAGAAAATGATCCAGCGCTATCCAACCGCCCAAATCAAATCAAACACCAAACACCACGACCCAAAGAAAGGTCGACAATATGAGATATGACAATATGAAAATATGAAAAGAAAAAAGAAAAATAGAAAAAAGTCCTCCCTCCTCATCAATCCATTTACTATACCCCCACCCATGCCATCCCTCAAAAAAATAAATCCAATCCAACACAGCAAAAGCAGAACAATCTCATTCAAGCAGCAGAGTACACCTCCACCCTCCCTCACTGCGTCAAAAAATCCTCAATCTCAAACCCAACCCTCTTCAACGCCTTCTCCTCCAACACCCCCGGCGACCCCAAGATTTTCCGAATAACAATAGTCCTAGCATCCTGCAACCGCATCTCAACCGCATTTCCTCCAAACCGCTCAAGTTCCTCCCGACTACACTCACGAACATAAACAGTGATATCCGGTCCCGCACAGGTCCGCCAAAGACTCGCCATCCACTGCCAATGATCGAGAGAAGTATACGAGTCTCGAATCGGAATTGAGCATGCGAATGCATCCGCCGTCGTCAGTTGATATCGGGGCACTAGGGCTAGCGGTAGCGCTGTGAGCGATGTGTTTGTGCTGGCGGAGTGGTCGGAGCCGGCTTCGCTGGATTGGGGGGGAATTTATGTGCATGGCGTTTGTTTTGGGGATGAGGGTTTTGGGACTTGTTAAGCCGTCTTCTCTGGTCAGCGCCTCGGAAGTGTTGGCGTTGGCGAATTCGGCATTTCCGTTCAAGGTGCGAACGAAGTCTTTTACTTCATCTGAGACGCGGTGCCAGGAGGAGATTGTGTCGAGGTATTCGACCGTTGGGTCGGAGGAAGATTCGGTTGTGGGGTCCTTAATTGTTGGACCCTGGAAGATGCGGACGTGATGTTTTGCTTCCTTTTTGAACATACGTTCTAGGTAGTTCACGGCCGATTGAACGAGGGCTGGGTCTTGGCCGTCGATGGCGATGATGGGTCCGCGCATGACGGGCGTCTGGCGGAAAGTCGGTTGCAAGGGTGGGGAAATTTTAGCCAGGACTTTGATCTTGTTCAGGTATGGGATTGTCATGACTGTCGCCTCGACGGAGGCGTTGGATCCGTCTTGCGAGAATGGGGTGAGTGGGGCATTTATCGGCGTTGAGGTTTTGAGAGGTGCGAGTTTAAGACTTGACTCCGATCCGGCTGGTTGGCCGGGGACTGGGGGGCTGTTGTTGAAGGGTCGGCTGATTGATGGAAGTGGTTGTCTTTGTTGCTGTTGCTGTTGGATGGTAGCATTGTATTGGTACGGGGACATTGAGTAGGGGGAGATAGAGTCTGGACTTCGGTTTCGGTGGACCGGTAAGTCGGACTTTATTGATGCATGGGAGACACGGCGGCGCTTGAGATCTGGGGATTGTTCGTCAGCGTCGTCGAATCTCCGGGGTCGTACACGGTGGTCGATTTGGTCGATTTTGATCGGCTTGAGCTCTTTCTCGCCGCCGTGTGAGCTTCTTGCTGACATGATTGTTGTCGTTGCTCGCCCTGGTACGAGGCCGGATATGCTTGCTGATCGGCCTGTGGGGGTGAATGGAGTCATCGGAGAAGTGGGTGCATTCATGATTCTACCGCCGCAGGAGTTGCATGTCGAGGCTCCAGATGGATTGTGGCTGATGCCAGAGCCTGAATGGCGATTGTTTCCATCACGGCCTGCTCGTTTTGGCTGATATCGATAGGTTGGATATTGCTGAGCATGGCGGGCTTTTTCTTCCTAGTAAATAGTAAGTAATGGCTTCCCGGAATAGCGAGTCATTGGAATAAGTAGTAATTTTTACATACCTCTGCCAAAGCTCTCCACTTGTTCTTCTCCCCCTCTGTCAACGCTCTCCACTGCATGCCGATAATCTTTGAGATTTCCGGATTGGCAAGGCCAGGATTGTGTGAAACGACAGCCGCCTGGTGATGCTGACGGTATAAGATAAAAGCTATAAAAGGGACAAAGAAACATCTAGTCAGCATGAATCTAATGAAAGTAAACATTCCAGATCCCGGGCCATCCCGACTAGATCACAAAATGAAAGAAAAAGGGACTTGCCATGCTCATTCAACATCGGCGCGCACATCATCGACTCACCATTACGAGGCCGGGGAATTTTCGGATCCGGTTTACAGAGACACCACTGACTGGCGTACTCTTCCTTGCCCGATTTGGCCGGACTAGAGCTACCCGAGGAAGGGGGGGAACGCTCTCTTAAAGGAAGAGAAGCCTTTGAGATGGAGTGCTGTCGCGGGTAAGCGTCCACGATGGGGTGCTTGTCGATCGGTGGGGTATAGGGTTCAGCCTTGCTGTGATACATGGCCATCTGCTGGTGGATCTGAGGGACCGCGTTCGGGCGATATTCTGGATACCTGCATGTTGCGGCTAGAGGTTCTGGTCGATGTGGCAGGGCGCGATGGGACATTGGGAGATCATTCATGATCTTGTGCTCGAAGGGATTGCTGTGGAGAAAATTCGAGCCAGAAGACTCATGGCGCACAGCAACTGGGGCGGGAAGCACTCGATCGTAAGACATTTATCTATAGACGACAACAAAAGAAAAACAAGAAAGAGAAGAAGAGGTGGCGAAGCAAAAGCAAGAAGAAAAGAGATTCGCGAAAGAAGCAGATTGACGGCGAATCCGGCGTGGGTTCTTTGTTCAAGATGCGTAATGGCTTGGAACGACACAAGGGAAGGGGAAATTGGAGCGGATGGATGTGTGGGTAGAGAGAAGAAAGGGAAAGTATAGATGAATCCGGAGAGGGATGAAAGGGGAAGCAATAATAATAAGTGAGATGGAGGCGAGATGGGAGGGGAAGCTGCTTGAAGGCGAGACAAAGAGAGAATGGATCTATATCAGGCTGGCGTTTGGAGAGTCGGCGGATTGGAGGGGAAGAAAAAAGCAGATGAGCATCGGGAGATCGGATCGGATAGGGCAGGGTGATACCTTTGGACACTTTGGGATGACGTCTAGGGCTCATTCGATCCCTCCAGGCGAGACAAAGGAAGGCGCAAATTAGTGATTCTTTGTCTTCGATGCAGGAATCCCTGTCGGTGGCAGGCTTTGAAAATGTATGATTTTCCGTGAACCAAAGAATAGAGCGCCAGGATCGTGAGGGACTTATTGGAGCTGACTGGGGTTAGTAGTTAGCTTAGCCTATGTGGTAATTGATTCGATGGAAGTGTACGAGAGCAGCATCGGAGTAACTATGCCAGTATAAGTCTAGTGAGTCTACTTTAATCTACTACGACTGTGACTATATTACTACGACTACCACGTCTCCATCGTTGTCAGGAACCCGAGAACCAACCCAAACCCAGAACGTTTGAAGCCCAAACCAATATCGTTAGCCGACAACCAAACCCTGGAACGATAAAACCCAACGAAGCAAACGAGATCATTGTTTCTTTGAGACGAAAGCGGCGACGCGCATGCCCCCATTCCTCGGGCCGAAGTGTGATTGGTCGGCTCCCAGCGGCTGCATTGACGTCGGTTCCCCGGAACAAAGAAAAAAAATGGCAAACACGCAGAAACTAGTGATATTCGTGGAAGAGACCAACCATCTGTACCCTAATCCGATTGGCAAGCAATCGCCCTTTTCCCCCCATTTCCATTGACTTCGGAAAATCCCCTGTCCCACTGTGACCTCCTCTCTTCTTTGTACTGTACTGTGTATCCGTACGGAGTGTATGTACCTGTTAATGATCTCATGCCGATCGCTCTCCACTGTAACACGAACAATATCACCCCGATTAGATAGCTGCGATCGGAGATTCCGGGAATAAACGGAGTCCAATGGTAAGGCAAGTAAAACAAATGATGGAATCGTGGAACAATAAGTAACTTGAAAAATGATAGGTACATGTAGAACCCGAGTTCACCCCATCACAAAGCCCTGTTGCTTAATTTTGGGCAAGTCCGGCCGAGTGATCTAGGGCCAAAATAACAAGAATGAGAACAATCAATCCTTATCAAACTAAACTATGTACTAGTAATAGACTCGCCCCAATTTCCCTGACTCGCGAGGCTCTCCTGGCAAACCCTAACCCTAATTTGAGTCTACCCGCTGGAAGGGCCAGACCGTAAAGTAACCACGCGGTGAGGTCAAGGAGTAAGTTTCTTGTCTTTTCTTTTCTTTGCTTTTTTTTTCCTTTTTTTTTTTTTTCTTCTTATTCTCTGACACCTGTCACGTTATGACCTCAAGACATTCGCTTTACTCCACCAGTACAGGTACAGGCACCGTAACTCGATCTAAGTGGGCCCGATCGGTGCTACCCAACAACTGCCGCAAAGTACCACCTCAGCCCGCCAGGCCGCATTGGTACATACCCTAGGTAACTAGTAGTACATCCGCAGCTCGTTTCATTTCGTTTGTCTTGGAGGCACGCAGGAAGAGCTGAGCGGAGCTGTAATCTGAAATCCGAAATGAACCCTATGAACAAGGGGGAAAATATATTCAATAAGAAAAGTATACAGAAAAATATACATGCTGAAACTGATTCATGACAATGTCTAAGCTAAACTGCAGCACCCCGTCGGCTAGCCGCCGACTCAGACTTACTGGGGGCGGCGTTGAGTAGATCCTTCGTCTCCTTGTAGACTGCACTCCCCATGAGCTTGTGGGCAGATGGTCCCAGATGCATTTCATCCCTAGAAACAGAAACAGAAACCCGGTCAGCAAAGAAAGAAACTCACAATGTCGATCAATCGTGTCATGGCCATGGTCATAGGCCATGAACCACGGATTCAGAAATGTTGAATGTTGGGAAAGAGAAGGGAATACGGAACAGGAACAGGAAAGTCGCGCACGAGCAACGCAGAAAGTGCAAAGGAAAAGGAAATCCACTCACCAGAACAGATATTTCTCCGGGTGTTGGCACCGTGTCTTCTCCTCCGTCCTTGACATCATGACCCGGAACCCACTCTCAACAACCACACAAGGAGCACTAACATTCTCCCACCCAGGCTCAGTATTCTTCCCCATGCCATTCTCCTCCTCAATACCGGAGGCGTAAAGCTGCCAATCGCGAATGCGATCCAAGACAAAGGCATTCGTATCAAACATATACAACCACTGCGCCTTACCATCCTTCCACTCCGTAGCAGCAGACTTGAGCTTAGAATTCCACTCCGTCAGAACACGCACCGCATCCTTGAACTCGTCGCCGCTGGCACTCTCAAATGCCGGCAGGAAAGTCATGTCCATGGTCTGGGTCATGATAATTTGCAACTCCGTCGGACCCCAGCCCTTGAACGACTCATCTAGTCGATTCAATTGCTCGGTCAATTTCTTGATCCGTCGATCCACGGACGAAATTGCCGTGTTGTAATCAGTTTCACGTAGACTCCAGAGATCCCAGATTCCGAAGGATATGACAAATGTCGTACGCTCTTGACGGGTAATGCGCTCCTCTTCGGTGAGTTTCTCCATCGAGACCGTCTCGGCTGCTAGCCACTGATCCAGTTGGGTCTTGAAATCGGGGACCTGGTCTTTAGACAGCATGCCGAAAGAATTTAATTCTTCGTTGTCGACGACGGCCCCGGTATCCTTCTTCGTATTACCTGCGGATCGGGCCGTCTGCGCAAGGTTCTCCTGGTAGCAAGAAAACTGCATTGCAGATGTGTCAGTCAGTTTGGTTTGATCTGGTCTGGTCGGTCCATTTCTACAAGACATATTCCCGAGACTAATTTCTTGCCTCATCCCCTCATCTTCCATCTCCCGTCTCTCTTGTCTCAAGTTCTCGGTACCGGGATAGCAAGGAAAGCACATACCAAGTCACAAAGATGATCAGTCCAAATCTTGCCCTGCTCCTCTTCCGTCTCACTATCGCTCCAAGAGTCTCCAAAGACAACCAATCGGTGATTGAACTTGTCGGCAGTCTGGAAGGTACCGGCCAGCGGCACGACATCGCCAAAAGTCCTCCCCGTCAGAAACCATGCTGTGTAGAGAATGGAACAGACGGCGACGGCACAGAGGCCGTAGAACCGATTGAACATGCGCATTTTCTCTTCCTCTGACGATATGTGTACTAGTAGTTTTGATGTGGTGCGCGCAACGGCGCGGTTGCTAGTTAGGTGGTAGAAGTCCGGTCGCGGCGATCGGGTGGGGAGGAAAGTGGTGAGGAGATGGTGAGGTCAGGTTGGATCAGCGGGATCGGATCGGGTGTCGTATCGTTGCCGCCACTGACGGATTCGTATTCCACTATTCCACTCCGCCAAGGTTAAGGGGGAACGAGGGAATATGGCAAGGATGGGAGAGGGGAGGGGAGGGAGGAGAGGAGAGTAGAGATCAAATTATGAAAAGGAGAGAGGTGGTCGGTCAGAAATCTCCACTCCACCGGGAGCAGCGGAGTGGGCGCTAACTTGAAGTTGGGCTCTGGTGGTCCCAGATATATTAGAGTAGTGTATACGGGTATGTAGAGTGTAGTGTATGTGTATGTAGGCAATAATAATTAAGCTATGGAAGTACTGCCAACTGTGTACTACTGAGGTATGCCATGATATGCTAGTATATGAGATGTAAAGAATGCGACCGGCCGCGTGGCGGGCGGGGAGGAAGGCTGAACGTGGAAAAGCCTCGCGTGCCGGGTCGTACTGCAGCCGCTCGTATACGTATTAGTATTAGTATTAATATCCGCCACGATATGAGTAGCCTGCTGCTCAATATTCTGGTGCTGAGTAGAGAGTACTGAGTATTCTATGTCAACTGAGGACACGATGGCTCCAGTAGTCTGAGATAGTGTAGGCAGTCTCCCCGTGGACTGCGAATGGACGGGTAATCCAGCTGGACGCTGACCTCGTACAGCCCTGGAGAGGACCGAGAACTCCAGACTGAAGACAGAGGAGAGAAGATAGAGGACAGAGGACCACAGGAGTCCACAGTTTCAGTCTGACTGTGGGGCCCAAGACAGCCACGGCCGATCAGATGCCAAGACATTGGACAGAGCAGGGAGGCTGGACCTGGTGAGAATAAGCTTGTGCGAGGTGAGAAGTGGTGGGACAGAGCATAGCTGGAGTTGAATGAATGAGTGAATGGGTGAATGCTGTGGCTAGGCTGAGCACTGAGAACTGAGCAGTCAATTGAGTGAAACATAGAGGGGTGAGTGTATACTCAATCGTTACCCTTGGGATACTCTGGACTCTTTAGGCTAGACTGAGAAGAGTGCCAGGCCAAGACCGGCAGTTGTCTAAGCGGTGAGTGTGATGAAGCGGTGAGGGAACCTAGGGAGTTGGGGTATACTGCCTGCCATTGATATGCTATCACGTGAGCGGTAAACCGATCAGCGGGTATTCAGTCATGTGACAGGGCTACCTCCAGACTCGGCTAGTGCAAGCTGAGTCAGCCACACACACTCGCTACGGCCGACTTTTGCGAGTTGCAAAATCCACAACGACGTTCGCCCTTTAAACTCACGTACGACAACTTCCGCGCTACCGTCTTGACCGCGCAACCTCGTCAAGATGAAGCTCAACATCTCCTACCCCGCCAATGGGTCTCAGAAGATCATCGAGATCGATGATGAGCGCAAGCTCCG